ACCAATTTATATTGTCATATTTCGCCAATCGCACACAAAGATTCTATAAAAATTCACAATAATTTAATTTTATCGCAGGCCGCCAGTTCAGCCATAAAAATTATCAGTGAAATATCTGCTCGAAATATTCCGGAAAAGCCATATGCATCACCAGCAAATAATTATATATCTTTTGTAAAGCCGTTCCTATATAATATCATCATTATATATTTCTTTATAATCTTATTACATAAATTTCAAAGAGATTATTCGATATTTAAATTAAATTAAAAATTGGATAAAAATGTCTTTTTAATTATTTGTTCGATTACTTCACGCGTAAGCCAGCTTTGTATTATTATATTTGCTATCAATTAAAATATATTTTTTAATTTCGAAATAATATTTCGAACGTTATCAATATGTGTACAGCACAATTGAGTGAGATAAATGGATTTAAAATATAGGATTAGATAATTTTGTTTTGAAATTTAGATGAGAATATCCTCGATAATAGTCTTATTAATCTTGTTTTATAAATTTTATATACAGAATAATTTTATCAGAAAAGCAGGAGATAATTTACATCATAAAAGCAGAAGAGTGCTATCGAATCCTGATGAGACACATTCTTGGCAATCGGCGTGCTTGAGAAATTGACACGACGAAGTGAGAAATGTTTCACTCAAACACGTTTCGCATTCCGAGAAATGAGACTCATTTCAAGTTTTGCCGAGAAATGACGAAAGGCGATGCGCAGCGTTTACAGTAAAATCATTAATTAAAATCCCCGGAAAAGCGGATGAATATATTGTATAACGTAAGTACCGTCTGCAACGTGGTAATATAGAGTATAGAGAGATCTGCGAATGATCATCATATATATGCACGACGGTATTTCTACGGGAGAAAATAAGACATACTTGGCGAGGAAGTAATGAAGAAAACGATTCTTTTTTCATGCCGCTCTTTTTGTACCGCACTCAAATTATACTTAATATTCCCAAGAAGCCACTTTTCCATCGTAATCGATGATCGTGAAAAAATGTAATAAATTCCATCATGACTCTCTAAAATGGATATCACGCGCGAGGTTTGCGATCAATTTAAAACGACCAGCCATCAGCAGCGATGCTGCTGAAAAACCATTAAGATGAAGCATTTACAAGTATAAATTGAAGCGCAGTTTTCGATGGATGCAGTTATTTCCATATTGAATTTGTTACGATGCAAGAATATCTTTCTTCATAATAATTGGCGTTCTTATTCAATTTCATTGATTTGATATAAAAGTACATGTATTATTATTTTTTATACTAACAATAATTCGTGTCATTGCTACAGATGTTTAATCGCCAAATAAATTTTTTTTTATTTATATTTCGTTAAAGAAATTAAGGATTTGCTTCACATCATTAGATTCGTGTTAATTCGATTAGCGAAATATCAACATAAATGTAAAATGTTTTTCTCAGACTCAGCAAACTTATCTACCAATATATACCGATATATCTAACGATATATATAACGATATCACACCAAAACAAAAATTATGCTTACTTGTTTCAATCAAAATCATTGTGAAAACTCGATATAAAATCTTGAAAAGACTATATTAATTAATTTTATATACAAAACACCTATACATTTATAATTAATATAATGGATATGTACAAAAGGGTAACAAATATTAATCATATTACAGTAATTATTCAATCGTATTGATTTGTTAAATTATTAATAATCGGGATTAAATAATTATTAAATGAAAAGCATGCATCATTAAAGGTAATAAGTAAAAACATCTGCTATTTAATCTGTTGTAAAATTTACATACTTTGGATCTAAAAAATTACTTAATATTAAAAACGTTCGTTGAGAAAGTTTTGGAAACTTGGTCAATGAAGTAATTATTTGATCAAACTATATATTTTATAATTGCGAATCTGATACGTTGCTCGATATCAACCAAGCTGTATACATTGTTTTATATAGTTTGTATCAATTTTTCAAACCACGTACATCTTTTTTAAACGAAATAAAATTTAACAGAGGTGAAATTTCCAACATAAAATCAATATTAATTTATACAATTACAGTTATTTTATAATATTAATTTATACAATACAGTTATTTTAACCATTGATAGAACATTGATTGATTTAAATTCGTTAGAAAGAAGATTTTACTTGTGATGAGACACATTAATATGATATTATAACATTTTGGGCCTCTCATTTTTTGAATATTTCTGTCATACAATTATACAGTTATATCGTACAATCATACAATTATATATATAATTACTCCATTAACTTGTCTCGTAGGAAACGTGGAAACTTCTGGTTTCTGTAATTCCTTACAAATTACGTATTACAAACAATGCACGCGGTGCTTGTTATTTATTATTTTAATTGCATCTTAAAAAGCTCAATTGCAATTATAATCAGACGAAAAAATATAATGATGAACATATGTGTACTGTTTTGAAGATAGAATAAAAAGTATAATGATAAACATATGTGAAGATAGAAGAAAAAATATAATGATAAACATATATGTACTATTTTGAAGATAGAATAAACCAGATAGTCAGTTTTAGAAAAATGTATCCAATTTTAATAAAAATTATCTAGGAATTTTTGATCTTAATAAATGCAAACGCATTTGTATTTTACCATAAATTATTACAATTTTAATTTGTTATTATTCCATATTTTTACATACTTTTATATTTTACAATTGTTAGATATATTTACAAATAATATATCGCTACATAGGAAGCATAAATATTAATTTATTTCTTCCTTTTATGATATATTATGAGACAGAAAATGCATTTCTCTTGATGTTGGAATAAAAACTATATTATTTTTTTTGCAAAGCTAATAAAAAAATATTTCATTCTATTTTATTTTCTTCTCTTATTTCGAGAGGTATGCAAGATAAAGGGATTCAGCTTCAATTGCTACAATTAGATACGTACTTCGGCAGTAGTAAATCCACGAGTGTCGATAAGGCTTGAGTGAGTGCGCGACGCTCCGGAAGGCAAAGGGTGAAAAAACGCTCGTGCGTGACTTTTGGAGGCGAAGAATCTTGAGGGACTGATATGTTCCACGACAAGAATCGATAGATCACTTCATCGGAACACCAAGATGGATCACGTCTAAGTAAAACTTCACGATTTAGCTTTCCTTTTCACCCTTCTGACACAAAAAAGACACCCCTTGGTCTTTAATAACTTTTCTGTAGAAAATGTACTATCGTCATTCAATCTCGTTCTCCTCTTTCTCTTTTTGTTTAAGACAAGAAGTTATTATGCTGCAATTGCGAATTGCACTTTCTTCAATAAAATATGCAACGAAAAGTGAGAAAGAAGAAATAAATTTTTTATGAGTGGACAGTTCTTTCAATCTTCCGTGAATATTACAATTTACAGAGTGTCTTTTTAAAGCTATAAATTTCTACGAACTTTTCTGACAATGTCGCAAAATATTAATAATTTATAAAATATGCTTTAATTGCGAATAAAAAATAAATAATTCAAATATCTTGATATTTATCATCACACCACTAAAAACTTTTCATGTATTCTTGACAAACTTTTCCACGATAAAAAAAAATTATACAAAATACGAGCTACGAGAGTTTTCCATCCTTTAAAATTAACATTATGATTATTCTTGACAAAGAATTTCCACGATAAAAAAAGAAATTGTACAAAATACGAGATACAAGATTTTTTTATCCTTTAAAATTAACATTATGATTATCGATACCTTTTCTACTTGTGTGTGGATCGAAGGAGACACTTTCGAATGATGGTGAGAGATGAGTACTTATTTTATTATTATTTCTTATATATCCGCATATATCGCGGTCGTTTTCAACGATCAAGTTCGTGTTGCTTGTATTTATCGTGAGAAAATTAATAACGGCGTCTCTTCCAATGGAATAATCGACGGAACGCGTTACGAACGCGAGAGAGCCGAGAGGAACGAGAAAGAGAGAGAAAGAGAGAAGAGCGTCGCGACGACGCGGAGGCTGACGACGCACTGACTGCCCGCCTGGGTGCTCCCGACAGTAGTCGCGCAGAGTAAGAGAGAAAGAGAATACGAGACAGAGATGAAGGGTGGGGGGAGAAGGGAGAGAACGAAAGAGAGAGAGAAAGAGAGAGAGAGAGAAAGGGAGAGAGGATGCAGCTAGTCTCCCGATCTTCTAACTGTACCGACACACTCCTGCTGTGCCAAAATCCATCCACCCACGCACCCGCGCTCGCGGATACCCTCTATGTATCTTCGTTTTCGGTTGATCGAGAATCGCGCGCGACCTTCGACGCGCAAGAGGGAAACGCGACATACTTTCGACGATTATGGCATAGCGGTGACGGAACACGCGAATAACAAAGCTTATTTTAGGGAATCGAAGATATATCCGAAAAATATTCTCGTCGAAAGTTCCATTGTCAAAAGACATAAATCTTGCGTAGAATAGAGAAACAGCATAAGATATGTATGCATATTTTGGGTGTGTCCTATAATTATAAAGATAACGAACCTCCCTAATGAGGCCCCATTTTATACAATGCGCTTTATATCATGCGCATAAACTACGTAACTTATAAAAATGCATATACATTTCTATAATTGAAGTAATATACTTTTCCGAGTACTTCTTCTTCCAGCAAATATTTAATTCTAGCAAATAAAAAGTAAATATATAAAATACACGTATACACATATGTATATATTGACATATATAAAACATATCTACATTACGAATAAGAAAGGAAAGCTCTTTTTTATTACTATCATAATTGGATTTTATTCCATTACTTTTCAGCAGAACAATAAACAATTCATTATTTTAAATAGTTATGCAAGAGATCATATTTATTTAAATATATATATAGAATATATAAAAATGATTGCTAGTACAATTTTATTTATTCCGTTAAGAATATCAGAATATTATATCATTTTATTATTTCTCCGTTAAGAATATCAATATTATATTATACATGATATATTACACATATATATTATTATACATTATGTATAATAATATAATTTGTGTAATGATATTTTTTTTTGTTAAAAATTATGTAATTAGACAATAAAAAAAACAGACATTACATGTAAGCGTTGATACTTGATGAAAATTTTTAGTAAACATATATAATATTTATGGAGATATTATAATAATGTACATGATAATACTCGTATACACATTAATAGTCGTTCTCTGGTACTTACTTCTCTTTTAGTAAACATTATGATATATTTCTGACTATTTTATATGTGTAAATGAGTCATTTTAAACTATGTTTAATATATCGTACTTTGTACACTGTTTTATGTGAATATTACATTATATATGCTTAAAAAAGAAGAAATCAAACATTACGATCACGATATATAGAATAACTTAGAGCATTTATTATTTCATGTAATTATGATATGATAATATAAAAAAAAATATGTACGGTATTTAAAAAGTATTATTATTATCTTATTATGTATATGTATGTTACAGCAATAAGTATTTATAGAATATAAATACTTATTATAAATACACAATAAATTGTGCAAAAAAAATATATTTCTTGAAATATCTGTGAAAATTATACGTGCATATAAAAATTCTATGAATGTATCATTTCTATTAACTTTGCTGATTTATCATATATTAAGATTCTCCATATGTTAAATTAAGCTATAATGTATTTATTTTTGATACTGAAAATATTACATGCATAGGAACATTACAGTTTGGAAATACATATTTACTCGCATCCATATCATACAATTAGCCGTATCCTGGAAGAGGATTGCTTTAAAAAAATTTGTAATGAGAAATGAGACGCGCATTACGCGGTACAGCCAATTAAGAGAACCAAGTACACCTTCGTGTAACAGTAAAAGATCCTATTCACTGATGGAAGAGGTCTAGTGCCAAGCACCCAGTCATTTGCCATCGGCGAAAGTAATCTCGCGCTTTGTTCGCCATGATTTAACCACGGTTGGGCACCGCTGCTAGGAAGCCAACCCAATTCTAGTACCACATACTGGAAGCAACTATAGTGGATTCGAATCTTTGGAATCGTCGTTCGCGTCCACACAAGTCTAACCGTGCAGAAACGGAAGATATCGGTCGAAGAAAAAGGATCAAATTGCGCGGCGATTTAGACCTTGCGAAAGAAAAAAATTTAAATAAAACTATTAAATGTGCACGATATTTTAAATACCGCATTAATGCTGCTTTAATCGTGTTTATTATTTTCAATCATAGCATATTTGATAAATATGTATGTCGAACTTATATGTTAATATATTATCTTTCTTTTCTGGCATTATATAATAATTTGCGATTTCGAAGACAGCAGCACTGAGAAAGAATCAAAAGATTAAAAACATTCAAAATTTATATAAAATAAATTTTGCAAATATGCAAAATTTTACACGTGATAATATTAGAATTAGTTCACATGCGAGTTAACTTTGTCTTTTATCTTATCTTATATATATATCAATTTTCTGTATGCAAATATGCAATCACAGTTCAACAAACTTTTGTAATAAGTAGGCAAATAATTTTAAAGTAAGAATATGTCTAAAGTTCTTAGACAAAGTTCGCATAATTACATTTAACATTGAAAAATCAATGCGAATGAAATAATTTATTTCTCATTCTTTGACTCTATTTAAATGGTACATACTTGCAATGTTTTTCACTATATTGCACAAATCGGAATCACGTGAATTTCATAGCGTTATTTAATAAGGTGTAAAAGGGCAGTCACCGATGAAACGAAAATTCCAACTATTAATACATTCTTCGACGAACTCTCAGGATACTTTCTGAGTTATTCCGCGAGAATATTCCACGAATATAATATTCATCGATAGTTGGACAGATTTGATGGATCGCGAATCGTCGGCACGAAGTTTGAGGAGAAATTTTAACTCGCAAATCAGTTACAATTGTTTATTCATAGTTTACAAAAAATCTTTCAACTCTACGATTTCATCATAAAAAAATTAATGTAACAATAAGAGAGATTACAGTCGATCCCCGTTCTTTTGAGGATTATCGCTATACAGAGATAATCGCTTAAGCGTAAGTATTCAGCTCTTCATCTTTACAAGTAAATAGCGAGCGAAGCTGTCGGGATCATAAAATCCGATAGAGTTTGCGCGTTTGTAAAGAATATATTTATTAAAGATTGTGTGAATCATCTAAAAATTTACTCAATGATAAATACGACTTTACATTATCTTGATGTTTTACATGTCTTTGTAGATTTATGGAGAATACTTTATTCTTACTCCTTTCTTACATTTTCTTTACGCAAATATCTACCATTTTGCTGTGGCTCAACGCTGCTATCAGTAGAACAGTCACGTTATGTAAGTACGTGAATAGATCACATCCGAGAAGATATATTTAATTCCTCCGGGCAATGAAATTCAACCTTTTAAAACTTATCCTATACAGCACAGAACATTGCAACTACATTGCATGTTCTGTGCTATGTAGGATAAAAGGGCTTTCTTACATTTCCTCCTATTTCAACTAAAGTAAAATTTATACTTCAAACAATAATATGCGTGTGTATGATACTGAAATGTATGTTGTTTATATCAGGAAATTCAAAATTTTACATCATTTCATCTCTTTCTAGCATTTCACTAAATATATAAATTAATTACGGAGAGAATTAAGTGAATTAAAAGTTAAAATTATATATAATAATTATTATTCTAACTTAAAAAAAATTAAAAATCTCAAAATAAGAAAATTTCCTTAGAAATATGCTTGCTTTATTTATAAGAAATGTTATAATATTTATACATTTTGAGTAATAATAACAATTAATATCTCAAATAATAAAATGACTAAAATATTTAAGTAGCTTTTAGCGAGCGCTGTCTGTATTAATGTACATACAGAGGTAAAAATACTTGAACATATGAATTTATCGGAGCATATATATTCCGTACGCTATCTAATATGATATCTAAATTCGTATCTTAAGATATTCCTGCCCCGTGTATAAGAACATTTACCGCGTTCATTAAACCTTGCACATATCGCGTATACATGTCATGTATTACATGTTTGTACAGTATAATAGTTGTACAATTATTATTAACGCTTATTTTTTTAAATATTTTTTATTAAAAATTAAATTAATGGAACTTATTTATATAAATATTACTAAAAATTTATCTAAAGTGTGATTAGATAATATAATAATCAACAGGAAAAAGAATGTATTAAAATAATTGTATCTTTTAAAAAAAGAGAAAGAGAGGTTTGCTTTCTTTATTACATATATAAATATAATAAATATATTAAGAATATGAATAAATAATATATATAAGGAGAATTGTTAATATAAGGAGAAGAGATAATATAAAAATAATTGTTAATAAATAATTAAAAATTTTCTAGTTATAAAAATATGAAATGCCTTGCGATATTTTATATCATTTAAAATTTTTAAATTGATAGAAACAGATACAAATCTTATTAATTTTTTTATTACTAGACAACTTGTCTAACAAATTATTGAAGTAAAAACTTATCGATAAGTTTTATCCTTACTTCGTTAAAGTTGATAAGATCGATCTTTTATTCCAAATTCCTTTTTCATCAAGACTGTTTTTGATTAGAAACAAAGTAAATTGTGTCCAGCAGTGCGTTAACATTTCCATTAATACGTTACACAAAATGATTTGCATCAGATAAGAAAGTTAAGATCATATGGTTGATGTTACATGAAGCGAAAATTGATTTTTGTTTGTAACATAAAACCCTGTTTGGAGTGTATTCGCCGCTATTGAATAACTGTTGGTGCCTGAGTCAGCGATTATATGCTTAATTTAATGGAAACTCAAGTGTTGCAAAGCATTTTTCGTTCTACATTCGGATACATATACATTACAAAGTGCCGAAAACTTAACTGTTGGTTTACTTTTTCTGTTTGTGAAATTGTGTTTGTGAAATTTATGTTTTTAATATCGCATAATTTAAGTTATTAATTTAAGTTATTAATTAATCAAATATATATTAAATACAATATATTGTCATAATTTTTTATTCTTATAACTTATAACACGTTTTTATTTCTCTATTATTTGGTAAATTTTGCATGACCTAATTACGTTGCGCACGTTATCGGACAATTTCTTAACTTAACTCGATACCGTCTAGTCTCGTCTGCTCAACCTCTGGGCTAATTCGTTGTCTTCCCAGGGTTCGACAACATTGACACTTGGGGGATTTCATGGAAGCCTCTAGAAATATTAGAAATGACAGTCTACCAGTAACCGCGATAGAGACACAATTGATATTAGTGTTGATCATCATATAGAGAAAAACATCAGAAAATGACCGTGATCGAAGGCATGAGTATTTTACATCTTGCTTGCATTTTTCCTCGCCGTTCAAAGATATTTTTTAATAAAACATATTGAAATTACTATTCTCGAAAATTTGTGATATAAAGGAATAAAAAAAAACAATAATTTATTCTGTATCTTGTCGATAAAAAGTGTCTCACACGGAATAATTTGCAAATTTATTTCTTTTTTGCTTGTAATCTGTAACTATATTTTTTATTTAATTTTTAATACCACTTCTTGTGATGTATTTGAGAAAATTAATTGCCACACAAAAGAAAATCTATTTGTTATAAATTAAATAAAATTAAAACGAGGAAACGAAGAAAATAATGGATAATTTGATGATATTTTTGTAAACATCTCTAGTTGTTAATTTTAATGCAACAAATGATTAAATAAAGAAAAGAGTGAGAGTTTTTAATATTACTTTATAAATAAGTAATTTTTTTAACAATATTGCAACATTTCATAATCCTATTTACGATTTAAAAAGGGTGTAAAAGCTGTATGACGTTTGATCTTAAGAGAGCATTAGGTGGAATTTCAATTTCAGTGCTATTTAAACGTAACTTGAGGCAATGCAATCCGACTTCAAGCGCGTATCATGGAATAACATTAATAAAGAGGATAGAGGAAAAGGCAAAGAGTCCTCTATGTCCGTAGAGAAGGGCGTTTAACATCCTGAATAGATATAATGTCTTACATTCCTTGCTTCTTAACAGACAAGCTTAGTAGGTAGTTTAACCTGATATATATACGTATATATATATATATATATATATATATATATATATATATATATTGAGATTATATATATTTATTTTTATTTGATTATATATTTTTTATTAGCTAAGAAAAAGATAGTATTAAAAATATTTGTATAAAATTATAAACTATTTAAAAAATATAAAAAAATACTTATAAAATATTTTATAAAATTTCAAACGGCATCGCATAAGATCCTCTTCTCTAAAATTTATAGTATTCCTTCTGGTCCTTCTGGTCTTTGCTACCTCGAGGGCGTACACGCTTCAAGAATCAGTCTCAACTGATTCGACCCAGGGTGGTAACAACTGTTCAACCACCGACAGCTTCCTCATTCTTCGTTCCTCAAACGAGACACAGGAGAGCGGGATGGACATGGCGACGAGCGTGCTTCTTGACGATACGAGGAATAACTCGAACGTGTCACATCTGGGAACGTTGACCTCATCCAGAGACTGGGACGAGAAACCGAAGCTGCAGTTCCCCAAATTTGCCACGGAGAAGCGTTACAAGATGGCAAGTTTGCATCTTGATAAGGGCTGGTTCGTCTTCGATTACCTCAGAAGCTTCTTGTCTTTTGTACAACCTTATGATATACCGATCGGTAAGATGATCATAAACGGTTTTAGTCTAAATTTTAAGCTTATATAAGCTTATATAAGTTTTTACAAGATATGAACATAAAGCACATATTTCGAAAATAAATGTATATTAGATTCGAATAATCAGCATTTTGTAAAATATTAGTTGTACCGACAATTCATATTTTAATTAAAAAAAGCATTTTATATCAAATGAGCGTTACAAAACTCGTTTGAACGTTTATTTATTAAAATTGCGTTTATACATGCGTTTATACATGTTTGAACGTTTATTTGTTATAATTTTGAATTTTAATCAAACTGATTTTTATAGATAATTGCGAATTGTAATCTAAAGATATCTTTTCTGTAGAGAAAGATATCCAATGTTTTTATAGTACTGTTTAATAGCTCTCGGTTCAGCAAGTAATTTAATAGATTTCTCGATCGGACAATTAAGGCTTTCCTTCCAATTAGCAGAGAGAATTATAATTCTTCTCGCTCTTTACAGATTTACTGGCCGACGCTGTGGAAAATCGCGTAAGCACCATCAAATTGATTTCAGAGGTAAGGCAAAATCATGCTGAGAGACTAGAAATATTTAAGCTACTGGTGAACAATGGAGTGGTTCATTAAAGAAAGCAAGTCTTCATTAGAGCCGTTGCTCTTTTGATGCTTTTTGCCTCATTTAGTGAAGAGAGAGTTTTCCGCGACGTGATGTATGCGATACATAATTGTCACGATTTAACGTCATGAGGATGTTACTGTTAAGTTTCTCACGAGCCTCGTCGTAACTTTTACAGTCTATGCACGTGGAAGCAGCTTTTCTGGGCTTAGCAGGCGCGTGCTGCGTACTGGCCTGCATAATTCCTGGCACAGAACTTTGGCTCGCCTGTCGACCAATCAGACAGGATTATAAACCCTCTCAGCATCCTGGTGTTCTCGCATTTCTCCTTGCCGTTCTCGCCTTTATGCTCGGGTAGGATCTATGACAATTCCCCGTTCTTAAACATCGCTTTGAGAACTTATTGCCCTCACTTCCAACCTTACTCATGTTCCTTGATTCTTCTGTCTTTCTTGATTACATTCCGTAAGTATGTAATTGTCGCGAATTTAGACAGATGATAAATCCTCGTAATTACATTGACTTGTTAAATTAATGCTACACAATTCTTTATTATTTTATACTTGATATAAATACGATTACTTTTTATTTTTACGATTTTTTAAATTTTTAATAATTAATTAATTGATATATATAAAATCAAAATATATATTCATTCACATCAATTACACTTTATATGTAAAAATGTATCAATCATTTTATATATATATATATATATATATATATATATATATATTTGCATTAGAATGTATTTATATTAATATTGAATAAAAAAGTATAGCGAGAATAAATGAAGGAAAAGGAGGCCTAAGTAAGCGTATATATCTATCTAGCTATTCATCTCGCTATGACACAGGAAGACCTTTTACCTAGAGCAAGCACTCGCTACGTTATTCATAATCCTTGGTGCCTGGTTCACAGGTCTTGCATGGTGACAATGATAATATGCAACGAGGCGGTGGCGGCTGGGATCGGGAAGTTCCCTATAACGGTAGAGACGGCGTTACAGGATTTAAAGGACTATCACGCGGATACCACGTCACAGCTACGAAAATGCCTTACGAGGAGCTTGGACGTGGCCAGCGAAGCGATTCTTGCGGATCTGGACAGTGAGTGAAATTCCTTTTTCACGATATTAAAAACACTGGTCGCGTGAAATTTATTCCAGATACGAGAAGGATGTTTTCTACATATTATCGTATGCAATGAAAGCATAGTATTAAATCATTTTCAATAAGAATTACAACATAATTTTGGAGAGGTTTGAATAAATGTTTTCTTCTATTGTATTAATATATAAACATAATATATAGATATTAATATATAGACATATTTAAATTATTATAATTGCATTTTGTCTGTGAGCTTTCTATCTTGATGCTTATTATTTATTGCTTGATGTGAAGAATATTAATTAAAAAGAGAAACTAAGAAATAAAAAAGAGAATTATCAATAAAATTATATAAGTATAATATAGCTATAATGTGGAATTTTTTATAAATAAAAAAATGCTATATAATAGGAAATAAATTAAACAAAATAAAATCTTTGTAAAATTATTTGCGCACTCTTTTGAAATTGCATGCTTTTTGCACGTTGTTTTCTTTCTTTTGCTTCTAATTTAAAAAATCCTTTGCATCAATTAGGAGAGCAAATAATTACTTGTAACATGACTAATGGAAGTAGAAATACAGCTCGTGGCCGATTAACTAATTTCCGGAGAAGGCTAAGTGTGGAAAGCGGAGAACCGCTTGCGGTTCGATTGCTAGAACTCTGCTACTTTGATGCAACCTAACGGTTACAAGCAACTCTCCATTCTTGATTCTTGAATATAGCCACAAAGCTGGCTAACTCTATCACTAAACATTCGCATTTAATGTTAAAATCATCTGTCCGATTTGTCAGATTTAAGCAATTCTGTCACACTGTATAAATTTGATTGTAATCAAAATTAAACAGTTTAACAGCTTATAGCATAACATGATAAATGAAAAAAACTTGGGCGGATAATATTAAAAATGACATTTATAATAAAAATATTCAAGTATATAAGAATATTCAAATTATATTTTTTATTATACCTTAAAAATTTTTAATTTAAGTTTGCTTAATTATACTATACTGAATTAAAAATTATTTAGCAACTAACGCAGAAAATGATACAGTGGTAACTTTTTTGAAATGTAAAAAAATTCATAAATATATAATATATAATGTATAATATATAATATATATAATGGAGAAACTCTCTGAATTTTTAATATTTGTATCTCATGCAGTCTAACAAAGGTAAATTTAAAATTATATATTATTTAAATTTTCGAAAGCTTTTGTGATTATTTTTTATTTATTTTATGCACAATATCAGAGCATATTTAATGTATTCTCTGACAGATTGAAATGTTTTTGACAATTTTCTTTTTCTCTTTCTCTCCCTTTCTTTCTCTCTGTCTCTCTCGCAGATTGGCTGTAATATTTTATTATTACATCATTTTACTCTTGCACACATAATGATAAATTCATTTATAGCTAATGATATAACAATTCAATTAATTTAACTTGTGTTAACGACATTGTAAGAAAAACATGAATATGATGAGAAAATTCTTAATATTGATGAATATTAGAATAATTCTGTTTTGAAAAGAATATATTATTAGAAATATATATATATATATATATATATATATATATACATATATAAACACATAAAATTATTTATTTAATCTTAACATAATACATATATATTTATATAATTACACTATATCCTATTTCTTTCATCATTTATATTTTATTTAAAAATTATATATGTACATAATATACAGTAATTTAAAATTTATATTTACAAAATTTTAAAATATAAATATAGCTGGCTTTTTTAGGCACTAGTTATTAACTAAAATTCTTCGATCTTAGAACTCGCTTAGTTAATTAAGTAGATAGTTAAAAGAATTAAGAGTTTTAATCCTTCTTATAGGAATTGGTACGCGGATTTAGAACTTAAAAATTATTACCTCTTTGGCAGAAATAAAATATTGATTTGAATTTAACTTAAGTTTATCTCTTAAACTCCATAAAATTGAAAGTAACTTCGAATATTTTTATAAATCTATATCGCAAAAGTGATTTCATAAGTTTAACTTATATTTTCAACCAAATACATATGAATTAGCGAAGCGAAGCGCCGCGATGTCCGGTACTATCATCTAATGACGTTTCCCGCTGGAGATGCATATGCATCTAATGAAAGCTATCGACAGTCTATAATCGTTGCTTAATGGGCCCATTGTCGCTTACACGTTAACAATCTTGAGCAAATTGAGCTCGTTAGTGCAATGCAACCACTGGACACTATGCGTATTTGCCACCACAAAGCTCGTACGCATATACACTACTGTAGCGTCTTGATTTCAGATCACGTACTGTGCACCAAGTGGAACGACAACGATATCAGTTTATAGGCAACGTGACTATATACATCGCTTCTTTCGTATTGTATATACTAAAATATATATATATATATATATATATATGTCATAATAATTATTTCCGATAATTGGTACCATGAATTAAATTTGAAATTGCAAAATATTGTGCATTACAATATATCTCGTATATATGTCTCTCAATATGTGTGATTGCAATATATCTCGCAATGTTTATATCGATGACAATGTTTATATTGAATTTTCTATCATCTATTTTTTTATCTACAAATTGTCTTATATTAAATTGAAATACATTTTTAATTGTTATCAGAGAAATTTCTCGTAACATCGTTAAAGATTTGCATTATCAAAGCACCTGCACACTGGCCCGAAATATCTATCAGATCATGATAACTGATGCGGATACAGAGTGGATAAATTATTACTGCCGACGTGACGGGATTTACAATGTCGCGTCTATATACTGCATATATGTTCGTTAGCCCGAAGCGATCACGATCCATTTTTAACGATGTATTTTTAACGATCCATTTCCCATTTTCACTCTATCAGACCTTTATGTTTTCATTCTGGTATATGATATTCTAATAATTTTTCTTCGTGAAATTGTTGATGAAATTGCGATTGGTAGGCAATTCTTTGACGGATCGATGATATGTTATTTGAAATACTCTAGTCTGTGCTTATGACACAGACTATCATTTGTATAAATATATATTATTAATAAAATGTCTGTGAAATAAAAATTTAATAATATTTTGCTTGTAATTTACAGATGTTGAGGAATTATTGGGCAAACCTGTTCAGATCGAACTCTCGGTCGAGACTGGACTTGACGTGGCATTGGATGCACTCGTTGATTTAGCAAATGGTAAGTATAATAAAGTAAACAAGAAAAAAATCTAAAAAATTAAAAGAAAGATATATATACATATATATGTGTATGTGTATAATATCGAAGTTACATGTGCATAATATCAAACGCAATTTTTAATTTTTAGCTATATTCAAATTTCTAAGCCATACGAAATGTATTGCACAAATTATTCTATCAAAATTCTGCGATATACAATCGCAAATAATGACGAGATTAAAATTTTACATTTTGCGATTACGATTAATCGATAGCCACAAATTATAAGTAAAAACAAATTATAAGTAAAAACAAATTATAAGTAAATACTTTTTTTATTTTATTTCCAGATTTTATAGCGTAAAAAATTAGCTTAATATTTTTACAACTGCAAATGTTATCTGATATAATAAATATTATGGGGAATATTCCATGCCAATATTATAGTTCGTTTGTTAGAAGGTGACGATGCAACCCGAAATGTTTGCATATTCATAACTGCAATATCTACGCGTAGCGCATATACTCGTCGTACGTATATTAATTTATGCGTCGAATTGCACGTTTCGTATGGAGAAGCGCCCACGTCGTTCACTCGTCGTTGCCTCGCGAACTGCGCGTGGTCATAATAAATCTGACGACTTCCGTGGATTCACTGCATTCTGTGACGCATCATACGACAACATTCATTTAACGCTAACGATTTAACATTTTAATATAGAGTGAGAGTTACATCAAGCCATATAGATTAATAATTTCGTATGAATAATTTTATATTAACGTTAAATAAAATTAAATGAATGATTTAAACAAATCATTTAACACACTAATGATTTAAAACGTTCCAATATAGAGTGAAAATGCTTGAAGCTATGTAAATTAATTTTGTTTATATTAACGCTAAATATAATAAACGAATTATTTTGACCAAAGAAATGGAAAATATTAATTTTACTTTGAGAGTCAAATACATGCTAAAAATTTTCATGTTTATAAACATATATTATCGATCTCGAATATCATTTTTAATTAACCAAACTAATACATCTATAAGTGAATGTAATACATCTGAAGCAAATGCTACTTGTGGAGCCGCAAATTAATTCGACGTCAGGGGTAGTTTAGGTTGTTTCTAGTAAGATCATTCGGTCTTCAAGTGAATTTTCCATCGTTAAGTGACCTTCCCGACCTAGAGTGTCACTTAGTCAGGATACTAAGTTACTAACAGTATACTAACTAAATTAGTAGGTACTACCACTACTACGCTCTTGCTCTTGCTATCTCCTTTCGAGCAACCCCTTGCGTAATCGTTACACGTGTATCATACGTATGCGCTATGTTTGGTGCTCCCTACCGGGTGTTTCGAAATTATTCGATGATATGCCATTTATTTAAGAGAATTATCAATAAAAGAATATAGCGTAGAGAAAGTAAATTATACTTTAAGCACATATCTTTTTCTCAATAAAAGAATATAGCGTAGAGAAAGTAAATTATATTTTAAGCACATATCTTTTTCTCTCTTGCTTGTGGAAAACTTATTTTAATTAACAATTTCTATACCTAGTTTTTATCAATCTATTTGGAAGTATAAAAATTAAAACGTTAAAGTGGAAAATATACATGAGCATTATTAAAGAAAAAAATACACATGAATTACTTCAAAATAAAATTTGAAGTAAATAGAGGGTTACCGATATTAGTCAACATAAATAGAAAAGCAAAGTTTGTATGTACAGAGTCCGAAAGTTTTAATTAGAGAAAATTTCAACTGCAAGATAAAGTTCTTAAACACTTTATAAAGTTCTTTAAACACTATTTTAATACTTATTATATAATACTTATTATTTAATACTTATTATATAATAATCTATCTTAATACTTGCATGATACCTATTAAACATTGTCTGTTATGCACTATATACATGCTATATAAAAAAATGTTTTATATTATTATCATTTTTTTCAACTATTTTTTTAAACATGCTATATCGTAATCTTCAATTCGTAGCACACGCCGTATAGTTCATCTAGAGACATAGCCATGAGGCACGACTCGAGGGTTTCTCACGATGGTGCGCGTTTGTAGTAGAATTAATTCAAGTAATGAAAACCTGTTACGATGGCAAATGTTCGGAGACGCGATACGAGACACTATCACTGTCGCTATCGTATATTTCCCATCAGCGTAGACGAAGTCTAATACATTAATAGGCGAGTGGCGGCATCTTATAAATTGCTTCGTTACATCGCGTGCTATTATTTTCAGTTGTCGATTAATAGTTTGATAATCTATTTGAGTACACAGAGTATATTGAAAGTTCGTCCTAGGATTATTAACGCTATCGATCTCGATTATTGTCAAACGGATGAAGATAAATGATCGTTATTAAATTACGAAATCCTCGCATTAGTGCTGGTGTATCTTGCATACCCTATATCCCAAGTTTATCTCTCTTATTAATAAATGAGCATTGTGTGTGCTCGACGTGTATCAATGCTAGCAATGTGCCTTCTGAATTCTAAGCGAAAGTAGATATAATTTCAGTAGGTTTGATTTCCACACTGTAAACTTGGGTAACTTCTCTGTGTCAATTTCTAAGGGTGTTAGGTAACCGAACATAAGAACAGTGAATACAGGATATATATGCTGTTAATGGTATCGTATCGCATGTTTCAGCGACGCAGGAGTTATCTGCTAGAACTGAATCTTTACTCAGAGAGGGTGAGAAAGCTCACGAACTCGGATTGGAATTGAGTAGGGAAACGGACGAGATACGACGGGACTTGGAAGGTGCGGTGAGAGCATGCTCGGGTCCAGATCGTTCTCTTTGTGCTGTCATTGACTCTTCGGGGATTCGCTTGGATTTACGAATAGAACGGGTGAATAAACTTTACGATTGACGTTGGTTCGGTTTAATGCATTTGCGTCGAATAAACGATTTGATTTGCGGCAGATTTTTATGACGTTTCTATGTGATATTTTATTTATCTATAATAAAATGTATTTAGATAAATATGTAATAGATAAAATGCAAATAAATAAAATGCAGTCAACCGATTTAATTAGCAATTATAATTATATTAAGCAGTTACAATTAAATATAGCCGTTCGCGTTTGCTTGAATCAGTTATAACAATGCTTTTCTATTATTATTTTTTAATTAAAATTCCGCTCGACGTTTATGTTTATTTTGCTTTTTATATCCGTTTGCGTTCTTAATATGTTTCATTTATTCCATATTTTTGATGTCATAATATTTAACTACCAAACCATAATATTGTAATTATAAGCAATGTTAATTTTTATTTTTTTTTGCATTTTTTGCAAAACAGTTCGCCAGTTTTACTTTGTATATTCAAAAAGCTTGTATAAATTATAAAATCATAAAAACAGTGATTGTTTAAATTGACAATCTAGAGATTTGTAGGAAATAAAAGTAAAGTGTAGCGGAAATTTTTCAAGAATCGCTTTATTTTCCGTTAGTCACGATATCTCACACAATCTCATACATGTACACGCGAATACAGATAACACTTACGGATTCGTGTACATCCATTTTTCTCATTCTTAGCGAATGAATGCAACCACGTTACGCGATAATAGCGGTGTTATTCTTTCGCAATTTACGCTTTTCCATCTCATTTATCTCCCATTCAATTTCCTCAATTTTTTGCGATTTAAATTTACCTTAATAAATTAGCACAGAGTAATTTAAAGAATATGTATATACAAAAAGTTACTTATTTCCTAAAGTTTACTTTCTAGCATACATTATGTGCATTCAAATATATCGCCATTTTGTAAAAAATATCAAATTTACTATTTCAGCAAATTTATCAATCTTTGACATGTATCAATACATTTTTCGCTCTCGTGTGCGATCATTTTATTCTTATATTGTCTATACAGATTGACTCAAAATAAGTGAATCAAATCTTTATATGACAAACTTTAAAATCTTTTTTTAAAATCTTTTTTATATCAAGTAATATTAAGAGAGATCACATGTACATATATACACATACTATTTGTGTCGGGATTTTGAAAGAGATTAATGTCAAAACGATGAAAACTACTATTGAAATTTACTTTGTTTATTTTGAGACACTGTGTATACTTTTTGTCGCAGCTATTGAAAGACGATCGTTTGCTACGTCTACGGAGTATCAATCGGGGAAATTTGACGGAAGCAGGACGCCAAGCTCGCGGAGAGTACCTCCATGTGCCACATCACATCGCCCGAACCACATTGGATGCTCGTAACCGTAGGTACAATATTCACGATTCGGTTCTCCAAATTGATATTATATCGGAAAAAGTCTCGAGATCTACGTTCTCAATACAGAGCTTTTTTCGATACAAGCCAGTTGCAGTCAAACGTGCCATGGAAGGGTCACGAATGTGAGTTCTGCAGAATTTAGTTGAGCGTGTAACTATTTGGTTCTAAGAAGAATCAAAATGGGAAGCGGGAGAAAGGAAAAAGAGAACGATGTGCGTTATATAGCATCAAAAAACTTTTCGGCATTGATGTCATGTATTATGATACGTTATAGCACGCGCGACGACACGTTGAGATCGCGATGACACTTCAGCGCAGAAACTTTGCCAAAGAGCTCGCGTACTCGAAGAAAGCTAAATTAGTCCCTTCAACACCAGATTTCTCTGAATGTGCGAGGTGACGTGAGTTAAGCTGAATAAATGGCTCATGCCGCTCTGTTGGGAAAATAATAAATGACACGAATAATTGCCATTTCACGGAATAATTCGCTGATTTTGACAAAAGCAAAGATGTATATACAACATATACATTCCAGATTTTTTGTAATTCCTTTTTTATATCTCTGAACTATTTTTAATTTATTCTATATTCCATAAAATTTTAGATATTCTATACATTTTTCTAAAAAGTTTAGACGCAATAATAGAAAGCTTTTTGGTACTATTTTTTCCAATATTTTATCTAAATTGTACTTTAATTTAACAATAATATTTTTATTATTGGTAGTAATAATAATTAAATTTATAATATAATGATTATAGTTTGCTTTAAAGTATCCATCACATAGTTTCTCCGATTAGTTTCAAAGCTTCGTACGAATAGATGCATCTGTTCATTCATGGATAATTTCTATCGCAGAATTCAGACGGCAATAGGGAAGAACGCAATCTACTGCCGCAAACAATAGAAGAGAAAGACAAAAAACATACGAACCTTGGTAAACCTTCGCGATTAAACCGTAGCAAATACTGATAAATCTAGCTGCTGTTTGGCGTTGCGCAAAACACGTCCCGCATATTTCGAGTAAAGTTTAAAATAAACGAACGAGGGGAGAGCTTGTAAATTTAAAAAAAATATGAATCGACAGATAGAAAAAGAAAGAATAGATTTTGAATATATATATTCAATTATTGAAAATATATATATTTGTTCATAACAATATGTAACAATGTGTAAGCTCTTGCTATTTCAACATCGATATCAGCACTTTGTACATATAACTTGAAAACTTTTGCGAAAGAAATAGCGAAGAAAGCCGACTTAGATCGTAGATAGGAACAAAGAAAAAGTTAAGAATAGATTTCTCATAAGAGAACTACGATTATATAAAATTTGTTTTGAACGCTGCATACTTCAAGAAGGCAACAATATCAAACTTTGAAAATTTTTTGGGTTCTCTATGTAATATTTCATAGACATTATTTCGACATAAAACCAATATCGAAGAAGTAGAAGATGGAATGAAAAAGTGAAGTTTCGAAGAAGATACTCTTTTTGTAGATTCATAACGTGCACATTATCTCTCCGCTGAGTATTCTTCCTCTCTCTTTTTCTGCTCATGTTTTCTCTTATCTCTATTTACACTATATATTTATATATTGTTCAATAACAGTGATATGTTTAAAGCATATTATATCTTTAACTTTAATATAACTTTAAATTTTAAACAAGGCAAACCAAATCGTGTTTTTATCATGAATAAAATTGGAAAAATATAAATCTGTCTTATAAAAATTTATTTAATGTTCTAATAAATAAAATTTTATGAATTGATATCAGAAGAGTTAATATAAATGTAACACCTATAATATTCTTTATTTATTTTATCAAATTATCACCAAATTTATATTTATATTTATGTTTTTAATTTTACTTTTATAATAAAATTAAACTTTTACAGATATTTTTCATTATCTTAATTAATTATCTTTGAATTATGCAAGATCATAATTTTACTTTTATGTTAACGCTTTTTATAAATATTTAATATTTTATATTTCAGATTCATACAGAATAACGAAAATGTTCCAAAACAATGATATAGTTTCCAAGTAATATGACGCATATATTATTACTTTCGGTATTGTATAAAATACATGAATTTTCATCGTGAAATATGTCGAAAATATATTTACGCAATAAATTATTTTCAAATGCAAAATTATTTTAAAAAGCGGTATTTATAATTTTAAAATGGTTATTTAAATGGAAAGAATCCATTATTAAAATATTCTATTTTTTAAACGATATTATAAAGACATACCATAATTTTTTAAATAATAAATTTAATAATAAATTTAAATAATAATATAGTGTGTTATGGCATTTGTAAATTACAAATATTCCTCTTTATATATTATAACATTTATATATTTTAATATTTTGTTTTATATGTATTTTTATAAGTGCAATGGATTCATGTGTATTATATTTATTTGAAATATGCAAACAAAAAAATGCTAATTGAATGAGAAAAGCTTGTAAGATATTCACATTTACAACTAAATCATTTTGTTAAAAAAAGTCCATTACCTCTTTTTTCTCCCTTTTTTCACGCTACTTTTTAGATCAGGCAGTTTAACGCGGAACGTCACGTTTCTCAATAGCACGCGTTTTTGCACACCCTTTTTATTTTTTTTCCATGTAGTACTGTATAAACGATATTTCGTCACGGGACGAAAGAATACACGTCAGCATTTCTGCCTCAGAATGCGATGAATTCGAGATTGGCGGCGAAGAAGGGAGAGCCAGGGGATTTTAGCCTTAATAGACAAACGAAATGCGGTAAATGCTTCGAGCAAACATCTTGGTAGGTACCACGATCGTGTTATATATCTCTCCCGAGGCACCCGTATAAACTTTCGCACTGGGATCGATGATTGATGCTGAGAGAGTCACGTTTTGACGGCCTGTCGTGTCGGGCAATATCACAGACTTATTCTACTTACTGTTTTACTAGATACCGATACGTGTGCTAATATTAATAAGATAATCTTGTAGAATAATTCAGGATTACAAATCGTCATTATGAACGTACAATAGTATTATTTATCAACTTATTTTGTTATTTCTCACATAATTGAATTCTCATATAAATAATTAAAAATCTAAAATTAAAATGTATAAACCGTTCTTAAAATTAGACAAAATTCTACAGATGTAAAAAATATATATAATAATAAATATAAATATAAAAATAATAAAAATAATAAATATAAATACATTAAGACGCTAAATCAAAATAGTTTAGAATAATTTTCGACACATACAAAAATTATAAAATTAATAACTTCGAATGTTTTTCTATTCTAATTTTTATTATTATAAAATGTTAATTATAAAGCTTTAATTATTTTATTATAAATCATTGATAAGCATTATAAAATGTTCATGTTGTTGAATGATGAATATTGCTTTTCCGGTTAATAAAACGAAAAAATTCGAAGGAAATTATTAATAAAGAAAATTGAGGAATATTCCTTGATGAAACGAAAAGTGATGGATGTTATGCCATGGGAATGTCGATGAACCGAAGCGACGCGAGCTTGTACTCCTGTCGACTTCTCTTAACTCGCCATCGACCAATAATGCTTGTCGCCCGTCGCCATCCATCGGTAGACAGATCCGATAGGGAGATAACGGCCGAAGGATCTAATGCAAAATCCATATCACATTAATATTACTCTGTGAAAAAAAGTCGCAAAAAATTTGTAAGGATTCACCCCATTGCCGGAGTGATAAAGTTGAACCAGTTCAACGTCTGTCGATCGGAGATTGCTGCTGAGCAGTTTTAACGTTTCTGTACGTTCGCGAGGAAAACTGGATTGTTACGAGAAAAGTTTATCGTTAAAGTATTTTGTCTGTTAGCACGTTATATAAGATCGACTTTCGTATAGAATTCCATATAGAATTAAAGAAAGATATTTAAGAATTTTTTGCCTGAAAAATTAAAAAAATTGTAATGTACATTTTTCTATGTATTCATCTTTAATTCTTTTCTATGTATTTATCATTTTATTTGTTTTTTAGCTGACGTAAAAGACGTTATGTGAAAAATTTTATCTTTCAGAATAATATAATAAAATTTTATGAAATATTTTTGAATTATCTTGAGAATTTTGATGTAGTAATCGTGTTATTTATGATTGTCATAAATATATTAAAATACATTAGTATATATCTATATATAAAATTTTATATTAAAAGTGGAATTAATGATATTGAGTTGACATCAAGGATCTAGAAAACACTAAAACATTAAGAATATACTTTTTGTGATTATTCCTTTTTTATCAGAATATGATCAACACCAAATAGCGAAAAATTGAAGTAATAGGACCATAGAAATATTCTATATTGCCATAGAGATTCGGTACGAGATCAATGCAGCACGTGCCAGGATTGTCGATCAAACGCGCAATGTCGAGACGAATAGTTTCGAACTCTCAAAGCAGCTGGATTCTGTGAGAAGCATTGCGGATTACGCTATTCCTCGTGTCATCGCTTTCGAGCATATCAGGTGGATCGTCGGTATGGGTACGTAGTATTTTTCAAGATTACATTGAATATTTTTCCGTTATTCACCGCGTTCGTTCTGGTATTTGAAAAACGATCGCGGAGAGCGTGGGAAGCATCTGTATGTGAGTGAAGGATTTAAGAAGATAACTTTATTACACAAAAGTTAGACACATTTTTTTATAGACATTTTTTTATATGCATTTCTTCAATATACATTAAAATAATATTCTTATGAATCTTTGAAAAGAGATCTAGAAACCTCTTATATTTTCATAATAATGAAAATAAAATATACATGAAAATGTATAAATACATATTATCATTCATTAAAATGTTAAGTAATATTTGATAATACTTATTCGGATTATTTATAAACGATAAATTATATATATATATATATATATATATATATATATATATTATTTATATTATATGCGTTATATTTCAAATCTATTATAAAAAAAATGGCAGAAAACATTAATACTTATTCTCTTAAATTTATAATCATTGATTAAAGCCGCGACAAAATTTTAACGAGTATTTCACTAATCTTTAATGAAAATATTCATATTTTATCTTATTTTACTTTACCTTATGATTTATTTATAATGATAATAATAAAATTTGAATATATTTGTTGTGTTATATTTATAATTAAAATTATTATTATTAGTTCTAGAGACTAACAATAAATATTCTGCTATTTTATGACTCAGAGCAAATAATTGACGGATAATAATTTCGTTTGCTTATGAAATGTGCAGTTAGTGTTCTATGCATTCTGCTGGTTTTTTCGTTACTGATTGGGGCTTTGTGCTGTCGTTGGAAATCATCCGAAAGTAAAGTACGTCCAACTCTTTTATGGTAAATATTATATGATATATTGTATCTCATATATATTCTTTTTTTTATTATTAAAGTGTTACATTGAATTAAAGTTTATTCTAAATTTGTAACAATTTATAGTATATAATAGAACAATGCAGGCATTAATTATATATTAAATATTTGTTTTTTTAAATATTATGAAATATCGTTTGTGTGCATATATATGTGTGTATATAAAAATATGTACATTATATAACTAAAATAAATAATAAAATATATTCATGACTCTAAATATTTTATCTTATAATAAATATTTATTAATATTAAAAAATAAAGGATATTATAATATTAAAAAAATATTTATATTTTAGATTATTTTTAGATTTTTATTTAATCTGATAGCAAACAGTTTAATCACCAGATCTTATAAGACAGATCGTCAGCTGAGAATGTCGATCAAATTTCAGTGGTGTGGTTACGAGTTGTTTTGTCTCGATTACACTTTGGGCAGTATTCGTCGTTGCTCTGGGCATCGCCAGCCATACGGAAATGTTGATCTGTCGGCCGCTCTATGATCCTGACTATCGTATTATAGAAGCTATATTGGAAACCCGAGCGTTTTTAGGAAAAAGACTTGCAGTTCCCCTCAAGGAGCTCTTTGAGTAAGCTGTGTCGCTTTAATTAAGCCAATCAAGAGTTTTACAACAGATATTACATCTTATCTTAAAAAATCTTAAACTGAAAATTAAGATCATATATAACACTATATTATAAATTATATATCAAAAGAAAATATATTTTTAAATTGATATAATTTAATCACATTTTAGACACATAATTGCAAATAAAAATAAACTTTTCATATTTTTATTATCAAAGATAAAATATTATATATTTTAGTAAAAATATGTTATTATCACGTTCAATATAAACATAGCTTTATGCTGTTTGACTATGTACAGTGTAAATTATATTTTTTATTTAAATTTTTTTTATTAAATATCCCTCAGGCTGTGAGGATCAAACGTAGCGAGCGAAGCTTTGCACAATGTTAGTTACAATTTGCAGCACTAATATTTATTTTTAGAAAATGTCGAAACAACGAGGCGGCTTATTCCGCCTTTGGACTGGAAAACACGATGAAACTGGAACATTTGACTGCGTATTGGACATGGTTAGGCTTGTCCAGAGCAATCTTGAATATTAAAGTCGATTTAAAGGGTCTTCAAATATTAACACCAAATCTGCAGCAAAACCTTCAAGATTTCTTATATGCTTATGACTTAAACCTCACGGCGCACAGAATAATGGTATTTACGTTTATTTATGAACATTTCATATTACTCATATTTTTTTAATTTCATACTTTCTTAAGTAAAAGCAAAATATGTTTTCACGTAAGAATAAAAGTGGAAATTTTCTAGACTTTACCAATTTAATTAAAGCTCGGGATTACTTAGCATTGCTTCGAAAAATTTTCTTGAAAATGAATTTACTAGAATATTAAAGGAAAATAATAAATAATACAGTTATATATACGAGTAATACTAGAGGGCTAGTATGATAAATGACATGCATTTCATAGCGAGTTGCTCCCGTGATTATGCTTCAATGCCGCTGCTAATTAAAATCTATTTAGCTACGTGTATAGCTATGTCAATTCGTTACACAATACATACATACGTATGTCTATTTTAATATCTTCATTTTGCAATGTACATATATCATTCGGATTTAATTAACAAATATAGTTTATGATAATATATATTAATTAACAAAATTTAAAGCTATATTATAAAACAATTCTCCATAAATATTATTTTCAAATAATTAAAAATTAAATCGAAATTGGTAAATTAGAGCCGCAGTGCACGCTTTGTAACGCATATTGTTAACTTTACTGAAGAGGGATCAAAAGATGATCCGAAATGATCGTTTTTTGTTAATGAAATTATTTTTAATTTGAAATCTGCGAATAATCAGAAAGAAGATGTTGTTTCTTCCTTGCGCTTCAATCTATTGCGTAATCAATCTATGGCTCTAATTTCAATCGCCAATTTCAATTTAATTCTTAATTATTATTATTTGAGTCAAATTTCAATTTATTTATTTTCAAACATTTCTATTAATATTTTCTATTCTCTTACAGATTCAAGGGCCAATTTTGAATAAAGATTTGACTACAATGTCTGATCAGTTAGACAATATATCCCGTCAGCTGCAGGATCGAAGTATTGCTAGAGAACTGCAAAGCATTGGTATAACAATGCGCGATCTGACATTGAGACGGGTAAAGCCGCTAATGAAATTCCAGGATGATTTGGTATATCGGCTTACAGTTCTAGAGTTGAAAGTACACCCTCTTTGGCGTCAAATCAATCAATCGATCTCTCATCTGAGAACTATACAATATTATATAGATCATCAAGGAGAGAAAATAGCTCAATTGGTGAGTAACATATTAACAAATTTCTCTTAGAAAAAATGAGAAATTATAGTTATTTCCTATATAACATAAAAATCGTACTATATTATTAAAATTTATCGTTTTATATTTGTAGAAAACAAAGTTGTACATGAATCGAATGACGAATTATCTAGATCAATGGCGGATGCACGTTCTTTCGGAAATGAATACGGAAGTATCTAAATGTCGACCTTTATGGGACGTTTTAGAAGGAATCAAACACTTAGTGTGTGATCATATCTTAAATCCTTTCGTATGTACAATTAAAATAAAACCACTAATTATTTTAATAATAAATGATAATTAATTAATAAAAAAATATTAATCTATAATAAAATTAAGCGCATGTTTAACACAGCTTTTTATATATGATTAATATTTAGAACGGTTTTTGGTTCGTTATATTCATATGTGCAATCATCATGATTGCCAGCACACCCACAGCTCATATTTTATCACTATTATACAAGAAACCATCTCATTTCTTGAAAGATGTTATCCTGCCAACAAGAGCGTTAGTATATCTCATTATGAATTATTTGATCCAATATTTCAAAGGATTTAAGTTATAAAAATAAAAATATGCTTTTTTGTTTAGGGATAGTCTTAATGACGATAGAACATGGCAAACACCAGAGTAAGTGTACTTAGATATATAATATATATATATATATATATATATATATATATATATATTTTTTTTTTTCTTTTTTTTTTGATATTTTATATTTAAACCACGCATTGTGTGCAATATATAATATCAAAAGCGTATAAAAAGTTTATAAAGCATATTTAAATTATTGATATTGAACTCTGTTCATAGCTGAAATTATATTTTACAGTCCACCGCCGCTGCCGCAAAGCGATTGGTAACAATGATAAAAAATGAGACTTTATGTTGTAAGCAGATTCAGAAGAATATTAATATGATATCAGAATTGGCAAGAATATAATAAAGAATATGGCAAGAACATTAAAGAAGCTTAAAGTATAAGTCGAACAAAATAAATCTTGCTTGTGTTTGATTTATTATAAGCAGATTTCTTTATAAGAATCAATAAATGCGATTCATTTCAATAAAATCTATTCAATCCTAAAATTATGTCATCTGTGTGGAAAATTTTTTCTACGTTTGTTTGTTAAAAAAATATACTTTTTGAATACCAAAATATGTTTTTCTTGCTATATTATATTCCTGCGTAATATATAAAAAATTATCTCATGAAATATAAGTAATATCTCATGACATGGACACGAATGAAGTCGTGCTTGCCTCCCCTATGGAATTGTTAGCAATGCAATGATATATTCCAATATGTTCTTTGTTTAGTCGACTCAATTGCATCCACGATGATCGCATAAGCGGCTCTGGGCCGTCGCTCGTATGTACCGTCGCCTCGTGTTCCTCTCCTATGAATAAAACCATTGTTAATCAAACTCTATCATGTATAACGTTTGTATAATTTGCAGGACACATAAATATTTAAAAAAAACTGTTAAATATTGTTAAATATTATTAAAATGTTAAATCAGTTTTCTCAGCATTATTTCTCTGATTATTATTTCTCTAGTCATATTTTCCTTACATTCTTTGTACCAAAATGATCGTATTTATAATTGAGATTCGCTAGAGTGCAAGAATTTACAAAATATTTTATTTCAATATATATTGTGTTACTTTACCAGGCAGTTTTAGTATTCTTCTTCCATCAGCTGAGTGAAATTCCCAAAAGATATCCGGCACTGGAAATCCTTTTGCCTCGCAATTTAATGCGACACGTTGACCGAAAGGCGAGGCAACATCTTCTAAAGTTGACAGAATCCAAGGTCTACTTTCACAAGGACCGAGATGTTGCAACCTCAAGGAAGATGAGTTTCTGAGTTTCATTGCCTCCTCGTGCAGCGCGCATGGTGTCGCGTAAGTTTCATTATTGCTACCACACGCCGGGCTCTGTTCCATACAGACACAGGCTGCCTCTGGAGTATCCTAAATAAAAGTTCAAGCCTATTTATTTATTCATTAAATTATGCATTCTCTCCTTATATCACTCTAAAATCATGATCGCTTTTTCCATAATTTGATTATTACTTCATAGCAGTGATTATCAACGAAAATATTCCGAGACAAAATAATTCTCTATTCTGGAAAAGTTAAATCGTTTAAAGTTGGTAATGCGGTACTTTATGCGGCAGCACGTCTTCGCTGTATTCTGAACGTCTTTACGGAACTTGCATAAACGCTAATAATCGTAGATAGCTGTTGTTAGTTTGCTCAACTACGAATAATTAGTGACCATTCAAATAATTCAATATAGAAAATTAGTCTAATTAATAGTTAGCCTATTAAATGATTAGATAATTATTTATGTAATCAACAGGAAACTTTAAAGAGTAATTCATCTATTTTTAAATACTCTATCTTAAGATCATATAGCGAAGTATTATTCTTATTCAGCCCGCATCTCTATCATAAACGGCTTGCCTGATTGTTTGATTGCACGACGTGTATGCGCATATATTCTCACAATGCGATTACGGCCCACAATGCACGACAAGATGAAATTAGATGCGAAAAGGCCAGCAGAGCGGGTCAGCGACCGTAACTCATTGGCTACGATCTTAAAACTGCGATAGATCTGATTGATAGCGTAGTTCAGTAGGTGGATAATATACGGGTCTGCCTTAGATTTCACACTGACGTAATTTTGCGCAATGACGCGTGATTCCTACTTTTGTGTTAAACTAACCCAGAAAGCGAGATATGTCATTGCTAAACTCATTGAAACTGAGAAATCTAGAACATGATCTCTTGAGACCTGAATTGGAAAAGTGAATTTATCACTTACAAAGATGATAACTATCGCACTAAGAAAAATAACGCGCAATTCACATATTCGATCTTTAAAAAGAATCAGCTGTTACTTATGGATTATATTAAAAATGTATAAATTATATATATAATTAAAAATATATATATGTAATTTAAATATATATAAATAAGATAATTTTATAAGATAATTTTAATATAGATAATGTATAAAAAAACTAGAAATATTTCAAAAATATATAACGCCAATAAAATCATCGTAACATTAACCAGAACGACTTATAAAATTACGATTCTCAAGCATTAAATATTAAAGTGAAACTTATTGTATTTTACTTGAAGATCTCCTTCAGTTCTTATGGAAATGAACTACATACGTACCTCTTCTTGTAGGTCAGATCGCAACTCGCACAGATAATTTCTTGCACAGTATCCATCGTTACGGTTCTTTGGAGACAGAAGAGAAATGCTCGAATTCCAGCATGGTTCGCCAAGGAAGCGGGCGCACAAACCATCCGGACAGCATCCGCAAGGATCAGGCACCGATCCCAACAAACATTTTCCAGGGTCTTCCGGACACCTATTTAAAGCAAAAAATTAAGACTCTATACATAAAATATTCTATTAAAGTTCTCTATATATAAATTATAATTATTATATTTAATTTTAGTTATACTTGTATTCGTACCTGTAATATCCGCATTCAATGCAACCGAGTGGTTGCTCTTTCTCAGTGACGCTTTTATTTTCAATAGTTTCAGCGGAAATGACTTGTTGAAGTGTCACGCAGAACACCAACGCTGACAAAAACGCAAACGGAAACGCTCTCCGGCGCGTCATTTCGTCTACTGACAGAAAGCGCGAGTGTCATTCGCCATGTCACTCCTGATGTGAAGAGGGAGGCGTATATGCACCGCGTATATTACAAAAATTCTCTCAGGAGAAATAACTTCCATACAATGCATAATATGTAATATCAATATTTATATTTTTTAACTTTATAAAAATCAATTATAAATATTATGCAATAACACAACATAATATATTTATTATTTTCGAGATTAACATTTCTACATACACTTAAATATATATTTGTGAAATCTTTATTTTTCATAAGTAATTTACAAATTTTGAATTCGAAATGTATAATTTACAAATTATATGTTTATACAATTGTGTGGTATTTGAGAATTCGTGTATTTTAATAAATTTAAACAATATTTTCTTTATTTAATTTTATTATAATTATAAGTTCAAATATTTCCAGCAGAATCTCTTGCGTAATAAGTAACGATGATAAAAGACTGAACCAACTGAGGACCAGATGATGGCTATAAGGATCAGTATAACGAAGGATATTAATGCCAACGGACTCGGCACGAGAATTGAATAGCCGATGCCACCGAGATTAGAAAACACGTTGTAGTATGCATTCTCCTTCTTCCTTTCACGTGTTTGCACATATGCACTTGATGTTCTCTCCGAGATACAGCTGACACCTACTGGACGCACGTGTCACATTGGTCCTTTGGTCACCCAACGCAAGGATAAAAATAAAATCAATCAGTCTCTAACCCATCTAGCAATAATCAAATTGATAAGACAAATTGAATATTCTCACATAGTTTGAGTATTATTAAATCTTTAAAATGTTTCAAAGTTTTTAATTTTTAAATAAAACCTTCTTTTCTTTCTGCGACTAATATGTATAAGATTCTAAATTTTAAAATTTATAAAATATTAAAAATAAAATATTTATATAAAAATTTAAAAATTTATAGAACTAGAACTAAAATTTTAAATCTAATAATATATTAGTTTATTTTTAATATAAAATCTCTCTGTTGCCATTCTCTAAGATATGACAAACTAAACATGTAAACACAAGCTATAAATTAATTTATAAAATTGTCATGTCTAGATATGAAGCTCATGAAGCTAGATATACAGATTTGGATATGCCTAATATAGAAAATTATATATATATATATATATATATATATATATATATATATATAGAGAGAGAGAGAGAGAGAGAGAGAGAGAGAGAGAGAGAGAGAGAGAGAGCTTATTTCCTACACTTAGAAAATGACACCGGAGAAATATTATATTTAAAATTATAAATTTTTAGTTCTAGTTTTATAAATTTTAAAATACCTATAATCGTATAAAAAAATTATATTATATTTAAAGACTTTTGTAGAAAAAGAAATTATTCATATCAAAAAATATAAACTTTTCTATATTTTAAAATTAATTTTAATTATTTAGATTTATTTAAAATATTTAAAGCTAATTCTTTTCTAATGAATTATAAAGATTTTACAGATATTCGTTTATTATTATTATTTCTGAATAATAAACTAACACAGTATGATCTCGAATCTTTGCGAAACAGACATTAAACAACTATATGAAACGGCATTTTTTAAACGTTCCATTATCTGATTTTCTGAGATAAATTGCTAGAATCTATCGTGTTTTCTTTCAAGGATTTTCCATCTCTGTGTTGTCTGTCGATTCGGTATGTTGGTGTTGTCGAAGTGCTTACAGAAACCACCAACAACCCGACATGTGCCCGCGGAGCATCGCGAAAAGCAACGGCTTGCCGAGACAATAATTTATTAGAGGTCAATAAATTCTGCCATTTTATCCGGGTAAGTGATTTCAATTCAAGAATCTCGCGAGCACAGAATTCCCAGAGATGTTTTTAACTAGTAAATGTTCCCCACGGAATGTGTAACAACCGGATCTGACATTGTTAGTCAGACGAAACGAATGAAGTATGCCACGATTTTTTTTAAAGATTTTTCGATCGCATATCATGCAAAGATTTTTGCATTTTTATATTTTCAAGAGCTGATTTACCTCTTTTTTCCGGCATGTCAAGCAAATCCGGATCGACAGACTTTGAAGGTTTTGTGATTTCCGACGAATTAATAAGCACGTTTGAAGTTAAATTTTCTAATTCAGATCTTTCGTCCAATGTCAGATTGTAATTTTCATCAACGTGTTCAAATCCATTTTCAGATTCGGTGCAATCTGCCGCGCAGCAACAATCGCAGTCTTTTACATCATATTTTTCCCGTTCCTTAATGTCATTTCTCTCGTTATGAATACTATTTTCCGAGTTCCTATCATCAGTTATGCAACTTCGCAAAGACTGACCTGTTCCCCTACAGGGCGAAGAGGGTCGACTACTCCGCTCGACGCAGAAAGTTAATTTTTTTCGAGGTGTCGGAGGACGAGAAGATGAAGCGGCTGAAGTCGGTCGTAGACAAGTTGTAGGCAAGCGAGGGTAATAAGAATTGTTCGATGAAATTAGTCGATCGCGACACTTGGTAGACGTGCATGGGTGACAGACTGATGGTAGACACGATTGACATCGCGTGCAATAACATTTTGGAACCGGTGATAATCGAGGAAAGGGACAGCATAAACGCGTGTTGGGACACTTGACTGTCGTTTTTGGAAATCTTCGCTCACTGGGTGGACACGCACATTCCGAACTGGAAGGACAGTCACAGGAACATTCACGAGCAGCGCGCACGTTTGCTTGAACCGGCAGCGGACAATTGCAGCCGCGTGACATCGGCTGACATAGGCAATAACTCGTATTACACTGGCAGTAGTTGCGCTTCTTCCAAATAGATTTCAGAGAGGTAGGCGAGCTGCAGGACTGACAATCGGGGGCCTGTCGCGATGAAAGAGAATATCTGCATTGCGAAGGGCAATAAGACGAAGAGGTCGACGAACAATCTGCGTTACAAGAACAGCAGGTCGATGGATAAGTACAGCTTGGACAACCACCGCCTGCTTCCCGTTTCAAAGGTCGTTCAGACGGCGATGATTTATTTATCGATGCCATTTCCGATTTGCTTGCTCCACCCGCTAAACGACGACTTCCACAGCATTTCTGTCGAAAATAGAAAAATTTGACGACAATTACAAAAGACAGTTACATATAGGACTCGCTTTATCTTTCCAGATCATTTTTGCTGAGATTTCATCATCGTTTAGAATTATCCATCTTATATATTAAAATATTATAGAAATTGTAATGTGATATAATTGTATTCTTTAAATCATAAAATTTTTTTAAATAGTATTGCGAAAAACGTGTATGAAAATATAAAAATCGTGTATGAAAATTACAACAATTAAATTTTAATTACTTTTCAGAGGTTTAAACATTTCAATTACTAAGCCATTAAAGTCTGTATACAAATTACTTTAGTCAACTTTACGGATTTTACCGAATAATTAAGAAACTTTGAACGCTAGCTTACTTCCAACTATACGATGCTAATTTACATAAATTGAGTGCACAAACTAATCGTGCCTGAATTAAATCCTTTCAATCTTCCTATCAAATTTAATTAAAACGTATAGAAAACGTCAGAATCAATTGCATCTTGTATACTATGTATAATCATATTGTTCTGTTAATTTTCTGTTAGTTGTGCACATCTTGCATACATCAAAATTCAAATGGACATGAATCTATATCTTTTAATATAATGTTTTGCTCAGATATACATATTTGTTTCTCCTCATTTTTGATATTAATATTTCTAATTGAAAATAATTCATAAAAGAGGTAATAAAGTTAAGAAATGTTAAAACTGATTCTTAAAAAGAGCTAAAATATTTTAAAATGAGTTAAATAGAACAATTTTAAATTGAATTGCACAGGATTAAGAAAATCCGTTGCTCCCTTCGCACTGGAATTTAATTTCATCTCTCTTCAAAAAGTAAATACATATAAATTTACTACCTTAGAGGAATCTCAAGCGCTTTCTATTCTTGGCAAGGAATCTGCTTCAGTGTACCTGACAGACTGACGCAGTTAAAATGGTACCGGAACACGGCGGTGCTGGTGAAAGACACAGTCGGCCCGGAGCGACAGTTCTGCTGCAAACAAAACGTAATACAGGGCGTAAAATAAGGAAGACCAATAATTCTTTCAATATTTTACGAAGAAATATTCACTTATCATACGCAAATTTTCTTTACACAAAAATATTTTTAATTATAAAAACAGCATCACTATAAATAGATTAATTTGTATACATACGTAAATGGAATCAGATACCAGCTCTAATTTCTTTTAAGTTATCAATTAATTTATTCAATTATTTTAGCCATAAATATTGCGGAAAATTTTTCTTAAATATATAAATATTTATATAAAATATTCAAAAATGCTGAAGTTTATTATTTTAAGACGGAATAATCAATTTTTTGAAACGAAAGCAACAAATATTATATATATATATATATATATATATATATATATATATATTAGATTATTTATATATTTAACATTTCATTTTCATTATCGCATCACATACAAGAAGTAACATTTTTTCCTCGCACCGCTAATAATTAACTATTGTTATTTAATCCTACCACAATCGATTGCAGTTGCAGAATTTGCACGCTTGCTGACGACCATAATCGCTCCATTGACGACGCAACTCGGCGAAGTTACTCAACCATCGGCAATTCGGTTTAGGTGGTGCGTTACTGTTCCAGATTTTCTCTTCGACGCATTGACAGGACCCAGGACACGCGCCCGTCACGGCTGTCCCGATGGGTCGCAAACCTCCGCAATCACTCCGATCCAGGCACCCTACGTTACTTTGGCAATTACACGAAGATATACGCGCCTTAGAACAACTGCTTTTGCTTGATACACAATTGTTTCCTATGTGACAATATTACAGACTGAGATAATCGCATTTTCGAGATTACAAATTAAAAGATTTTCGAAAAAAAAAGAGAGGAAATTTGGATTGCACTCCTTTAATGACCTTAAATACAAGTATTCTGTATTATGAAAATAAATATATTGATTTGCTTATGAAATAAAACTTGAATACTTCAGAAATGCATTTCAAATATGATATACAATATATTTATTCATAAATGAAAATTAATTTTTATCGTGATAATAATTATCTTATAATAAAAAATAAAAAATTTAAACTTTTATAAAATCATTGGAAACTATATAAGTAAGCCAGTGTATAATACTGTATAATAACACATTATATAATAACACTGATTTATTTATATTTGCCAGATTTCCTTATAATCTTAGATTTAATTTATATTTATATTTGATATTTAATATTTGATTTATATACTAACCACAGCAATCGGCGTTAAAATATTGTCTGTTGTTTTCAATTTTATCACAGATGGACATATTGATTTATTCTCCAAATGATATCTAATTTTCTGAATATAAAAATCTCGTATAAGGATGCCATTTACGGTCCGAAATAGATAATTAAATTGACAGAAACATTTGCATTTGATTTTGGTTTACATTTTCGAATAATTTATTTAGCTATTTTGGTTTATTTATTAATCGATAAGATGTGATTGAAGGTGTGAAGATTAACGAAAATTGATTGCTGGAAATATATGAATATATCTGTTTATTAAGTCAGAATATTTGAGTTGCCATAGAAGCAAGATGCACAATATTTTCTACTTAATAATAGTATTGAACGTATAAATTTATAGAGAGAACATATATAAATTTATAGAGAGAACATATAAATTTATAGAGAAACTAAATATTATAAATCGCTCCCTATATGTGCGCCATTTATTACCTTACTATATTTTATTTAATAAATTACAATTAAAAATTTCAAATTTAAAAAAGAAAACAGCTTTTTGAAATATAATATAAAATTTGACATTAAATGATAATAGTAAATTAATTTATACAAACAGCTTAGTAACTAAAATAAATTTTATTTTTTGAACGATAGACTTTATATGCAATGTTGATTTAATCATCGAAATTTAAAATAAAAGAAAACGCAAAAAATGTTCAATTCAAATTTATATTACAAAATATACATGAATTGTTATATAAATTAGATATACACGTATTAATTTGGCTTATTTAGATTTTTTAAAATGGGATGATTTACATTGTTTTCAATTAAAATTCATTTGTATTCACAAACTCTGTATTGCATTAAATATTCATTAAACGGAATTTATAGCGGAAATCATTAATTAATAAAGAAATTATTAATATTCTGTAATAAATAATATTTATTAAATAATGTTGGTCATTTTGTAAACTCCGCAAATTCTTTTACTCCGTAAATTCTTTTTTACGAACACATTTTTTGATGCAAAATTATTGCGTAGTCAAAGGATTTTTATTGATGTCTCTCATATCATATAAAAGTAAATCCGTGGTTTATCTCCATAGAATCGAAAGGACCTTCATTATGGAGAATTTACCTTTCGTTGGTTACGTAACCATAATATCATTCGGGGTGATAAAAATATCCGTTATAGAATTAAACCCAAGTTTTATTAGTGCTTAAAAGTAATAATTTTAATAATAATTTAACATTGACAATAATTTAACAACTATCTTTAAAATGAAATCACAAAATTAATTAAATATATTAAATATATAATTAGTTATATCAAAGATTTTTTCTCATTAAATGTCTTTCTACTATTTGTAATATCAGTATGAATAACAATGATAAAGAATGTATCTCATTATCCATAAATGTATTTGTTTGTAATCACATTTATATAAACATTGTTATATCTACTTATTTTTAAATAGAGAAAAATATTTTACCAACAATGGAAAAATATGTTTTCTTGTACAAATTTTTATTTTGTGTATTAAGAAAAGGATAAATATTGATTAAATTATCACGAAAATATTCGAGAATTGCATAATTATATATTTTCAATTTATTGTGTGAACATTTGAAAAATAGAAGAGTCGAAGAATAGCTGCCAAGCTATCCGGAATCGTTTTACGAATACGTATTGTTATTGTGATTTCTGCTGTTATTATTCGTTGTTTATGTGTTCTGTGTTTCTTATTAAAGTTTTTTAATTGTTCTAAAAAAGTGTTTATTTATTTAACGCGATGCGCGAGTGTCGGTTGCGTTGCGCGGTTCGATGTATCGAAATCGTCTCCGCGGACGTAATAATATAATAAATCAGATATTTTATAAATCAGATATTTTATATATAAAAATTATATATTTTTTGTCAATCATAAAATATTATAATATTTAATAATTAATAATTAATTAACTTCTAATAAACGACATAAAACTGTATTGTAACTGATAAATCTTTATCGAAGCGCAATCACATACATACACACACACACACACACACACACACACATACATTCACTGCGAAATATTATTATATTTAAATTAAATTATTATATTTTAACAATGAATTATAACAATAACATAGTATCCAACCTAGGCAAAGTAAATCGTATCGCTCTAATGTTTATATCTTATCTCGGTCTTGTTATTATTTGCACAGTGACATTTGAGCAGTAAAACAGCGAGCTATAAAGCAGTGATGTGAAATGTTTCATATATTGTAAAATTCTTTCTCTAAACATGATTGCAAGTGCAATGAGGAACTTTTCGTGAATAAGTGCAAGTGCAACGAGGAAAAGAGTGCAACGAGGATTCAAATGCTACGAGGTAGAGAAACAGCAAAGAAAGCAAAAGAAAAACGGAGGATTCAATAATGGAGGGATCAATATAAGGTAGTAATTTAAATTAATATATTTACAATAAATTATCATTTATATATATATATATATATATATATATATATATATATACACATTGCATATATATAAATATTTCAACAATAAATTAATAATAACATGATGTTTGATTTCTACGATATATAATATGCCAATGTTTACATGCCTTAGCTTCGTTATTATTTATGCGATAATATGCAAATAAAAAAGTAATAGTGCGAACGTTCTAATAAATTTCTTATTATATTCTTATATATGTATATATATATATATATATATATATATATATATATATATATATATATATATACAGCGTGTCCCACCTAGAAGTGGCTACCCCCTTTTATCTTTTAAACTAAAAGAGATAGACCATAACAAATGTATATGAAATTAAATGGCTTGAACTGAACTTTATTATGAGTATAGTGATATATATATTAGTATTAAGCAAACTCTCACCTAATTATCTTAATAATAAATGTATAAATATAATATAATAAATAGATAATAAATAAATAAATAAGTAATAATAAATAAAATTAAAAATAAATAAATAAAAATAAATAATAATAAATAAAATAAAAATAAATAAACTATATAATAACTATATAATAAAGTATATATCTTTTTTTCGATTATTTTGAATATAAGATATTCAATTGCTGTCTATTTCTATTTGAAATCGATCTTTCATAAGAATTTTTTTTTATTGTTTTGCTTTCTTTGGATAATTTTTAGAATATAAAAGGAATGCGGGGAAAATTTTGAAACACGAAAATAACTATGCAAAATTTTTTATTTATTTATTGTAATAACATTGAATCATTTTGAATATTGACGAATATATCCATTTTTAGTATGTATATCCATTTTTTTGACCGATAAAAAATTAATTATTATTAAAAAAAAAGATTAAAGAACACTTTTAAATACTGTCTGTAAAAAACTGCCTCTTAATTACAGTTGCTTCTCAATGTTCTCCATTTGCTCTACTGTCAATTTTTTTTCTAATTGAGCTGCGTCTTGACAGCTTTGTTTGACTGCGTCTTCTGCTGCGCATTCAACTTCTTGTTTATACTTTTTGAATGTCTTGAACTGAAAGCATGGAACATTCATGCATGCCAGCAATTTTTGCAGATGCGACCATCCTAATCCGGAATGCAAAACACCTATAAACAGTTTCATATTAGTCACCTACGTTAATACATATTTTTTGAGAGAAATTCATACAACGATGTGATTCTATAATAGTACGCAGTATGGACAACCCCCATCATATGAATTTCTGTTTATTCGAGTTTTTTATCGCTCAATAAGACTGTATACTATAATTGATAAATAATTGAAAAGATAAATAGAAAGAATATCGATCATACCTATAACTGCTTCGTAGTTTATATCAAAACGCGTATTGCGTTTGTCACTGGAAGGTGGCATTGTGCATGTTAAAACTTCGTTTATGATGAAGCATTTATGACATCGTATTGCCAAGTGTGAGCCCAATCCACGACGATACTCGTTTTCGATATATTCGAATGATAAAGCTTCTTTGCACGAAATGCACCACATTTGTTTTCCCAGAAACTTCAAATCGACAATGCGTCGTCCGTCTAATGACGATACCTCTTCTTCATCGTCCTCCTCTATACTATTTTCGTGAACTTGTTGAGACTCATCAATAATCACTTTTTTCCGCTCCTTTCCGATATTTTGTTGTAATAATCTTTTTTCGTAAACTTTTTTCGACACGATTTTTCCCTTCCACCGATGACGTTCGTTCACTTTGCCCATTGTTAAATGAAAAAATACGAACTAACCTTACACCTCGAGCAATTTCTGAAAGTCTGACAACTTACAAATGCGTATAAGCCGAATCGATTGACATAAGCAGCATAGGCAGGCTTCGTTTGTAGAGTGCGCAGTCCGGCCAACTTACGAAAAATTACAACGTTGTTATATTTCACACTCGCCAGAAACATGACAAATTATTAAATTTATTAATTAAATTGCTATAAATAATGCATTTTTTTAATTAAAAAATGTTTTCATATTTATTCTGACACTTTAACCCACTCAGTATTATTAAATTATTTTATTCTCAAAAATGAAATTTCGTGTTGTCAAGTTGGATTAAGATACTGCCAAAAGTTAATCATTTCGATTAACAAAATTTGGAATATTTCAGTAAAAACACAATAAATATTAAAAAATACATATCTTTGTACTGTAGCTAAAATCAAATTGTAATATTCCATGCAATTTCTCATATTCAAAATACATTAAAGGTGAATATATTCGTCAATATTGATTTTCAGCTACTTTTTGCTGGGATTCTACATACAAAGCATCCTTAAATATATTAAAATTCCAAGAATCTTAGAGATTAATCATCGCCAATCTTCGTCTGGACTATGTAAAAATATCTAGTAAATTTTATATTATAAAATATTATACATATATTTTGGACATTTTCATATAATAAATTATTCCATGTTATAAATTATTTTGTATTACATTTCAAATTATATTATATTTTACATTAACTTTTATATTAAATTCTGTATTGAAAAAAAATAAAAAATGTTTCCCACTCGATAGTATCTCCACCTTAACAAAGACATTTGCCGGGTAAAAAGGTTTGAGTACTCTAATAAACCTGAGAGCTACGCCGATATTCATATACTTTCTTATTTAATTCAAGACTTTTCTTATATTTAAAATACTTTTAAATATGATCTTAAATATAAAAGTGAATTATAAATACCGATCATAGTTATTGATAGGATCACTCATGCCGAATAGGTCGAAGGGGAAGACTAAGAGAGATACCAAGATTATATAAATATTTGTTATATTAATTATATTAATATTTTAAATTATTAAAAAATAATTGATAAATATCAAAGATCAACTTACTGCTAATTAAGAAGATTTATAGAAATACGGTTAAAAATGTTTTTATCCCACTGCAGGCGTTTTGTGTTTTGTAAATAAAAAGATATAAATATAATAATGAATATAGAAAAATGTTTATTTCATCTTTGAATATTACAGTATCTTTCGCGATTGAATAATTTATTTACTATCAATTTATATACATAAGTATCTTGTTATATAGCATTGGTGCTACCCGCATTTTGTGCACATAGTACGGAATAAAATCAGAAATTGTGTACATTATATATTACCCTCTGAGAACATTCATGGACATTGGCTTTGTTTTAGTTTATGTCCACGTTTTTAATATCCATAGAGAGAGTATCGGTTTCAGGGATCACCTAAAAGTAGGCCATGACATCTTCTCTCTGATATACATATTAAGTATATACATCGCGTGATCAAATATAAAATTTTTAATACAAGTCCTTATACAAGATTACCATTTTTACCGTAACAAAAGAATTTTATTGCTGTCTCTCTCGTCAGATAATATTCCTAAATATTGCTAATTAAATATAAAAAACTGTCAAATAAGAGAGTGAAGATTTGATGTGATAAGTCAACAATTAAATATTAGCTTCATAAAATTTAACGATCACCTTTGATATTATAGAATCGTGAATTAATTATTAATATTATAAACTTAATAATTTGTTTTTTCAGTTATATTTGTATTTACGAATTTTGTATCGGAAAAATATTCATAAATAAATTAATAAAATACGGTTGCGAAAACACCGTGCTTTTTCTCGCATTCTTTTTTGTATTCATAGACGAAATTGTCATTTTAATAAAAGAGTTATCGTTATTCCTTTCGTTAAATAAACGTTAATGAAAGTTGCGTAGTTCGTACCGCCGAGTAGTCAAAACGATTTTCATCATGGAGAATTATTTCTCACTGGTTCTTGTGAGATCCATTCGCGACGTCTAGTTCGGTGCCTTGTTAAAAATTGGGAATTTTTATTGTAAGTATTAGAACTAATCCCAGGTTTTTCTGGCAATTTCCGAAAGCAATAATTTCGATAGTAATTCAACGACAAATGCTATTGGCGATATTAACATTAATTTTTAGTTTCATTTAAGAAACTATTTGCAGGTATTCGACATCCATCGCTATTTTGAAATATTAGTTTTTAAATATATACCATTTTATATATATATGTATAATAAAATACATGTACAAATTCACATATCCAAAATATTTTTATAATTTTTATTAATGTTATATATTATATAACGAAAGTATATAGCAAAAGTATACATGAATGTTACATATAAAATGTGCAAGTACTTGAAAATTTCGAGACAAATCGAATGGATACCCCTATATCAGATAAGATATATCCTATAAGATAAAAATTAAAAGAAAAGAAATTATTAATTTAAACGTTATAAGAATAAGAATCTAGAGAATTAATCTAGAATTAATTATATATTTAAGATTATTTGATTTATTTTATTTTGCACACTATTCTAATTGAAATTTTTTAAAATTTTGCTGATATTAGGTTCGATTTGTCTCGCGCGCGCGAACGGTACCTGAAAATTATTATATGTATGTGTTCGCATATTTAACACCAACTCCAATGATGCATGGATTTTATTATTTATAAATATAATCGTTCGTAATCAATATAATTTCAATAAAAAAAGTCATTATATTCACACATATTTAATTTTCAATAAAGAAATATATTTCTTAGTAATGGAAGAACATGTTTTCTGACGTGAATATCAATTTCGTGAATTGAAAATAATAACAAGGGATAATTGTCATTGATTTATTACTGAAATCATTGCTATCGGAAATATAGTCCGGAAGATCCAGGATTCGTTCTCTCCTACAGTGAAGTTCCCAACGTTTAATGGATCATTTAACTTTTCTTTGTAGTCGCGATTTATCTTATAACTTAATATTATCTTATAATTTTTTTAATCGTTGACTTACATCGAAGCTTTATCTATCTTTCCATGTTTTTGAATATTGTAGATTGATCTTGCGAAATCTGATGTAGAAACAAGATGTTAATCGTTCTCTATTTTTAAGATCGCTCCTCTTTTTATCAGATATTACCGGTATGTCACTCGCGTATCTGCAATTGAATATTTTGAATATTATCGATTTATTTATTCGTCGCATTTTCTCGGGAATTTTAAATCGCGATTTATCTTATAACTTAATATTATCTTATAATTTTTTTAATCGTTGACTTACATCGAAGCTTTATCTATCTTTCCATGTTTTTGAATATTGTCTTTAGTAGTCTGCGCAAAATGCGTTAATGCAAATATTTTCTTCTATAATTTAAAAGATGATCGATAACTTTATTAATGAATGTTTTAATTACGAGATTATTGATATTATATAAATCTTATTAAACTTTATTATATCGATTATCAGAGGAACCTTGATAAAATCATTCAGTCCGTTATTTTCTATTAATCTCTAAACATGGCAATAACGCGATTTTCTATTAATTATATTTTAATAATATATTTAAAGTTGTTAATTTTTAAAATCCATTTTATCTTATTTAACTAATCATGTGCGAGATAAGATATGAATTTTATTCTCAATCGCATAAAATCGCATATTAATTGTAAATAAATGGGACAGTGAATTTTATGTTTATAAACAATACGGACCACAAATGTTTATCAAAATATCTTTGTGTATCATTATTTGTATGGTAATAATTATGTCGCTGGTATGTCTATTGATAGTTTCGATTATTATATTATAAAAATTATGTGCATCTCGCAATCAAATATTCGATTATTGTCGATTATTGTCGATTTATTTATTTGTCGTGTTTTCTCGCGAATCTTAAATCACGATTTATTTTGTAATTTAATCTTTGGTTTACATCAAAGTTTGCTCTATTTTTATGCGCTTTGAAAATTGAATTTCTTTTGATGGTCTGCACAAATAATGCAAATACTTTCTTTTACAATCGAAGAAACAATCAATAATTTTATTAATGGTTCTTTTGATCATGATTATTTATGCTTATACGTTATTTATATAAAATTAATTAAATTCTATTATTGTATGTCGATTATTAATAATAAGTCGTATATTTGGTAAGGAAATTTTCGCTCTGTAAGCTCTGTAACTCTGTAGCTCTTTAGCTCTTTCTTTTTTTCGCTCTTCGCTCTTTCTTTTTTACTCTACAGTGCTACATAGCTTATAGAGACAGCATTATAGAGCATTTTTACAGAATAAACCCATAAATATCGCGTAATTTATTATCATTAATGAATCTTGCCTGGTCTATGTAAAAATTTTTAGTAAATTTAAAATTTTATATTATTTATATAATTAATATATTATATAATATAATTTTTAAAATTATTTTTTAATATATAATTCTCGAAACTGAAAATATTACGTAATACTATCTTCATCGATAGATTAAATCTGGCTAAAAGATTTATTAAAGTAAAACATTTATAAAGTGATTATTGAAAAGAAAACTTAAAAAGTTATTCGATATATTTACGATTTGTCAAATTGCCTTGTGGATAAAGTTAACATCTCCGTCTCTAAAAAATTCTTTTATTTTCTAAAGAGTTTTAATTATTAATAGCATAATTTTTTTGAAACAACACACTTGATTTTCAAAATGGAGATTTATCCTGTTAATGTTCCTATAGTTTTTATCATATTCTTTCTTTTCTAAATAGTTTTAATCATTCTAATTAGTAACGATAATTAATTTTTTACGATCATATGATCTGTATATGATATGTATTACTCAATAGAAGGTATATCATTTTAAAAACATTATATGAAAAATCACGATATAAAATGTTGATTGTAGCGGCTCGAATAGTAAGAGATATTTTTATAATACTGTATTCTAAATTTTAGTGAAAAAGCTGGAAATGCGAAAAATTGTTTCATTCATAAAATAAATTTAGCCATAGTTGACTAACTTTAATAGTACTTTATCGGTATTTTTTTTAAAAAAAGCATATTTCTATGTCTATGGCTTACTAAATATCACTATTTCTTGTGTTACATTTTTAGTTTCCTTGTAAGCAGTCTATGTATTTTATGTCTATGGTTTAGTTATATAATATATAAAAATTTATTTCTTGAAGTTGGTAGCCATGAAACCGGAGCCTTTGTATTCTCACCATATAGGTACGGGATATGGGGTCTTTAAAATCGATTTCAGAGTTAGACCAGGAGGTTCACCAAAGCCTAACCTAAACTTAAACCTAACATTAAGTTAAGATTTGTTATGAGTTGATTTTATTAACTTAGTTTATGTGATCAGTATGAAAGTACCACTGTCAAACTTGCTAAATTATTTTATGAAACATGGGAGATAAAGGTATTTAATGATTTTTTCCCATAATAAAATATTATCTTATTTCATTTTCCAATCTTTTTTGGAGCAATATATAAACATGTACTTAAAAGCACATTTATGTAATATTTTTTTTAACAAATCGTAGTGTATATAACAAAGTGTACATAAATATATATATATATATATATATATATATATATATATATATAAAGTTATGTAACAAAAAGGTATTAGTAAATTTTTTATTCATTGATCATTATTGAATGTAGATGTAAGGATTTATCACAATTGAAAATAATATATATTATTAAAAAATTAATAGCTCTTAATTATAAAATTAATCTCTTAATTATTAATTATAAATGTAATAACTCCTAATGGATAAGTTTTAATAATAAATTTTTTTTTAAAGAATACTAATTTTTTAATAGTGTTTGAAGATTATTTTTTAAAATAATGATATATAATTTTTTATTTTTAAATAATGTAAAGAATATTAAAACAAATTTAATTATTATAAATGATGTTATACTTTTTGATAAAGGAATTTGAGAAATTTATTTACAATCTTTTCTTATTAATTTTTTATTTACAATTTTTTCTTATGTCAATCTGTATTGAAAATAACTCAAAACATTTTCAGGTCAATTTGAAGAGATTTTTTTCTATTTACAAAATTATCGAAAAAAATTGTTTTTTACAATATTTTATAATCTTTTTTAATTTTTAAATACAGTTTCCAATATCAGTTTTCCAATTAAGTCTTAAAACTAATTATTCTGTGAAAGTCTATTTGGAAATTAATTAAGAAAAGTTTTATCAAATAGCTTTGTCTATTTTGTTGTTGAAGTTTAGTTTGTGAAAAAGCTTATTTTTAATCTTTAATTACTTAAAAGTTATTAATGTTTCAATATTTTACATATACATGTGTGTTTAATCTAGTAAAACTCTTCCTCCTCTTTTAATTTAATTAATATTGTTTGTAGAACATCATGTGCACTTTAGCGGCGGATGCGGACTTGGAAAAGACAACAATATTATGATACAGCCACAGAGACATGGCCACATTGATGCTCACTTAGGATTTTTGCAATTGCATCATAGGTTATTCTATAAAACTTATAAATTATAATTAATACTTTTTTCAATCTAACAAATTATTATTTTAAATGCTAAGAATGAAAATTTTTAGTAAATTTCTATCGTAATTTTGCGTTTTTTATTAACATTTTTAACAATATATATATAAAATATGTAAAAAAACATAATATACATAATGTATATATGTATGTGTATGTAAATATGAATACATGATGAATATGTATGAATATACATTTTTTCCAGATATCACATAGAATTCTCTGTGCCATGGAACACATGTATCCATCCAGAAAGAAAAATAGTAGCCCCGGCAATAATTGCAGGAAACCACAATGCAAACTGTTACATTGTCCTTTTGACACAAGAGAAAGACAGTTTAAGGTATACAATTTGTTGTATATATATTTTTTTATAAAATAAAATTTTTGAAATATAACGAAATTAAAATCACGTAAAAATGACTCTGATAATATACAATATCCAAGTAATCAAAATAAATTGCAAATATAAGAGCCAGGCATAGATTTATGTCTCACAAATAATTTATTCAATTTAAACACATAAAATCACAATAAATAAACATTTCGATTTTAGGATTATATTTAGCAATATTAGCAACAATTATACTAGTATTGTTACAAGTGATTTTATTTATCGTCATTTTATGTTTAAATTAAATAGATTATTTAATGTGATATAAACCCGCGCTTGGCATTTACTTGCTCTCGTTAGGTACATGTTATATTTTTTCATATTCAATTATCACATTTTTTCAAATTGATGTATAAAATAATTGTTTCTTTTAGATTGAAGATAGAGCTGCTAGCATATAAAGAAAAAATATTAAAGGAGGAAGTCGAAATAATGTGTTGTCTATCTGGTACGCCATTGAAAATTGTATTAAACGCACGTGTTTTAGCAAAGGATAAGGGCACACCATTATTAAGAAATGGCATACGTAGCATTGGTATAGAAGGAGTAGACGAAGACGAAGTTTCTGAATAAATCTGCTTGCTATCGAGCCTTCAATGATATTTAGGCGTTAAGCTTTGCCGAGTATTAAAAGTACAAACGAATAATCGGCGGAATTAGCATTCCAGAATAGAGCGGATAATACAATTGTGAAAGAAAATGTTCAAGAAAATGTTTCGCAAGATAAAATAATCTGCCTACTGTTGCTCTTTTTAAGCGTACGTCACGCGCAAAATGCCTACAAAAGCTATGACACTTATCGTCTGCTAATTATATATCCGCAGGTTATAACAAGTAAATTGTATTTTATCGTTTTATATCAACTGTCAATTTTCAACGAAACTTTCGCTAAATGAACACAAGGTACTAAATCACCTTTTATTTATGTATTCGTTAAAAGAAATTAAGATTAAAGAAAAAATTATTTGAATAAAACGATAAAATTTTCTTGTGGCTTATCAATAACATTTGGCATCTTTGTCAAAGTTTCAATAATTTATCACTAGTTTTACATACACTATCATATTGCTATCGGATTCATAAAATTGAATCAACAGCAAAACATGATTTGTCGGTTCTTATTCAAACGACAGTAAATCTCAACATCGAAAATTGAATTTTTTCATAGGAATTCCGGTTGGACCGTCTACAAATTCGCAAATGTTAAAACCTAATTTTGCTAACGGATGACAGTTACTGCTGGGATTGCCCCATTTGCCTTTAAAAGTCATCCAGCCTGGTAAAGGCTCGTTGTCTTCTTCCAAGAGTAATTCTAATTTTTTCCATGTCGGCCAGGCAGTCCCGAATCCGCTTTCATCATATAGACGTGGAACACGTACAAATTTGTGTTTTCCCGGAGCTGTCCAGAGCCCATGAGAGCCGCGCGCACTGAATAAAATCGGATGCGAGCCATTGGCGGTATAAACTTTTTCAGGAAAAATCGGCTTTTGGAAGAGACCTTTTCTAGTTTCCTGACTTTCATAAACAAAAGTGCCATTTCGTGGATCATATCGATAAAATGCACCGGCGTCATGGGCTGATACATACATCGCCAGAGGATACTCGTTATCCTAAAAATACGCAATATTTATGTATATATAAGTGTATATATGTGTATATATATATATATATATATATATATATTTACTTATGTATAAACAAATAATTACAAATAATACAATTTATTTTTTATATCGCTCTGATACTGTTCGTTAGATTAAATACAGTTTTTACGATAATTGATACGCGTTATATGTATGTTAATTTGGCTCTAAATATAAATTTAAGTAATAAGCAGGTGTTCAATACTTAAAATTTTTATCTGACATTAGTATATAGTTTGCCACATGGATTAGCTAAGCTTAAAAATATATTAAGATAAAATATATTATCGCAAATTATATCGTATATTTGCTGGTTTTATTTCAAGTATACGGCAAAAGCAAAAGAGCAGAAAAGTTTACTTTGCAAAAAAATTTTTAAAGAAAGTACTTTACCTTGAAGTAAAGACTCATATGTTCCCAATCTCCGATGTGACTGCCGTATTCTTTGAGCGTGCCTATGCACATGCCACCCATAGTAGGTATCGGCCAACTGCCAAAAAACCCAAGATCTAATACGCAGATCATTTTTCCCTCGCTAAATGGGTAGAACATCCAGTAGGTCACGTGAAAGTGCACTTTTCGACATTCATTCTTCTCTTTGACTTTTTCGAACCGCGATTCTGTTTTCGTCTGAGATTAGTTTTACGTGAACGAAAAAGAGAAAGACACTTATATTCATAAAAAATAATATATAACAAATTTTAAAAAATTTGTTTTATAAAGTAAAGAAATTCAATTTTAAATTTGATATCGGGAATTTCCAAAAGAGATAAAGTGTAAAAAGATGCATCTATTTTCGTGTTTTATACCTGTTGCATTCGTTCTCGCAATGCAATCTGTGTTCTTAAATCATTGTCATCATTAGATTGTCGTTGAGACAAAAGTCCAGAATCCTGTGGCAACGTTAAAGTGTTCTGTTCGCTCTTAGATGTCCGTTTAGTTTTTTTCATGCGTAGCCACGCATCTTTGGAAACGCATTTTTTCACAAGAGCGTAGACAGGCACAGTTCCAGCGGGTTTCCGACCATATAAAAAAGACGATTGATTCCTTAATAAGGATTCTGTCAAAAAATTCAAAACATTAATAGCAATTTTGTAACAATATTTTTTTTATAAATATTCACACTTTATGCCTTGTATGTTTGAACAGTTTTTATTTATTTTATATCTTTCTCGTATTATCCGTATGTTATAATTTGAAAAATTTGAACATTTACCTATGTCTATTCTAGTGCGAAGATAATTTTGATCTGACTGTACGTTATCGAGAAATTCAGTTACACCAAGGGGTAAGAATCGTTCTCCTGGAGCGAGCCATACTAGAGGCGCCCAATCACGTATCAATCTTCTCACTAAAAGATCAAACAAGAAAATATTTAATTATTGAATAAGTATCTAATATATATCTATCATGCAAAGAGTTTAACGTGGAAATTATTCAGGATTTCTCTGTAAAATATCTTAAAATCGCGATTATAGTGTATGCCTTTTTTATGGCTATTTATCAATTATTGCAGAGTACGTTTGGTGCAATACACAACAGATCAACCTCATGTACGAGCGAATGTACGCACATATATGTGTATACGTATGCCGCAGAACGAGTGCACCTCTAACTCTCGGTTCGACTACATACTCATTTTCGCTATATCGCGAGAAACGGGCACGTAGGTCAACGCGAGATTCTCGTAACCCCATTATGCGAATATCTAAGAGCGGCTAAAGCCTTACACTGGTTTGTTCTTGTATAACTCATTTTGTTATACAACAATAAAAAGAGAAAAAAGATTACGTATGTGTATGAAACGTACAACAAAATCGCATTTAATCGCAGACTCAACAATCCGTCTTTTCACGGAATTAAAGAAGCCTTGATACTTTCTTCTAATGAATTATTTAAAATACATCATGGTAATAATTAGCAAGTTTGTTTAATTGAAAATTAATTAATTGTTAAACATTCTAATATAACGATCTTAAGATACCGATTTTTAACAACACCGAATTACGGATAAAGTCGAAAATTAATATGCGACCCCTTTTAATCCGCTTTAACTTATTTTGCTTCTTTCCATGATGGAACCGGTCCAGAAATGGGACAACCAATATTGAACTCTGTACAACCTGTTTGTTCGCGTACGCGGAACAAATGCGAATGTTTCGCATAAAGTAACCATCTCTTGTACATCAAGTTTATCATACTCGTTTGCAAAATCTTAAATATATTTCACTGTTACAAAAGCTTTTAACGATTGAGTAAGAAAGTTTTACAATCCCGTATATTTTACGATCGCGTTGTGCAATCTTTGCGTACAATGTAATCGGTTATATTTAATATATGAATAAGTGTACTTTAACTGTGTGTGCATGTGTGTGTATGGCTAATTTATAATTATATACAAATATTTTATTAATATTTATTAAATATTAAAAATTATTAATATTATCTAAAAGAAATAAAATATAAGAACTCGATTCTATTTTCTTACATTTTTTATATAAATTTAATAATGATACTTTTTCTTCTTATAATTTTTTTTTTACATAATTGCAAATGCGATTAATCGTAATATAAATGATGCATACCGACGAATAAGTTTCGACGAATAAGTTTCGATCAAGAATTGATATTGCCTTATATTTATTGATAAATCACGCGATTCATTCAGCCAGTCAAGCTACATTTGAATTTTGAACAAATGCCGCGCATGAAAATGCATCGAACAAATATATTATTTTTTATATACGCGCGCAAAAGCGAAGAGAGCAAAAGATTTGCTTAAATTTTCGTTTAAATATACTCGAAATTTATATCGATACATATTTCATGCAACGAGAAACATACCTCGTTTTTCATTGGCCGCGGGTAGACGAAATCCTGCAACCGCACGAGTAAAGATCAATAAACAAACAAACAATAATCCAGTCATGTTCGTCCCATCGATGCATTTTGATACAAGGAACGTGATCCATAATCATCGATCCGTGTTCTTCTTCATTTACTTCCGCATTCCTATGATTCGCGCTTAATTCCTACGAAGAGAAGCGATAACGCGGGAAAGGTAATCCTCTTCGGCATCAAAACACTTCCTGGACTAAAGCGCGACTACCTCGCGTTTTCCGCGCCGTTCACTAGACAAACGTTGTTGCAGTCACACGTATATATTACAGGAGGTACACGCACATTTGTAATCAGACGCGCGCGCGGTAAAAGTTTGAGAGATTATTACGAAAGAGAGATCCAAATTAAGGGGGGAGGCTCCTGAGTATTCGCCGCGAATAATAATTAAATGTTAAGGCTATAATAGTTTGAGTTATAAGCGATCAAAGTTTGTCAAAGATATCATATAGAATTCGCGCGCTCAGGTAACTACCTCTATAATTACATTTACATGTGTACCGATCTTTCATCTGTTATTAATTTTTTTATATCAAGTGATAGTGATCTATTGTATTATATAAGGTTATGGTATAATGATATTAGTTTGTTGTACAAATTTTATTTTTTATGTGCGTGTTTATCATGTACATCGCATACATTATGGTGATTAATTAGTATTAACAAATTATAAATAATATACAGGAAACGTTTACTTTTTTTAAGTAAAAATTTAAATAATTTTTCAATTATTACATTTAAACAGAATTATAAAATCTAATGTTTTAACACATATTTAAAAAATGAGATACATTTCTTCTTAATCAAAGAAATATTCTACACGAAATATTCTACATGATATCATTGGCAAACTTTGATTGCTTATAACTCAAAAACTATTGTAGCCTTAACATTTTTGTATTAGAATTTTCGTCTCAGTTTTTGTTCAGGAATATGTTATTAAAATTTCAATTGTGAGTTATGCTGTATATAGATACATATAAAGAATAAGACATTTTAATAGATAGTTTATTGATTAGATTAGAAATTGTGATAGTTTATGATTCGGAGTATTTTGTTCTTATTTTCTATATTCTTTTTAAAGAGAATTATTTATGTTATAATTATTTTATTAAAAAAAGTAATTATTTTCAAAAAAGTGTACATTTAAATTAAAACCATCTAATATAATTCAACGCACATATAATTAATCTATTTGATACTCATTTTTAATCCTTTTTCGAGAAATTTGTAACCCAATTTCAAGTTAAATTGCAATTGCAAAAATTGTACGTTAAATTTTGCTACATAATGACATACAATATTTAGTTCTGGGTTTATAAAACAGTCAAATAATTATATAAAATTGCATATATTATTAAGTTCTTTCGTTAACAAACTAATTTTCAACTAATTGCAACTTTTACAATAGATCTTCAAATAATGCATTTTTTATGTTTGTGCGATAAAATTTTAAAATATGTACGAATAATCATAAATGAGATAGTTTATTGTAAAAGTTGCATTTAATTGGAAATTAGTTTGTTACAAAAGAATTTAATAATATATGGAATTTTGAATATACCTTATATACCTTATTGTGAGTTTAAAATAATTGTAAATTCTTAAAGAATATAGAGAAAGATATTTTTTATTAGTAATTGTTTAATTTAAAGTAATATAAAAAGAATATTGGAATTGATCAATATAATTATTATATTTAAATTTAACATATAAAATGAAAAAAAATTATGATAAACATACACACACACACACACACACGTATATATATATATATATATATATATATATATATATATATATTTATATTTATATTTATTCTAAGTGTGTTATTTCTCGCTTCTGACGTCACGATTTCAATATGGCAACGATGACTACTCAGAAGTCTTAAATTATGGGGGGCAAACGAAAAGGAAAGCGGAACAGAAAGAAAGAGAGAGTAGCGTATTATTATATTAATTATTCATACACAACATTTTTAGATATTCGTACAATATACATAGTGTATTTTATTATTTTATTAAAGATAAACAAACCTAATTTCTTACACATAAAATGCTGGCAACTATCTGCAATATCATTTGCTAGGTATGATTTACTGATTTCTAAGTAAATATAATTTAAATTTGTACCATCAATCTTCAAGCTAAGCAGATTAAATTTCAATTTCAATGTAAATTGCAATTTAATGCAATAAAGTTATTCTATTGAATTAAAGGCAATAAAAGTAGAAAAAAATATATTTAAATAGTTATTTGTTAGAAAGTATTCTTACAGTCACAAATATTTTGCTTATATAATAGACTCTATATTTGTGCATTTATGTACAGAATGTAAACAAAAGTTAGAGCATTATTCGAAGAGAGTATTTTTGGTATCAAACCGAGACGAAAAATTTTGATATCAAACCGAGACGAAAAATTTTTTACTATTTTTCTTCTCAACAAATAATTATCAAGATATTTCAACTTCAAGATTGAATATTTTTATTGAAAAAAATAATAAATTTTTTTTTTCGACTTGATTTGCTCCAGGAAAGACACTCTTGGAATAATGCTTCCAATTTTGTTTATACCCTGCTTGTTCCTTACATAACAAATAATATGTAATCAATTTTTGTAAATTTGAAATAATATTAACGAAAAGAGAAACCTGAATATCACGGACTCCTGGTTATACATATAAACAAGTTACAAGCTGCTTAAGACTGATTGCCTATAATTGAAGCACAGATTTAATAATTTATCTTTGAACTATGTATTAGACAAGCCTTCAACCCCAATGGTTTTTCGAACGAGATAAGAATAAGAACAATCGATTTTTAGCGAAGCGAAAAAAGTGTATCGCGAAAAATCGATTTTCTGCATCAGGCAAAACTTTAGATCTATTCGCTCGAGAATTGGGCGGATGACTTGCTTTGCTATAAATTAAAAGTCTAAGCAGAAGTCATCATCATGAGTATTTAATCTTTTAATATCTTATGTTTCCTTCTCTTGCAAAATATATAACCTAAAAATTTTGAAAATACGTTTAACTCATTGAAATATCTAATATTTCATATGTCATGTTGTCTGTTTTTGAAAACAAATATATTATAAATATAATAAAGATAAAATAATCACATAACAATTAATATTTATCACGCAATGGCTATAGAAGCCGATTGTACGTTTGTGACGTTTATATTGCTTGTTTGATCTTTCTTCTACAATTAGGGCAAGAAGCCTGCAACATAAAGAGCATAATTATGAATTTTTGAGTCCCAAGAATTACACCGGTATCGACGCATTTTAAATTTTACCCCAGGATCATATCTTCTCAATTCATCAATGCAATCTTTGTGAAAATTATGTTTACAAGGACGCAATTGTATTACTTCCGACTTCTCGATTAATGCGTATTGGCAGATTGAACAATAGGTTATATCATCTTTACTCGTTGTAGGTTCCCTCCCATCTTTATTTTTTAAAGAGTTTGATGAACTCCTTCTATTGAATGTTGTGCTAGAAATAAATATATTTTACAAAAAAATGCTATATGTAACATACATTTTAATATTATAATCATTTACTATTACTTACAATAGATAAAAACACAATAAATAATTCTCTTGTCGCATTTGTGATTTAATTGTCAAAAAAAATGAAATAAATAAAAACAAAAAATAATCATATATACAAGAAGTGGAAAATACAAAATCAAGAAAATGTTAAATAATAATCGTGAGCACAGGTAATACATATATGCATGTATGTATTAAGATGGATACTTTTCAGCCTTATGCGACGACCAAGAACGATCTTCGTAGCGATCCTCCGGTGACCTGTCATTTCTAGAATATGAATGCTGCTGCTCCTCGCGATTTTCGTTGAACACATAATACAGAAAAGTCGCTAGTCCAATTCCAACTCCGACAAGGAGTACTAACCCGGGATACGTCATTTTAAACATTAGGGACTTAAGCGATACGTTTATGACGAGTATACCTATCGCTCGTCCTCATTACTGTTCTGTAATTTTGCAACATTGTGTCATTTACGAATATAACGTACGTTCAACGGAAAAATATTAATTACAGAAATCCCCGTTTTGTATCAATCAACGATGAATCACTTTCTATCTCACTCTTGTATAATAACAGAACAAACCATCGCATGAATGCGTGTGCACGATTGTATATATGTATGAAACCTAACTTATCCTAACATAATCTAACTTGACCTAACCGAGAATGTAACCATAGACATAGTAATATTAGACCGAGGGTGTCCTCTTGAAGCTCCAGTAAAAGGGGATGGAAAGTAGATGCCGTCTACTTTTCTCTCTCTAACGAGGACAGACTGAGAGTAAGAAAGAGAGGCAATCAGCTTTTCCCTCTTTTTCTTACCCCCACTTTCTCCTCAGAAAGAGAAAGGTGAACAACATCTACTTTCTCTTTCTACCTATGTTTCCAGTTTGGCGCCTTATGCTCGGTCTAGCCATATTATTATGGCTGTGTTCCGATATAAACTGCCAGTACTGAAAATCTATAGTATACGTGACGTAAACTATAGATTTTCAGTGGCAGTGAATATTGGAACACAGCATGCCTATGAAAGTAGCCTAACATCAATAAGCTTGTCAACTCGATATATTGTGTTCTTTCTACAAAATGGGTAATAAAACCGAAGTACAAAAGGGATAGGAAACATCAACAAAATTGTCAACTCAACATTGTATAATTTTTATAAAACTATTGTCCAGATAGGACAGTAATATTTTAACTCGATCTAAGGTTAATATTATATAATATTATTTATCCTACGATAAATTTTTTTCAATTACATATTAACTAGCTATAAAATAAAAAATTTCTAAAAGATTAAAAAATACTATCGTGCAACCAATCAATACTTAAAAAATTGATTGTACGATAAATGTAAAATCGACCTAACTCGATCTAACTTAACTATGAAAGATAACGTCAACAAGGTTGCCAACTTAACGTATCATATCTTTTCTACAAAGTGGACAATAAAATAAAATAATCTATAAGAGACCATGTATTTTTCAATCTTTACTATTAAAAGCCGTATTAAATTATATATAAATTAAAATTCAAAATAAAATTCAATCAATCAATTTGAAAAAATCTTTACTCTTTTATCTAATTGGACAAATTTAATGCGATTTTGATTTTGAATGTAAAGTCTGATATGAAAGCTTAATGCTCAGACTAAAAATATTAAATGTGTACAAATTTGGAAAATTTTGCAATAATGCAATAACTGATCTCATATAGCAAATTTTATGTATTAGAGATGTTTACAACTTTATTAATTTACCCGATAAAAAATTTCTGGATTATTTATATAAATTTCGTAAAACGTTCTTTACATTTGATGTAGCGATATTATTACTACAATACAAATGTCATTATTTCTAATATTTTAAATAAGATTTAAATCACGATTAATAATATATTTTAAAATAAAATATAAAATGAAATATATTTCCTTCATATATTCGTTTTCAATAATTAATTGATTTTCGCTTGGAATAAAATGAAATAAATTTGGAGATAAAAATAACGAATACGATGATAAGAAAATTATCTTTTTATAATTATTATTTTATTATAAAGGACAAATATATATAGACACAGTTTCTGGAAGTACTGAGGTGCAGTCTTAAGATTCTAAATAGATTCTGTAGATCACTGTACATAGACTATATTCATTAAAAAGTATCCTTTCTAATTTGTCATATATTTATGATACTTAAATAATATTTACAGCCAAAGAGAAAGAGTTTAGTTCTTTAGTTCTTTGAAAAAGTATATACAAGAGTATTCATATTGTTATTTTTTTTACATTTTACTTCTTCGTATGTCGATTTGTCGTTTTACAATGTTTTATTCTATCCTTAAGTTTTCTGCTGAAAAATACCGATTCGTGGAAAAAAGATATTAAAATAGAATTAAACTGTTTAGAATATGATAGATATACATATACAAATACATTAGAAATAGAAAAGGAAAATTTAAATATTCTCGCTATACTTTATCGAATTTAACATAATTCGTATTTTAACAGTTAAGCATAAATATAGCAAAACGACAAAATAATATACTATATAAAGTTGCAATAAAAATACATCGTCAACTTCACATATAACATACGTCACTCATTGAAATGATCGCATTACAAGATAATAATGAAAAAAATCTATACTTGTTTCTATATTTTTTCGTTGAGAACTCAATATTGCATCGTGAGACTTTGTCATTTATATGTGTGTGTTTAAAACTTTTCAATTGGTCACTTATATAATTGCATTAGATTTGATAATGTAAACGTAATGTAGCACACATATTTCACTAAGGCGTTAAATGATATTTATTAAAGTCTCATAACCGTGTTAATATAATCATGAAGTGCTCGCATGTAAATATGAACACTGCTTCGTGTGCATAGAGTTTTTGCCGAGATATTTCATATCTACAAAACATCTTATGGAAAGAGTAAACAAGTCACGTATTTCGAAAAGTATTAATGATGAAAAAGAAAAGTTAGAGGTCGATGTCTTTTGGTCCCATAGTCACCACTATATAGACGGAAGACAAATAAGCTATTTTTCATGATAAGAAAATATATTTTTAAATATATAAATTATTTCTTTAATTTAAATGCATGAAATACCACTTGTGTAAATATTATACAAATGTCATTATAAAAAACAAATTTAAATAAGAATATTTTATAATTTAAAATAATATAGATTATTTTTTATTTATATAGAAAAAATGTATATATAATTAATATGTATATTATTAAACATATACTATATATATATATATATATATATATATATTTAATAATATACATATTAATTATGTATACATTTTTTCTATATAAATAAAAAATAATCTATATCATTTTAAATTCAATATATATATATATATATATATATATATATATATATATATATATATTGAATCTATATCATTACTTCTGTGAAAATGTAAACTATTGATTATATATTAAGAATGATTTTTAAAATTTTTATTATAAGAGATAATCAGAATATATTTCTATTTCATCGATTTTTTCTTCATTTACTTATATTGAAATTTTTCTTTGATATTTTATTGTCGGAAGAATTATTGAAAAAATTATTAGATTATTGAAAATAGATTTATATAATGCGTTAATTGACACATAATCAAGTGAAACAAGTTAAAAAGTATATAAAGCAACAAACTATTAAAATAAAAGTATTATATTATTGTAAAAAATGTAAAAACTATAAAAGTATTAATTAAAGTTCATTTAAAAAAAAGGGACTCGGCATCTGTCTAGAAAAGTCTCAACTACAAGCACAACTTATTCTTATTTTTTATTTACATTTAAAATAAAATAAAAAAAAATAGAATGTTTTTCCTCTAACTCTTTTTCTATCTTTAAGGCTATTCAATATACATGTGACTAGTTCTTTTTTTACAAAACTATCTTCATACGTTATATTCAAAGGATGTGAAATATATATTGCCAAATTCACATTTCTTTTCTCGTTTAAGATTTGTTTTAGTTGTAAATATTGCTTTTATTTGTTATTTACATCTACTCGCATGCATATGCGTATACTCTTTTTTTCTCTTGCCATCGAATAGGTTCCGTCGAGAATAGTTGCGAGCTTATCTAATTGTCAGATATCTAGTTTGGTCTCATACAATATCTTATTTTTAGTTTTCGACAATATTAGGTATTTAATCTTGGACTAGCAATTGTATAATTTTTCATATTGACTGTCACATTCTATTAACAATATGCAAATAGTTTCAGAAAGTTTGACTAATCAGAGGTAGCATTGATCGGAAATTGATACAACCAGCGCCTTAGATAAGAGTGCGAGAGATCGCGTGTGTTGAAAATCCACAAAGATACTTTTTTTTTATAAGAGAGATCTCTTTCTGTAACATGAATACAGCATCTACTAAATTTAGTCTCTTATGGCGCATTACGCTCGAAGCTGACCACGCTGGTTTTTACAAACTTCTCCTCAAGAGCACGATGATAGAGTACATTCGCGACAGAGTACATTTGCTCGCTCGTTAATACGATTACAGAAACGAGAGTCCAACGACTCGTTTTAAGTTAAATCGTGGCAATTTGAAAGCCATTGCGAAGGTCCAGTACGTGTTAAGTACGTGTTTCGCAGCTTCAGATATTTTGCGGTCTATGTTCACTCGTCAAGCGGTTTCTAACCCATCCACCCACAACACGTTTCTATTTTTCATTTCGCAGAGGCGTCTCGCAGCAATAAATTGTACCGTCCAAAGCACTTTCTCAAAGCACGTTCTCGTGACATTTTTCAAGCGCAATAAAATTAAATTGCGCAGAAAAATTCTTTTAGTTTCTTGGAGGTCGATTCTTCTCAATCTTGATCGTGTCACTAATCACGCGTCACGAAATCGAATTGCACGCTCTCGACGTGGCCCCGGCCGGGCCGACGTGTGACGTCACATACCGCCGCTGGAAGGTCCACTTCCGGTTGCGCATATGCCGCCATCGCTACTTTGGCTGACACTACTGTAGCTTACATTACTCGCTTGCCCTCCCGTTGCCATTCCGGAAATATACTGAAACAGAATATATTTTTGATCATTGTTTTCTTGTTCATATTTCTTAAATAGATTATCAGGAAATTTAATTGAAGAACAAAAATTGAAATAGCACCAAATATTCGCGCATAAACTTGTTGTATCTGTGTCTGCAGTCATTTCTTTTTAGAAACATATATTTCGTTTGAACAAAAATAAATTTTTAATGCTTGAACTCTGCTTGTAATTAGCGCAATTGAGGAATTTATATGAATAAAGTTTTATTGCTCGAATCCGTGCATGCCCACAACTATGTTTTATTTATGTGCTGATAGTACACATATTTCTCATTTCGAATTAAAAAAAATATAATTCGATAAAAAAAAATACATTTTTTATCTTTTTCATATATTTGCGAAATATACCTCGCAAATTTTCAATGCGATAAGAATTATTGTCAGCTGAAACACGATGTTTATAACGATGTTTATAATTGCCTAATTTATTTTTTAAACCCGTGACAACTCGTGATAACAATTTCATCTTGTATAAAGTCCTGCTTTCCTTTTATCGCAAATTTAGAAAAAAATTTATTAGATTGCTGCATTTTCTTAAAATGCTTTTTCACTAAACTATGTTCACTTTCCTTCAGAAAGTAGTCGAGCACGTTTATCCAACGCGACAACCGAGCTCTCCTGTCGTCGTCCTAGGGACAATCGATCCATCGGTTTCGCTTCAAACGCAACCTGTTTCTCCGCGCTTGTTGCCTTCCCTTTAAAGGTCGCCACGGATCAGCGACAAGCTTTACACTTCACGCTCATATCCCATGTACACATAGCTTTGCGCCGAATCGTGCGAACAGTGCGGTCGAAGAGACAACCCGTGGCTGTTGAATAGGGAGAGGTGGTTAAACGGTTTTTCGATAGCTCCTGGCCGTAAAGCAAATAATTCAATATTCGGCCGGCCATGGAAAAAATGTCACCGCAAATGCGAACGAGTTGGGATTTCAAATCTGTAGTTTACCGAGCCAACAAAAAAGGGAACAAAACGGATGTTCGCTTATTCTTGTGTTCGCGGTTTTTTTTTCATCTTTTTCAAAAAAGACAATACGCAAGATTGAAGATCGATATGTTTTTGAATTACGATTTTCTAGAAAGAATTTTCCTTTACATTTAGCATTGATTTGAAAGACGAAGGATTTTTCAAAGTACCACGTATAGTTCGTGCAATAATTCGTAGAGAGAAGAAGAGGAGGGGACTTGTGAAGAGTTTCGTACGCTCGCTTTGTCTCTTCTCATCCCGAGTCTCACGGGATAGTGACCGCATCGGAGTTTTCTCGTTTGTTCTATCGAGTGTTGAATTCCCCAAGGTCAAATGGTTTTCCTTATTTTTGTCTTCTCTCATTTTTAGGATCCGTTATCTCGTATCTTCGCGCGACTCTCGTTTTAGTAACACGGTCATGAAACTAAAGTATCTATCTAGGTTATTGGAAATAGCACGAGATTGCGCGTTTATTTTAGATTTTTCATACGCGGACATATTAATTTTATTTTTTATTTTACGATATAATATCACGATATAATCACGGTAATTAATTCTCTCAAATAAGCGTAATTAAAGATACATGCATCACGTTGCGATAAAATTTTAATCTCCACACTTTTATACTCGAATTCTTTTTTTTTCGAATTCTTTTTTTCGAATTCTTTCTTTCGACACTGAAAGAGTACTTAACTAAAATATTTAAATACTCGTTCATTAGAAACTCACAAAATTAACATGAAAACTGGAAATATACTCAAAGAACGAAAAGCTGAATATAAAATGCCTATGCGTCACAGAAGTACAAGAAACATTAATAATACTTTTATTTACAGACTCGACAAATAATACATTCACGGATTAGACGCGTCTACATAATTGCACGTTGTGATTGTTAATTCTGAGAGATAAAATTAATAATTAATACATTTATCTGATTTATTAAAATTAAATATTAAATTAATATAATATAATCGTAACATAATCTTTTTCATCTTCTGCTTAATAATGTTGTCGACTCTATTTAAAAATTATCAGCCACGACACGTGAATATAATATTTAAATAAGGTGCATCCAACTCGAAAATGCCGAATCCGGAAATGAGGGCATTACTGATGTAGGTGCACCATTACCGTTTCATTTGTAGAATCATTCATGTTCTTTGGGTTACCAAAGCTTTTACATACATTTTTCAAGCATACTTCATGACCGCGCATGAATTCTTTTTAGAGCTCGCGTTTGCTCAACAAATATATACATATAAAATTTTGTAAATCAGGAAAACTTGAAATATAAAGAAAACCAGTCAAAAACCTTTTAAGAAAACTATAAGAGAAGATAAAAAATGGATAATGAGAGAAATATATATATCAAGAAGTGCATCCTATTAGATAATAGAGTGCTATGTGCAAGTGCGTGTTTAAGATCAAGAGAGTGTCACATTTACTAGTAAACATACCGAGAATTAATATTCTACGGGAATGCGTCGATATTCGTTGAGATGTTCGTCGATCTCTGATACGTAAGGGTCTTGGAAAATAGATACGGGACTTACTCTTGGAAATTAATTGCTAAAATTACTGTATAAACTGCTTTATTTATTGCATTAAAAAAGGACGAAGAAAATAATGACGGAAATAAAAGATTGAGAAAAGGTCTCGAGGATTTCTACGATCAACGATCGACGGCCAGCTCGCGATGATATTCCGTTGTTAAATGTAGGTTTGCTCGCCGGAATTTTCTCGACTTCTTCGTATGTGATGGATCGAATACGCGGAGTAGTACCGTCCGGATGCGAATTTCTGAAAAAAGCAATATGGATAGGATGTTCCCGTACCTAATACTTAACGTCAGCAATTCTGTCCAAACTGTTAATACAATTGTGACATATGCAACGTATTGCTCCCTTTATTCCCCTTTATAATATGCTCGTTCATTAAATATGATATATATTTCGATATTACATCAGCGTTTATTGATACAGTTGAAGACGATGGTCAAGATGACGTATTTATTGAGTATTTTAATAAAAAATTACTAATCAATAATCTATAAAATACAAATAATAAGACTTTGATTATAACAATAAAAAAAACATAAAAAAATAATAATTAAAAAGGATTCATAAGAATAACGCAAGATTGAACGCGCAGAAAGAAAAAATTTCAAAAATAAAACAAGAAAAATATTTATTTAAATATTTTGGTCTCACTTCAAGCCTTCTTCAGTAAATTAAAATTGACGTAAAAAAAAGTCGAGCGCTCAGACTCGTTCGACATTCCGACACTCGTCGCGAACAACCAATGCGAGAAACCTGCCATCGATTCCAATCGTAAAGCTATATATATTACGTCTTGCATTTCTTTTCGATTTTTTATTAGAATTTTAATTTACTGAAGAAGACTCGAAATAGGATCGAAATATTTAAATAAGCATTTCTTATTTTATTGAAAATTTTTTTTTCTTGCGCTTTTATTTTTGCATTGGCTCTTATTTAATTAAGCCTTTTTTAATTATTATTTCTTTATATTCTATAAAATTATACAAAGAAAATATTTATCGATGTATTAACGAATCTTTATAATCTACTATATTTTCCATGTAAAATATAAATTATTGATTTTAATATTTGTGTGTGTTATCGTTATTAAATCGAAATATACAATTATTTCTTTCTCCCATTTACTTCTCCAATTTACATTTTCTGGATAAGATAATATATTGATCACAGCAAAGAGAGCTTTTAATTTTCAATGTGCACATTTGTTTAATATTTGATAAAGGTATCCTAGTAAAGACGAACGCATAACGCAGTGAGGAAAGACGCCAAAACTGAACGTTTTCTTCTTGAATTCTCGTCCTCCTAATTAAAAGTTTAAAATATAGATTTATACCATAAATATTTATTACAGATAGCTCTTCCTATCAAACTGTATCATAATTTTGATACATTGTTTAATGAATAATCAAGCGGATTAAATTTGTGTCAGTTTTGACAAAATGCAGAATTTAATTGTTGAGAAATATGAAATAATATATCGCTTTAAGAAACTTACATCGATTTTGACACTTTTCCTCTTTTATATTTGTATTAAATTATTAATATTCCTAAAAAGTTTTTTTGATATCTTAAATCCTTTATGAGATATTTACTTTTTCTTTATCAAAATGTTTATATTCTTTTAAGCAAAGATTTGTTCATCTTTTTATTTGTGAATAAAACGTTTTTACTTCTAACAAAATTTATGTATAGGGGTAATTATGAGGGACACTAAATGAATTTAGGCAAAATTGTTCTAGTAGTAGTTAAGCAAAGGTGAATCGGGAATTAGTTTTGGGACGATTCAACAATCCAATCGTAATACTGCATTAAGTTAAAAATATCTATAAAAAATAGGCGATATACTGCCTAATATAAACTTACCTGACTTGGTTTACATCTGAATGCCGGTTGATATCGCCGTTTCATTCGTCTGGGACAACAGTAGCATAGAATTCTGACAAAAGCTCTGAAACATGAGAAAATATAATATATCTTGCAATTTTTAATCAGACTACGAGGTTGTAAAGCAAGAAAATTTCATTATAAAAATTGCTCTTTTTTATTTATTATATGGCCTAGTCATATAAATTGATATATTTTAATCTGATTTGCGCTATTGCGACGTAGACAAGTGCGTTTGTGCAATGTCACGACGCAGTATCGTGACGCCAAATACATTTTAACGCTAAGATTGCATGACTGTTACATTTTTTTTCAGGTATCGTATGTACAAATATTTGCATAAAGGCCATAGCAATGAAAATGCGACATGCGATCGACTTGCATGTGCATTGCATTATTTGGATATCACAAAGGATCCGAAATTTTTTCTAATTAAAATGTTCTCTAATTAATCTATAGTAGACGATTGCCCATAATTTTGAATACTTTTAAAAATAACATATATTTATATACGGTATATATACCGTACACCGTGAGATGTACCGTATAAATAATATGCAACGTTAAATGCACGATAAATAGACCATCTTCCTGCACGAGAACGACATTATATGATATTTACACTCTTTTTTGATATTATCCATTTAGATTATACACTTTTACGTTTTCACGGATAGTACGTACTTGAACAGTACCTTACGCGACTTGCATTTGGAATCATTAAAGCAGTTGAAGTACAGTAAACGTAACATTGATATACAATAATATATACGAGTGTCAGCGCATCAAGACAACATGAATCTAAATATTAAATTAGACTTTTATCAGCCACAAGGCTTTCTAAATCGTTTCTTCTTTCTTATTATACTAATGTCAGCTGTTTCTGCTATTGTGACATCGTTACAACGTGCAACGGATGGACGCATTCTCTGGAAAACTCTCGCGGAAGACCAGAATCAGCGTGAAAAATCATCAAAATTAATATCCTGTGCAGTACCGTACATCCAGGAATATTTCGAATTTTCGGATCGAATATCGCTCTTAGTCTCGGACACGCTAGACGACGCTCCTACTCTCATAAAACTATTGATAAACGAATTACCCGTAAGCGGTACTGTGTATGCATTATCAAACGCAGAGCCGACAGACTTATTAAAAACGTATGATCTTTCTGAAAACGTCGTTATTCTATCAAAGAGCGCAATTACTCTCGAAACAAATTCTTCCTATTTCATCGACTATTGCAAAGGCCGGTGCAGTGTTGTAATAATGCTAACGAATCTATTGGCCGACGAAGAGAGTTTCTTGATAGAGGCCAGAGTGATAGTAGAACAAATGTCATTGTTGCAATCTATGTTCAAGCTCGCAATATTGGCGTTGATTGAAGAATCAGTCCTGCTCGCCGGTAGCATTCCGATTCGGGTCGACGAATTGTACGTGCTCGCCGAGCCGACGCTTTTAGGCAGATGCCAACAGGAGAGTACCATTCGATGGCAGCATTTCAAAACAAGATCATTCAATACCTCTGTTGTCAACGCGGCGATGTTCCGCAATTTTCCCTACGCATATTTCACCAAAAAGAAGGATCATTTGAAATTCGGCGGTGTCGAGGGCTCGATGGTGGAAGAGATTGCGAGTAACATGAATCTCGAATTGAACAGAGATCAGATCGACTGGCAAAACAGCACGATCAATGCAGAACTTTACGCGAGACTTAACAACGCGACTGACGATTTGATATTTGGTGGTCTTCTGTGGGATCCTAATCGAAAGACGGTGTACATGACTTCTTACGGAATGGTACAGATCGCATGGTTAATACCGATAAAAACGAACGTTTCCTTTCGCGGTTTAATAACGCCGTTTGGCGCGAACGTTTGGTACATCATAATCGGCACATTGTTCCTCAGCGGACTCGTAAAGCATTTTTTAATTCATGACATTACATTTCTGGACATGGCAGCCCTGGTTCTCGGCGTAGCTACTAATCGTCCGAAGAAAACTTCCAGCAAAATCCTATTCATATCTTACAGCCTGTTTGGTTTCTTTCTTACGCAGCTTTATTTAGGATCGCTGGCGGATCAGCTCCAGAGTGCGACGGATAGTCAAATGGAAACTATGGAAGAACTAGTCAATTCGGGGCTACAGGTAGGTGGGAATCAACGATTAGCTCAATTGTTGCAGACGCCTGACAAAACTGATGAGAGCAACATCGAACGAACGCTCCGCAAGAATTTTATTGTTTTCAAACAGCATGATTATACTGACTTATTCTTAGATATCATCAATGGAAGTAATACTACTCTAGCTCTTCTTGTGGTGTTAAATCTAACCGATGTACACCGTATGTCCAATTTGAAAAAAGCTCACATTATGAAGGAGAATGTGGGCAGTTATCCATTAGCCCTCGCAACTTGGCAAGGATTCCCATACTTGAGTGACTTTAACTACAAGATTCAAATACTTGTTCAAAACGGTCTTATTGAATACTGGTCAGATATGGCGTTATTGAATAAAAGTTATTTCGCATCGGATAATGAAACTGAGGAAGATGACATCGGCGTTGACGATCTTGCGCCGGCCTTTCTTCTTGTGATCATGGGATGTATCGGTGGATTCTTCCTCTTGATTATAGAAGTTATCTTATATCCATCTAAAGTGCTTTCATGAATTCATCTTTATATTATAATGTAGTAAATAGGTCATTTTTAGAATAATCTGGCAGGCTGTAGTTTTAAAGTTTTGAGTGTGTTCCATTAGTCGCTGGGTATATTTATTTTTATTAATTTTTTCTTCAAATAAAATATTTTCATCAAAAATTTTATTTAAATGATTTCTCAATATTGTAGTATTGTAGTATTTTTTATTAAATATATAGTTTTTAACGCAATAAATGTCCTGCAAAAATTAATCCTCTATCGAATTAAAGATTACAAAAAGAGAATGCAATTTCATTTATCTGTGTCTTAGATGTTTTATTTTCTTTTAATTAAATATTAAGAAACGACATTACTGGTATATCACTTGATAGTTTTTAAAGATGTCTTTGTCATATATCTTGTTGTGTGGAAAAAATTTTACTCAGTTCATCAATGCGATAACTATCTTGGCTCGTTAACCGTTTATAATAAGTCTATTAAGATCTGTGGGATATTTAACTGCGCGTCTCTCGGATAGAAAATTCACCCCATGGCAAGTTAATTAGAAAAGTTCAGAGCTAATTTCATTAAACCTATTTAGTTCGTCGCACGAGGTAAAACTTACAGTGGTAAAATGCCAATTTTAAAATTTGCGATATCCCATTATTAACTGCGATTTAATTTATGCATTTTGTGCTTTCCGTAAGCATTTGTTTGTAACACATACAAACATAAAATGAGTATGAAATATGTAATATATCTATCTTACTCTGTCTTCGTTAATATGTAATTTATCATTTTACAAACTCATATTGTTAAATTTTTGATAAATACGGCCAATTAGGAAATAAAATTTTGAAAAAACTACAATTTATGGATGGAGTTTTGCAATGATGTTTTTTCTGAGATGTCATAAATTAAATTTTTGTATCGCGAAAATTTTGCCTTAAAAAACACTTAAAAATCTTCATTTAAGATATTACGAAATTATTTGTTAAGAATGTACATTCTTAACAGATTATAAGATTAATAATGTTTATAAGAATGATAATGAAAATAAAAAATTTTAATTTAAATTTTTGCTATATATTAATACTTAATAATCATGATTTAAAAACGACGGTCTCAATACTCTTGTTATTTTTCACGCTTTTCTTTATAGTTGTCCATGTTTCATGAAAAATTTAACAATACTGTTTTTTTATTCTGCTATTTTCCGTCTCGGATTTCGTATTTGATTAAATTCGATGTGATATCACAATGCTTATTTAACCTCGTATGCGATTGATCGTTGCCAGATATTTGAACCGGAATATTTACTTTTATAGAATATGTTTTTATAACTGACGAAAATGTTAGCTATAACAAAATTACTAATAACTAAATTACAAAAATTTTAATATGATAATCTCATATTTGTGGAATGAGATCGTTAAAAATTTATTAACTATATATCTTGATATTATGTTTTTATTTAATCATTAAAAATTTATTTAAATTTGATTTTTAATCGAATTTCTCTACTGTTATTTCTATATTGATTAAATCAGTAATGAATACACGTGCAAAATAAATACATTGTCGTTCTTATATGTATATTAATTGGAAAAAATCTTACGCAATTTTACATTTTAAAAGCACGTTTGAAAACCTGATCCCTATTCTCAATACATATTTAAAAAAATAAACATATAATAATTTTATTCACTCCACTTATTTATAATTTATGATTAATAATATTATGATAAAAAAATTTAATGTAAATTACATAAGTAAGTATATACAATAACATCAAATATATAATTTTGACAATTTTTTCGATGAATAAAATAGAAAGGATTAAAGTACAAGCAAAAATTATTTCCTTTCTCGTACATTAGTAGATTAATGGCACGGAAAGTAACTCTTTCGATTAACACAGGAAAGGAGTTAATTCTACTCTTTTCGCATCGTAACATTATTACACGATCGATCATATGATACATTGTCGATCGGATTACGGTCACATTTTGTAGACTTTTGTAGAGAACAAAAAGTCAAAGAATAAGATGACATCGTTAATCAAAACGAATCTGAGCGTGATTTCCGGTCATTGGGTCGATATCGACGACAAAACGAACCGAATTACTGAACGTAAAGTCCCGATTGGCGTGTGACGCTCGTGTAATCAGCTATTGGCGTCAAATTTACGTTCTAATGACAGCGAAACGTGCACCGAATGCATTTCTGCCGGAATGCAATCGAATCGGAGTACGCGACATACCAAACCGGAAATCGATAACTATGTCGCGGCATCACAATGAATATCACCGCAAAACTTAACTTAACTGTTAGAAAACTTCGATTATCCACCATAAAAGTTATCTTACTTTTTTACGGTTTTGACAATTACAAGAGTGATTTTATAACAAGACATAAATAGGGAAATAAAACAACTTGATAATTAACATTTAAGCGCAATTCAAAAACTAGAACAAATTCGAAACACTCAATACATTCAATTTGGAGATGTTATTGAGAGAAAAAGAAGTAAAATATGGTTGTTGTTTGAAAAAAAAATGGCGAAAGTTACAGCAACTCTTTATCTGCGCAACTTTAAAGATTAATCGAGCTGATAAGATTTATTTCGCGCATAATTCGGCATCGGCAACGATATAATTTCGGCAACAGAACGAGAAAGCTAGCTCACAAATATACAATCGAAAGATATGCATGGATGTGCACAATCTGTAGTATTCGTTAGCAAAGACGGCCAAAAGTCAATTCGATCTGCGCTACGCAAAGAGACCAAGTAATCTGCGAGTCAAACTCTCTCTCTCTTTCTCTCTCTCTCTCTTTCTCTCTCTCTCTCTCTTTCTCTTTCTCTGAAGTTCATGGTGAAGAACAAACAAAGACAACGGAATTAAGTAGGAGACGTGGAGGGAATCGTTGTAGGGAGAGCGCCGCAGATTTACGACTACGGCTTACCACTTGATCTTGGTGCGATCTTACCTTCTAACTCTATGTCGTCTCTCTATTTCTTTTTTTTCCTCTTCATCTTGTTACTGTTAGTCAGACGAATTAATCCTGCCTCCCTTCTGTCTCTTTGTCTTCCCACATTTTTAGTAACGAGTAGTAACGGCGTAATATATACAGACGTTTTGGCGCCGAATACGAGGCGACGCGACGTCTCGACGATGTTGAATCCAGATTTTGGCGACTATGCACTGCGCCACTCGTATGGGTCTCGCTTTCATTTTTATCTTTCTCTTCTTTTTTTCTCAAAACACGAATGTGTGTTCCGCATCGTCGATCACGAAAGAAGGTTCTTAGAAGAAGTCAATTACTTAGGCAAACCTTGACACACTTTCGATTGTGTAACCTATATTAAAATGTAACGCGATATGAATTCATATGTATTTATTTAATATTTAGAATCACTAACCAGCTGCACATGTATTGCATTTGCGTAGTCTATTTTTTTTGCAATGTTTTCATAGGTTCGATCGCTATTTCACTCCACGTAATGCTTCCGTTCTCAATTGCACTTTAGCTTATGCTAAAGCATAATGAACGACCTAGATCTTTATCGCGTTATTGATCGTGACGCAGTTATCATGGTGTTTCTAGGAATAATGCGAGAGGTTCGATAAGGTACAAGACGCGAGCACAAATTTTTATTATTTCAAAAACGTGTCGATCTCTATATTTCATTTGTGTTTACGTTTCTTCTCAGTTGTATTCATTCTCATTGTATTCGTTCGATATGAGTTGTGCGTTACATATTTATGACAATCTGAATAAAATAGAGGTTGTTTATTATTAAATTTGCTTTCCATTTTAAACATGCAAGAACTCTGCATGATACGTTTCTCTCTCCGGTAAGACGAGACACGCACGGTTATCAACCAATATAATATCAACAGCGAAACAAGATTGTTTCTATTGCCGTTTAAGGGCCCCGAGCTATTATTTTATTTCTGTCGCGCGCTCGATTTACATATTGGTCATATCAGATGACCGGATAAAGGAGGGATGGACATATATTATTTGCGAGAAACGCGGAGTATTCCTGATTATTCACGAAACAGCGACGGAAAATCGGCCGTCCTTGAATTCGGAGTTTCTTTATGAGATCGGTGACCTGGTTTTGTTCGGTCCACCAGCTAATAGAGTGTTATCGGCTGCTTTCCTTCCTTCGTTCGTGCTCTTCCTTTTCAATCCCTTTGTTCAAACCTCAGATAAGCCCCGATTTATATCTTCTTTTTTATTAAGAGAATATCTTGCTCCCTAATCTAAGTGTCGCAAAATATCTATTTATAATTTCGATAATGCATACAATAATATTAATATAATGGTGCGTTTTCCCAGATTTCATCGTCAAAATTTATTAAGCGCATTTATTTATTATTCCAAAATAATGTATTACATAAAAAGAAATATAATCCTGATATTGAATTTTTTGGAAAGACAGATACGTACGTAATTCGGAACGTGATATCGCAGTCGAATACAGACTTTTATCATACAATAACTTCGTATTTGTGTGTGTGTAGTTGTTATGTTTTATCAAGGATTATTTGTTGCAACATACCGGACTTTTTTTTAATGTCGGCTTATATGCAGGGAGATAAAGTAGCGTTGACAGAGAGATGAAATAATCCACGCGATGCAATATGAAGTAAAAGTTTAAAATGCGAAATTTGAAATTTTTTTTAACGAACTCGCGTAAGCAGATTAGATCTTCCGGTTCTGCAGTAATGCCGCTTTTGTTTGAGTGCGATACCAATTCAAAAGTATATTTCAAAGTTCTTATGATATTTCAGATTATATGCATTGGAGATGGGGCTCGATTGTTCCCGAGTTTTTTACATAATTTAAATCTTGAATTTTACTCATTAATAATTTAATGTCGCATTATTCATGTCTCGATAAGGACCTTATTATTTCATTCATCTCGTTATTTTTTTGTCATTTGTGCATCGTTACAGAAGATCTCGAAAGAATCCACATCTATTTCAGTCGAAGCGGAACGGAACGCGTCTACCTACATCCTCATCCTCTATGTACTCGCAGAAACTTTTAATTGCATCATACTCGAGTAAAAGTCTTTGTAATTTCAGTGAGGAATCCCCTCGCGCGTATGGCCCTTCGCAAGATAAACAACGACAACTTCTAAAACTCGCGGTAAGTTGTAAAATTCATTAATTCAGACTTTTAGATCGAATATAATTAAGCTTGCGCTGTCAACTCTACAATTAAAATCGAAATTTAAACAATTTTAATCGGGAATTGTGACACTACTGTATTTAACATTTAAATGGAATCGTTATTACAGACGCGATCATGATTGTCTCTGGTACTTCGATGAAGTCGACTGAATAAGTAGATCGTTTAATAAAGACTACTCTATCCTTCTCGGTACCGCTTATACTTGTAATTTTACGTCGGATATTAAAGATATTGAAAAAAGGATTATCTAGATTCCGTTTAAACGGCTCGATTATAATTAACTCGATATGAGGGCGTTTCAGGAACCGTGGGAAACGGATCAATGCGACACGGTTCGTGCGTCTCAGATTCTTTCGTATAAAACTAAACCTGCGAAGCTATATTATTATCGCAATAAGTGATCGAATCCCATCGATCATTCCTTTCTATTTTCTAGTTATAATGTCATTTCGGATCGCCGGCTTCTTTTCGCATGTACAAAGTTGCAATTACCCCCTCTCTTTTATTAATATCCGCCCGTTTGGAGCGATCGAACTATCCACGTTTTACGACCTAGAAGATAGGCCCTCACAGCCCTATGTATACTATAAAGAAAGCACGCGGTCTATTGATTTTACATTTACCTGTATGCACGGAGTAAATATCCGTGAAGCGTGATAGTTACACGTGGGATTGCTGTACACAACGTCGTTTGGCGTCAGCCAAACCGTATCAGCTCCTCTATTCAACGTCAGCGTTACATCGCCCCCCATCATGTAGCATAACTCGCTCTGCCACGCGATTCGTGATTTAACATGCGAACATGTCCACATGGCAGAGACAGATCAGCGGCGTTAATCCATTGTTCATTGCTCGCGAAAGCAATGTACAACATAGACCGTTTCCCATTTTACCTCCAAATTTTTCATTTCTTATTCGGAAAATCCAATAAATATCGCATACGTATAATTACAATTATTTTATTTATTTTATTTAATGTGTAATGGTTTTTATTTTTGTTTTACAATTTATTAAATTTACACACCTAATCTTTTTTATTCTTATAAAATCTATTGTTTTATGGTATCATTGTGCTGAAATAGTTTTTGATGAAATAGTTGAAAAAGATCTTGATACTTTTATAATTAAACAACATTATGAAAGCTCGGATCTCGAAAGTGCTAGCGATTGTTGTGAAAAGTTTTTATTGGCTAGAAATGTAATTCTAAAGTACTAACTCAGAATTGTTATTTCTAAGATAACGGATTAAAACGTTTCTAAATTATCTTATACACACGATAGATCTTTTACCTTTCCGTTTTAATTATATTTTTTATTAGCAATCCATTATCACATTGGGATTAGCGTGATATTGCTGGATACTTCCTGTATAATACAGTGATTTATCAACCTGTTTCTTTCCTCATGCTCTGATCATATCGCACTATATAATTATAGCATTCGTTTAATGTGTTAAAATAAAAATCAGATAGAAGTTTAATAAATCTATTATTATTTCTTACTTCGTTAAAAAATCGTATATGTCGAGTCGGTTGAAGTAAATATTATAGAGATTATATTGCGCGTTATAAGGGTGGAAAGAAAATTCTTGGTAACTACTATCAAGTCGAGAAGGTATTTAAGATGATAAATGTTTTTCACCAATACCGAGCGTCCCGGTAGCGCTTGTTGGGGCTCCGAGGGAAGAAAATGCCGGATGCGCGGGCGTCCTGAAACTTCGGGCTCATTTCACGTGGACGAATAAAAGTAATTTGCTAAAGGGTCTCTGCCTAATCCACCCACAATCCCCCACTAGCTAAATTCTCTTTTCCCATTTGTGGGTGGAAACTCCCTGATCTCTCTTTCCTTCTCTTGCTTTCCTTCTTTCTCGCTTTCTCTTTCTCTCTCGATGTTATATATATATATACGCTTTCGACCGTATATACCGTTTTAAAAGAGGTAAGCTCCGTGGAGCTTCGGTTTGAAATCGATCTAAAATCTCACGAGTATTCTTTTTCGGCTGGTTCTTTTCCTTTCTTCCGGAAGTTACCACCTCACCGTTTTCTCGATCTATTCGATAACTAATGCTTAGCGAATTGCAGAGTTGGGAAAAGGGGATAATATTCTGATATTCGCATTAAGAGAATACTGACAATTGAATACGAGAGTAATGGGTAATGTCAACCCACGATGATAGATTGTAAATGTACATTTCATGCTCGTAAACCTAGTGATATGTATACATGTATAAACGCATTAATATCCTAGCACTACTATTCCCATTATATATATATATATATATATATATATATATATATATATATACACATATAATATAAGGAAGGGATGTGGATGAAGGTAATATGTACATCTATCCAACATTAACACTCGCTACTAAACGTACCGTACAACATCAGATGAATTTGCTTATTCGTAGAGGAATGTTTTCTGCATGCGCGAAATACCAGCCGTGTACGATATATTTAATGTAGCTACGTGAAAGTTGCGTGAAAGCTGGAATCTTAAAAACGCTGATAATAATCATTGCAAGATGTTTCTTTTATAATTGTGGAAAATTAAATGCAATGTGTAAGGTATATTAGAAATGGTTCCGCAATACGTGAAGATTTTCATATACAGAATAGCATTTTGTGCATAAAAATTTCGTATTAACAGATATTTATATTATCTATATTATATACGAAATATTTTTTAAATATTTTAAAATGATTATATTATTATACATGCATAAATTATATCTATATTATATATGAAATATTTTTAAAATATTTTAAAATGATTATATTATGATTATATATACATGAATAAATCGTCTAATTTGTGACCACTTCAAATTACTCTCTTTCTCTCTCATTGAATTTATATAAAAAATATTTCAAAGTCGCGTGTAATATATTTTGATATAATAAAAGTAAATAATAATTATTTTTTCACTCTTAATTTTCAACAAGAATTTTTTTGTTCAACAAACAATCTACACGCGCGAATAATTTAAAGTAGTTGAGTTAATATTTTATCCTGTATATATAAAATATTCAAATTGCCTTCAAGAGTGTCTAACTCTCTTAATATAATAAAATGAAAACAGTTTACTTTTATAAGTATTAAGTAAATTTACGTTCAAGTGTTTTTGTTTAATTTTTACTCTTTCATATATAAAATAAATTAGGAATCTGTTTCAAAATATTAACCGATTAAATCAGAATTATTATTTTCATGCAATTAAAAAATGCCTACGATCTAATTACAAATAATTATTTTGTGCTAATATTGTACAAAACATATAAAGGCGAAACAGAACGTGTAAAATGCGTAAAATAATTGTTCTAGCTATTATGATTTCCGTAAGATAAAAATCAGCTAACGATGCGTTCAAAGACTCACCTACGAAAGTCTCTACTCCAACAAGCGTATATTACAGGATTCATTCCACTGTTAATCCAGCCGAGCCAGGTGACAGCAGCGGACACGATTTCCTCCTGCCATATGCACCTCGAGCAGAATCCTGACCATAGATTCACGACGAAGAACGGCAGCCAACAAATAATAAAGACACCCATAACGATACCAAGAGTCTTCGCCGCCTTCTTCTCTTTGGCGAACTTGGCAAGCTTCCGCGACAAAGAGAAATTTTTGCCCAGATGCTGCTTGTTGTTGATCCGAACTGATGGCACTCTAGTGAGACCGTTGTTGTGGAGTACCGTTAACGGTTCCTCGAGATCCTGAAGATCCTCGGGCGTACTCGAGGCGGTGCGAAAGAGGTGTCTGGCGTCGGTGTTTGTAGACACGCCACCCCGGTGCATCCTGAGCGTAAGCTCGAGCTCGCCGGAGGCCATCATCACTTGCTTCGTGCCGAGCTTTAGACTCCTCGTTTGTATCACGGCGGCGCGATAGATCCTGTAATATGTGAACACCATCACAAATAGCGGCAGGTAGAAGCTAATTGTCGACGAAAATATCAGGTAGCCGAGATTCTCCGTGAACGGACACTTGTCTTCAGGTACTTGCTCGGTGCGTACCGCACGCCACCATGCTATCGCGGGGAAGGAGATCGCGCTCGAACAGATCCACACGATGGCGATCAGGATCGCCGCGCGTTTCCTGCTCATACGCATCGGATACGTGAAGGGATCGGTGATCGCCCAGTAGCGGTCCAGGCTAATGACGCACAGATTCAAAATGGATGCTGTGGAGAAGAGGACATCCAGCGAACGCCAAACGTCGCACCAGTCCGTCGTGAAGAGCCAACGGTTCTCTAATACCTCGTATACCGCGCTGATCGGCATCACCACCAGGCCTACCAGACAATCGGCACAAGCCAATGAGGTCACGAAATAGTTCGTCGCTGTATGCAGATGCCTCTCGCGAAATACCGCGAGGATCACTAACGAGTTGCCGAAGACGGTAGCTACGGAGAAGAGCAACAAAACTATCGCGAGACCAATTCGATCCGAGGCGAGTCCCCAAAGATCGTAGGTTTGATTAAAAAGCGGTGAATAGCTCGTGTTGTAGAAACTCTTGCCGATTAGATCGTCGTTTAATGTGTGTGCCTCGTCTTCCAAGCTGCTCAAGAAGTAGATCTCGCTGACATTCATGTTTCGCTGTACGTAGCCGTGTTACTATGACCACGGTCCCTGACGACCGTAATCACCCCGACGTACGATCGTCCAAGATGATGATTCTCGCGACGTTTTCGAGGCGGCTGAACATCAGAATATTGGCGTCGTATTCACGTTCACGAGATTCCTCCTTCTCGTCTGTTCTCTCATTTTGTTTTCTCATTGAGACACCTCGGAAAATCATTGTAATTCTAAGATTACCGTCATATTTTTTTTACATATTTATTCGAATTAATCACACTTGAAATACACTCCGATAAGACAATCTGATGTTCAATCGATCTTCAAGATTTTATCAATCTGTGATTAAATTATATCTTATAAGGACCGATTGAACTTTGTCTCAACACTTTTGGATATCTATCTGACATTTGGCACAATATATCTCTTTCACCTGCGATATTAAAGTTAGTACAGAACACACGAAATGGCATAATTGAAAGATGTCAAAAGTTCAGATTTCTTTTATCTCCAGCAGTATTTTCATTCGAATAAATTTACCTGTCTTTCGAATACCTGAAACAAATAAGTTAGTTCATGAAAGTAAGTTTGCTTTCTAAAAAAAGAATGAGGAAAATGAGATGAAAAATCTTGCGAGTCAAATGATTTTATTTGTATTATATCTTGAGTGTCCTTGCAATCTATTGAGCAAATATTTTCTTTACTTGAAGAAGGTCTGACATTAATTTCCTCCCTTTTTCTCCGATGAAATAAGTATTCTTTTGAAATGTGATTCTAATTGATGCAAATAAGTTTGCGAGAAAAATTATTTCAAAAGATTCATTACAAATTTCTCCCTGTCTCTCTCCCTCTTTAAACCTTGTTATCTTTATAAGGATTTTTGATAGATCTTACTGTGAAAAAAAAATTAATCTCGAGTTTTCTCATTTGGCCAGATATTTTATCGTCGATCGAGTGTTTATAGAACGATGATATGTTTATGCTTACGATTCATCGAGCGGGCTACATCACGAAAGGTCGTATCGACGGTACAAAAATAACAAGCGACAATATCATTTTTACCGAAACAAAACTATCGAGTTACCTCTGCAGATAATAGCAATCTGTATGGAAAATTATAATTTGCATAAAATATATTTAAACATAAGATGATACTTTTCAGATAAGATGTATAAAGACTAAGTAGGCTTTAGTGCGTAACAAGATCACCGTTATGATCCTAGATTTTAAGTCGAGATTTCCTGTACGTTCAAAAGAGCACGGTGAATCTTATTTTACTTTGCCTTACCGTCTAACAATAAGTTGGAAATAAAGTCGCAAAGTTGAATAAGACGCGGCAAGATAAGAAAAGGGATTCACGATTGTTTTTCTTCGTCCAAAATAAGGACAGGGCTGAAGAGTCTCATCCGTATAGATTTTGATCGAAAGCTTAATTCGTAAAATGTAACATAAATAACGTATAGCTTCGCGTTTTTTCTGAAATCCTGTTTTATATACACTCCCTTTATATTATGTATCCCTTCCTATTATATATTTTAGAGTATTCGAATTAATGAGTATTTAAAATTAGTTGACTTTACGTATTTTCACGCGTTTTACGCATTCATCACTGCAGATTGATAGCAAAGCAATCAAAGGGAAAGACAAACGCATATCCTAACGTAATCTAACTTTAAGTGAATCTTCTCGCCTCGACAATTTTATTGACCAATATTGACGGCTCCATTTTCTGCCGGGGACATGACGTCTAAGAATCTCCCTCGAGGCATGACAAACTCTTTCGAAGCGATATTAAAGCTATCGCGCCGCGTCATCCTATTTTGCATATGGGTCTCCGATTTTCCTCTGGAAATCGTTTTCGCTCACAGAATATCGGATGCAGACATTATACAGGTAAAAATTTATCGAGAAATTGTCGATACTGGATTGATTCTTGTAATATATCGATATATCTATTTCAATTAATGAAAAAAGAGTATATATATATATTTTTTAGATCGGATTTTGTTTCAATTTATAATACAGTAATACAATTAACACGCAAATCCAAATCCTATTCATTGCCGTATGTAAACAATCAGTTTTCGAAAAGTTTCCACATTCTCTCTCTTTCTCTCTCAGTATTATAAACCACTCCCCGACTACGCCTATTTATGGATATTCATCGTTGAGTGATTATCACGATCATCTTTGACCCCGCACCCTCGCGTCCTCATAGCCTCCCTCGTTTTAGCAGTATGCAATATATACTCGATTTTACACACATAGCCGTTGAAGAAGGCCGCCGTTGAACTTGGTCATTACGGATGAATAGTACCAATGGCGATCGATATATATATACATGCATAGTAGTATAAAAAATAACTTTCCTATCGTAGGACGGCCAGCTCATTAATGAAGAATACATTTTCCTTGAGAATCAAAAATATCTGCTTCTTCAAAAGTTTTCAATGTTAAAACACTTTTTTTTAAATATGTATGTACAAATCAAAAGAAGCAAATTAGTTTTAAAGTTTTCACAAAAGTTTGTGTCCTATAAAGATTCATATTTTATATTCAAATTTTTATTATTCCAAAATTTTACTGTTAAATGCAAGACATATTTTATCAAGAATAAAGTGAGTCATGCTTCTCGTAAAAAACTAAAATAATACAATAGACTCATAAAGCTAACAAAAAATATTTTATGTGTGGCTTATCTATGCAGATTTTATGATTTGTGATTATATCACAAGAATATTATATAATGAGAAAAATAATTTCAAAACGCGATAAAATTTTCCATGAAACATTTAATTTAATTCAAAATAACTATGCAATGCGTTTTATTTAAATGCGTTATGTGATATACGTATATAATTGACTATAAACAATTAAAGTAAATTATAAACAAGTCAGAAATAATTTTTGGAATCTAAAATATGCTGTATAATATTCTAAATCCATGTTTGCGATGAATAATATTCTTTTCAAAGAACAAATCCTTATATCGCACATTTCTTGATGAGGATCAAGCTAGATATATGAGCGATCTTTTCCCTTGTTTCTTTAGGAACTTACGAAATTGCGATAGGAGGATCAAGAGTAGGTAGAGATAAACTTGCGTAACTGATCGAGAGAGAATAAGAAAAGACATCAAGGGTAGAGGAGCAAGAAATTGAAAGAAAAATTCGAGAAAACAAAATGTAAATACTTTCTGAAATTTACTAAACATGATAAATATTGTTTTAAATTATTTTAAAATAACTTGAGATAATATGATTTGATAAAGTTTGAATTATTTAGATACAGAAGGTTTTTAAATTTTCTTTTATTAGCAATTATTAATGAATATTATATATGTAAAGTGAATTAAAAGTGAAATATCGAGAGTATATAATAACTGTCAAAAGCAAATATTCTTTATCATAATTTTGAATCTATTAAATTCATCTCGAAATTATCTTTCACCCCGAGGTAACGAAACGATATAAAATGATAACATAAATTAACGCTGCTGAGTCAAGAGGAAAGAGAAATCTATTTTACAAGGCTTGATATCACATTCCCGTTTGTAACCCCGTCGCGGCAAATTGCAAAATTACATAAGATTGGCCAAACGGTAATCATGTAAGCCGGAACTCGGTGGGTGTCAATAGTCTATTATCATTTGTACATATTCATTCTCTGGACATATTCATTCATTTTACACGTGTAAGATTTTGTCAGCTTTCGGCAAAAAATATCTGCGTTTGTCTGGATAGATAATGGTTATAATTATACGGAATTATTTTAATAACAAAAATGAGAATGAATTCTACATCGTTTGACATATGAATCGACACACGAAATAGTTCGCTATTAATAAGTACATTATGTCGTGAATTTTCTCTGGATTTCAGAGATCCCAAATTAAATAAGATATCTTCAGATTTCACATTAATAATTGTTGAATTATGATTCTTGTTTTTTACTCTTGCACTAGACACGAATAACTAATGTGACGTGAGGAATAAGGGAAAAATATTCCAGAGAATTTACCTAATTATTTTCATTTCATAATAAGGTGATTCTTCATGCTGACATAATTGAATGATTTAAATCTGCTTCTTTTTAAATGTTCCCACATGGTTAGAGATGTATGATTAAACTTGAAAATTACGCCGCGCAATTTATGGACGTGTGAATATAATTGCTTCATGTACGTAGCTTGATGCTGGATATCTTTTTTTCTTTTTTAAGTCTTTAAATTCTTAATTAATATAATCCTATTTTTATGCAAATGTACTTTTTTTACAACAAAAATAAAAATAAATACGAAATCAGAGCATTATATATATTGTATATATATAGGGAACTTGAAATGTAAAGTTATTAGAATTAGAATATTTTTATTTAATTTTTATTAAACTAAAATATTTTTTATTGATGTTAATCTATTCGGTCAAGAGACATGTAATGTTAACTGATCCTTTGATCGAGTGTTCTTTTGATAGATTTTCAATCTTCGGTAATCCCGTCTTGTTACAGAGTAGATATCTCTTTTGCCGCTGTCTTTCCCTATTCTCCTTGTATCGTATGATTTGACGTATATTTTACCTCTTGCACGAATCTGAACACTATAATGTGTCATTTTCAACACAGAATGTAGAATGTATTAAATAAAATATTCAATCAGCATTAAAAAATCATTTAAATATTGAAAGAAGATATATAAAAATCTTAAAGAAATAAAAATTCAATGATTGGACGTGATCGTAAAAGCATCCTTAATATTAAAATCTTTGCTGTGTATATATTAACGAGATCAATTTTATCCGCCGTATATATGAAGTCGCGCGAATCTCGTTAATTCTCTTCGCATAATCTATATCTATATCTATATATCTTATTTCGATAATGTATGCAAAATATTTCTGTAAGAAAGTTTGAATTATTTCACTCGAACGTATTATGATAGGCCTCAGAAGTTTTTTAAATTTACGTTAAAGTAGGATTTAGGACGCAATCTTCTTTAACGAATGTTTTGCATTTCTGGCCGTACTTCTGTTAATTTTCGAGATATTTAAAATATATAATTTTTAAAACAAGTTAGAAAAAAAGGATAGAAATAATAAAACCCTAATAAAATCTAATCCTAATCGACATGAGAAAAGCTTGTTCTTTTTCATGAATTAATAAAAGAGGTAAGTATCGCATTTTATAATTACTTTTGTACGATCTAGCAGAATCCTTCATGGATAGCACACACCTATTAGTGCAACAGATGGAGAACCGAACAATCAACGATATTGCGGATCTGCTCATTCAGTGATTTGATTCGTTCAATCAGTTAAATTGAAAAAGAGTGTTTCCGAGACGGTGCTATTAAATAAAAAAAGCGGACGGAGGAGGGATGGAGGGAGAATTGTACGCACCATTGTACATCCTACGTGCATCGCAAAGCGATCATGTGTTCTTTCTTCCGGGGAAAGTAACGCGGGTACCGCGATCGTTCTCCATTAACGCATCATCGTCGAATAACGCGTGTTAATTGCCCCCCTCCCCTCTAATCTGGCATGTCCCGCTTGCAACGTGAACCTTCAAGGTCACGGCTTCTCCCGATCGCCGGTTCGATTCAATCGATTCGCCGGATTGATGTCACGATGTCACGATGTGCGTGGCACAGACGACGATGACAGCGATGGTGCTGTTGATACCAGCCGTGATTCCGCTCGCGTCGGATGTCGGTATCAGACACGAGCTAATGGGAAGGAGCATGATCGAGGAAGGGTACGGGAAAACGTACGCGACGCGTCCACGAATTTTCGCTCTGAATCCACGAAATTTCGCCGCACATGCATTCGCAATTAAAAGCGGGGAATAGGGTGGCCCGAAAGAGAGGAGCTTCACGGGGGATACTTTTCCTATAGCGAGAACGCGGGTTACGTGTTTCGCGGTTTTAGACGGCCGACTGCTACTATCGCGTGGCTCGAAAAGCTCCGCACCCGTCGCGCTTGCGCGCCGCATCGAGCCGCATCATCCCCGCGCGCACACATACACACCCACACACGCGCAAATACACACACATACACACATACACACACACATACACACATACCCATCCATTTTTACCCTTATCAACTTTTGCTCGCGGCACCCTGTTTCTTTGCGTCACCGTCGCGGATATACACGGATATGACGTGAATTTTCTTTATAGATGACGTCATAATACACGCCAACCTACTCACTTTTTAATTACTTCCTGATTATATATATTTATAATCTTATTATATTTGGATTATCGTCTGCGGTTTTTATATCCATGCGTTACCGATACTTGAAATCAAAATGGCAATCTTACCTCATGTTACATCCTTACGTGATAAGCATTTTATTAATTGAAACGTAATTTATCGGAGCAACATCGCGCAATGCTTTGCGTAGGATAAACAAGACAGAATTATTGGCACGCTTTATAAAACTTGTAACGCTCGATTTTGAAATCACAAATCACACATGGTACATACAAATTTTATTTTTATTATCCGAATATCATCGATTTATGAAATATACGTAAAACGGAAATAATGTTTTGTGTATTTTTGAATTATAACGTGTAAATATTTTTCAAAGTTATTTACGATTTTCGGCACAACATTTTCCTACGGTATCCTTCATTTGCTTGGTGCAATCAATGCCTGCTGACTCTGCTTCACGCTTTTCATTTTTGTATTGTTTGCAGCAACCGGACATGCAACAACCACCGGCTGCCTCTCTCGCTCTAGTAATGGAAAGAAAACATAATGACAATATATTAGATAATTTATAAAATAATATAAGGATCAGATTATCACGTATCTGACTTAATATTCGAGCGAAAGTCATAGCCATAAATTCAACGAACAAATTCACGAATTAGTTTGAGATAGCCCATATGGCCGCCTTTTTAACCTTGTAGGACTCGAGTAGGATCGTCGTTACTTTCCTGTTGGGCAGCAGCTCTTAGGATCCGTGCTGGCATCGCTACAACATCCGCCACGTTCTTCCTTCGTCCCGGCGCAACATTTGGCACCGCAGCATCCTCCATATGTCTTTTTATCTCTGCACATTTTCAGTCGAGTCACAATCACTGAATTATCAAGGTCCCCGAGAGGGACTTGCGCGTCGCAACGCCCATGAAATCGTTATCGCGTAATCAGGCGACCATATAGGTGTTTAAAAACGTATGACTTTTTTCTTATTTTAAAGTTCTTATTATAATCTTTTTACTTTTTGCTGCAACATCCGCCGTAATCTTTCTCCCTAACCGCATCATTCTTCTTCTCGCCCCTGCAAGCATAATGCATAATATGTACATACATACATGTATGCATATAACGTATATTTAAATAAATTAATAATAGTTCTCTCTCTTAGGTTTTTTAGAAATTATTTTATCAGAATATATGTTGAACAAGGTATAAACATTCAAAAGAATGCATTAATCGTTTAAACAAACATAATGTACAACATTATTAAATTGTTAAAATTATAGGAAATAGTTTTTTTATATGAACGTGTGTTTATAAATTATAGGAAATAGTTTTATATGAACGTGTGTTTATAAATTCATAAATATGTACATGAGAACTTACTGCTCGCATCGACAAGTCACTTGACCAGCGTATCCTTTTTGACTAGTAACTTTGCTATAAAGGAGATTACGTTAGCATTTTGTACATTACATGTAATACTATATCAAAAAACAAAAAGTTAATTAATTAGTTAATTAATTAAGTCAGTTAATAATTGTATGACATTATTTATAAGATAATTTACAACATAATGTCATATACAAAAATAAAACATTTATCTTACTTTTATTTATGTATTATATTGTCATATATCTTTATCCAAAGAACTATTATATTGTCATATATCTTTATCCAAAGAACGATGCAAGAGGTTAAAATCATTTCATATAATGTATAAAGATATAGAATCACTTACGCGCAATGATCACACATGATGATGTTTTATGATGTTATGAGAAGCGTTTAATCGATCAATTCTTTTATCCTGAAGAAATTTTGAAATTTTGGCAAAGTGTGTAGTGTTGATTGCGAAAAAATTTAACATAAATTATAAATAAATATTATGCGTTACTATGGTCATTCATCTATTTCTATCCGCATCTTTTTCAGCATCTTTATTGGCAGAATGTTTCGAATAAATACACATGTATTTTGTAAAATTAATTAAATTACAAACGCACGTCATATTTTTTAAATCCTATTATTTAATAACCTACAAAATATAAATTTTAAATTCAGAGAATTATTTTTATCGATACATAAAAATACATTCACATATACTAAACTAATGTATATAACCACATTCATTTAATGTACGGAATTATATGGAATCATATTAAAGCAAAATAAATGTATTCCAATGAAAATAATATGTTATCATCTTTTTCATAACCTTTTTTGCTTCGGAAACATATTTGATATAAAAGTTATATAATAATTAAAATTTTAATAATTAAAATTAGTTACTGTTGAACTTTTAAACAGCCTTGAGCTATTAAAATGCAATCTTCGCAATGGTAGCTTTTCCACGTTGTAAACTTAGAGATATGATTACTATTATAATTATTTCGTTCTTCAAAATATAAGTTTGCGTTTATTAAATGAAAATAAAATCATTCACATTGCTATTATCTGCGAATTATTAAAATATTTCGATGATGATAAAATGATATTTAAAGAATGAAAAGGATAATCAGCATCACAAAAAAGAGATAATAATAAAATTCAAGACTTTCGAAAAAGCTTTGATATACATTTGAATATCAATATAACATATCTTTATACATACATATATGTATACATAAATATGTAGGATTTTTTATAGTTGTTTTTTTTAAAATAGATATTTTTGTAAGCTATAAGAAAATAACTCTTTATATATTTTAAATAATATATAACAATTTCAATAAAATAATATATAAATAAAACTACTTCGGATATTATTACTATTTATATTTCTCAATGTAGTGCTTTATGTGTAAACGCAAAGCAATCATTTTTAAACAAATGATACGCTTTTTAAAATCTGCAAATAAAACGTCCACAGATTATAAGAATTTTAATTAGAATTACATTTTAAATATAAGTTTTATTTTAGTTGTATAACTCCACATTTTATGATACTTACTTCTGGTTGTGCTTTAACGTAACATTTAGCTATTTGAAAAGCTTTGTCGCAAACATTTTCCGTTGCTAGAAATTAATTTTTCAATTATTTTTTCTGACAACTAATTTTACTTTTTCAAACTCATATTCACTTGTATTCCATTGTATATTTTATATAGAAAGAAAAATATGCAATATGTGCATACATGTGTACATTTTGTAACTTATACTAATTATAACGAAAATTATCTTGCTGTAAGAAAATAAAATAATAAGAAGACTTACGAATCGATTTACACCGATTAAGAATTTCTCTCGACGATTCTTGCATACTACGCGGAAGATGACGTACAGCCTTCTCGATATCTACATTGTTATTTTCGCTAAGAATACCACTCTTCATCATAAAGCATCTCAAGTAACATTTTAATTTTATATCATTTTCTTCAACGTTGCCGGCCTTCAATCGTTTTAAGGATGCTAGATTAAATAATCCAATTAAGAAAAGCGAATTCATTCTCTTCAATTATATGCCAGCAATATAAAAAATATTATTACCCCAAGAAACATTCGTTTGTTGCCGACAATCTCGTTTGATATCCGCTCGTGCTCGAACATGTAAGATTGAATAAGTTTTATAAATGCATTGATTAGCAAAAAAATTTATCTGATCGTCTCTTCAATATTTTTTAAATTTAAACATCTTAAATTATACATTTAATTAAATTATATACGTATAAATACATAGAAATACATAAATTTTGAATGCCCTGTATATGCTTAAACACAGAGCTTTTTAAGATTATCCGAAGTGTTTGCAAGAATAGAAAACTTTTCAGTACGAAATTTTGCAAGAAAACAATATAATTTTGCTTATTAATATATACACAACTAAATTACTTACTAGTAGAAACAATACACTGAGCAAAACAATGAATAACATATTTTCAGTTTTCATGTTTTTATCAGAATACTTTTTGGACTACAAGTTTCCGATTTCAATGATGTTTCCAATTAAGCAAAACTAAGATTACTGAGAATGCAATTCTATTGTAAAAGACATGAATTTTTTGTTTATGCTCAATTTTTAATAGCAACACATAATTCATCTATAATCCTATTACAAATGTCGAGTATAAGGCTGAACAATTACATAAATGTCATATTAATCTACTGTAGTGTGACATACAAATGGCATATCAAGGATTTTACTGCATAAAACTCTAACTAACATATTTCAAAAACTTTAATGTCTCACGCAATAGTTTAACTAAGATATTTGATGTATATGTATATTCGTATAAAAAAAAATATATATATATATATATATATATATATATATATATATATAGAATTTCCCTACAATAGATAGATACAATTATATTCTTTGATAAAAAAAATTAGAATTTTTTTCTCTTGATAAAATTACCGAAAGGAAATTGTTTTTAAGAAAATGCAATGTATTTTACAAAGTCTCGAAAATCGATTTGCAAGTTTCCATAAGTTTTGCTAAAAAAAAGATGCTGTTAGAAGTTGTTAATAATATTATTTTAATATTATTATTTCAATATTATTTATTATTTGATAAAAATAATGTAATATTTATATATTTTGTGTTATATTCTTATAATTCTATATAATTAATATATGATATTATATATATATATATATATATATATATATATATATAATTAATATATTATAATGTGTACTTTTATATTTTAAATGCCCAAATCTGATTGTGAATCAAAACTGGTATCATTATTATGAACGATCGGTTGTATCACATAATCTTTCACCTTACTCGACAGGTATGATAATTTATCGACAGTTATATATCTTCCAATAATATTTTATCAATAATTTAGTATATATTCAAATGTAACATTCAATATATGCACACATAATGAATGCTCTTGAAATAAAAATTATAAATTTAGTTTAAAAATTATTATAAATTTTGATAAGTGTATTTCTTACGTAACCGCTAATCGATAAATTATCAGCATTCGTTGTATACTGCTTTCTGCAACGTCAGAGACTGCTAATTTATAATATAATCAATTAAAGATACGTTGAAAGAGACATTCCACCTATTTTGGGCATTAGATTAATTCGTTCATTTTCAGTTATAAATATAATTTGATAATAAAAATTGTTTCTTTTTAATTAAATTAATATGGAACAAGAAAGAGGTCTTAATAAATTATTTTATAATAAATAAATTACATTGAAATTATTGAATTACATCAATGAAAAATGATAATATAATTTATTTGAATTCCTTTAGAGAAGTTAAAATTTCTTTTGGTCGCTTTGTAGTTAGATAATATTAAAACAGAGATATATGTTATTATATTGTATAATATATTTTTTAATTTATATTGTTTATATATATAGTATATATAATAATAGTTTATATTATGTTAAAAATAATCATTTGTCTACATACAACAAAACTATTGAACTATTTAACTCAATATTTTTTTAAACATACATTTTTCTAATTTTAATATCCACCATCTATCATTGAATAGTAATGCAGCGGATTAGGGACATCATGTATAGCTATATGACAGATCGCTAATTAATAAATATACCTTATCCGACATGTTAAGTAACGAGCGAAATGCAAAACGTTAAATGTCATTGAACGTTTAACGAGTAGTCCATTCTTATGAGAACGCGAAAGTCGCTGTGATAAATGGCAAGATGAGGGCAAAGATGAGCTGTGGCAAGTGTATAGATTTTAAATATCGATTCAGATATACGTGTATGCGTGAGACGTGTAATAAATTGCATATTTAGTATCATCAATTTAAGTACGGCGGCAACATATTAATGTTTTATCATTCGCGTATAATTCAATAAGTCGTGCAAATACAGGACATGCAGAAAGAGCGCGACGGTATTCACTAATCTGCTTTACGAGCGTTTTCCTAGCATACATATATACTAAAAAATTAATGAAACAGGCAGGTGTGTTGTCAGAAGTTGCCAAGGCGTCTAATCGAAATCCTCGGATTATCATCGAGAGGTATCGAGCTTGGTCGTCAATCTACCACTAAATCGAACACCCCACGCTGTTTCTGCTCCCGGCGGTGTACATATGGTATCATTGACATCCCGGTGAGATGTAGGTGCACACAGATTCTTCCTCCGTGAGTTTCTTCTCTCTTTCTCTCTTTCTCTTCTCGCAAACATGAATACAACACGAAAACGAGGCGTCGTTCATCGAATCTCAGACTCACAGCGAATGTAGCGGAGAGAGATATCCTTCGCTCCGCCGCACGAGGGACCTATATAACTGTACCGGCTGTCTGGGTCAGGGGGCGGGCCGCTACGTTTGTAGTATACTCCGTATATCGGACAGGTGTACCCTATTCCGAGGCTCTTCGGGTTCCCGCGTGCACCTCCGAGACCGGCGACCGGCTGCACACGCCGCCCCGCTCGCGTCTCTTTCTCTAGCTGTCGCGGCATCGCGGAGTATCGCGTCACCACGAAGAGAGGTGATCAGTCGCACGCACGAAGCTTCCGAGGGCTCTTAAATCTCATTCGAGCGAACGCGAAATTCGGCGCTTCGCCAACAGCAGCGTCCGCAAATCGCGGATTCGGCCGGAATTGTGCGCCAGGACTTTTAACGTTCGATCCCGACCGATCGGTGTGGTAACGCTTCGTTCGCCTGACACCCCCTCGAAGGAAGATCAAGCACACTTGACAACCACTCGCATCCGGATTCATTAAAAAAAAAATAAAGGTATCATTGCGCCAATTTAGAAAATGCCGTCATCATCTCATTGTTTACATAAGTTCAATACATAAACTCAGCACAATCCACTTTTGAGCTGCTTTAAAAAAGTAGTGAGAGAAAATTTAACGTTGGTAAAAACCTGATATATTAACAGAGAGACTCGTCCTTCGCAATAAAGGGAACCAACGACTAAAGTATTATCCACCTGTCACATTCCGAGCACGTGTTCGTTTCACTACAGCTGACTGTAATGTGCGCGAGACAGCGGTAATTTAATCCCGGAATACTCTACGTGTGCGAGCATGCATCGTTATAGGTAATTCGCGGCTATTAAACGTGCTTCTTGTCTTGAGTCCGATGGTTAATATCGCATGTTGGACGTAGTAATTCAATTAACGCTATGTCACCGATTAAGTTATTAGAAGTGAATCGCATGTCACCATTCGCACTTCACTAATGTGTTAATAACGCACGACTGGAGTGCGAGTTTGTGAGAGAAATTACACCTTCAGCCGCAGAAGACATAGCCGGATGGTTGTTTCCGTTTTATCGAGTCATACGCCGACTCGTTTTACTGTATCCTATGAAACACTTCCGAAATTATTATCGTGATTTCTTTCGTACGTCATTATAAATATAAATCAATTAATATTATAGTGTGTCGTTTCCAAAAAAGAAAAAAAAACATTAGAGAAATATATCGAAATGTTAGCGCATCGTTAATTAAAAGGCGCCTAATTTCGCATGCCGTTGTATGTAAAACAAATGAGGTCGAGCACATGTTAGAAAAAGTAGATCGTAAGTAGATTGTGATTTCGTATTTGCATTTTTATCAGAAAGCGATGAAATATATACATCTATCTAATTAATGTATAATTTTATTTAAAAAATGTGAATACGCGTCGCACACATACACAATAATTTGTAACTATCGTTGTTTAAAAATTCTGAAGTTTATTTAAAAGATCAAATTCATCAGATCGATTAAAAGAGCAAATTGATATATTTATAAGTTTGTAAATTAGACGTTTATTTTTGGTACAAAAATTTATATATATTTATTAAAAATCAACGCACAATTCTTATATGTGCTCTACACCTCGCAGAGATACGCAGCGGTCTCTTTGGATTGCAAATCGAAGTGATCGTCGGGCTCCTTTTCGTTACGCTCGATTACCGTGCAATTACTACATCGTGGATAAGCAAGACGAGCAATACAGATGGCACGCGCTCATTTGCTTATCGCTACCATTTGATACTTTGATATAGGCGCATTTCATAATTGCGATTCGCGCATATAACATACCGCGCGCGATTCGTTCAATTTCAATTTATCGACAAGATTACCAGCTATTTTCAACGGATGATTAAGTTACGGCGCGAATGTGTGGTCGTTATTCTCGGGAAATTGTGCATATCGAGATTCAAGCGAGTTAATCGACTGAGATAAAACCTGGAGACAAGAAGAGAAGAAATGGAGCGGGTATATTAGATGACAGGTGCTTATCAATCTATTAAAGCAGGAAGCGGATAATATATAATGTATAAATTTATCAATGTGTCTTTACTTCCGAATATTCAGCGTTACACACGTTGTTTATAACGCGATGTCCGTTATGCGGGAGAGGAGATAACGAGGGAAGGTGGGGATGCGAAAACACAGGACGGAGGAGCTACATTCTTTCTATATGGGTCGCTATTAGGCGCTCATTATGCGAACGCCCGACTTCGGAATCACCACACTGACAGAACCGTTATATGTATTTGGCACCACGCCACATCTTCGGCATACCCGATACATGGTTAACGCGGAACGGGAGACGTGTAAACAGTCGAGACCGTGGTGATTTTTATTCCAGTACACGGACAACCTGTAAGAGGAAGGACAGGTGTCGCGATTTATCGTGACACAAATTATAAGAGCAGAATAACAGCTAATATACAACTTTGAGAATGCTCGTGAATCGGACACATTTGAAAAATATTATAACAATTAAAATTTGCAATATTATTGATTCTTTGTTAATTGATATTATATTAAATATGTATGATTAGGTGAATCGATTAGGTTTTGTGATTGGATGCAGCGATTAATGTCTCTTAATTAATATCTCTATGAGCTTTTCTTTTAACAGTCCTAGAAAAACGCTTTCACCTTTGAAGAAAATCGATTAGATTATTAGTTCAATGTGACTGTGGTATAGAATATTTTACAGTACTTTAATCCGGCTCTTAGATTATTCATGTCGAATCAATTTCTTTAAACAATTATCTGTGTAAAAAGGCTGACTGTAAGTTATTTCAAACAATTTGACATTTTGAGAAAATACTTGTAAAATTTTAGAAAGTGTTAAAATAATTTTCTTTAATATATTTTTAATAATTTAACAATTGATTATTATGCTAAATGTAATAGAAACGCGATAAACTCTCGTACAAGAATTGATCAAGTAAAAATTATAATGAAAAACACAGTTTCTTCGAAATCAAATTTATAAAAAATATTTTTTGTAATTTGATTTCTGAAAGATTTTATTAAAAAATTTATTTCTTTATACATTCAGAAATAAGTTTTTCATATGGAGTTAATTAAAATTATGGAAATGTAACAGCAATATATAACAACCAATATATATGTATAACAACTTATTTACAACTTATTTATATAACAGTTTTACGCGTTTATGAAATATTTTATTACAAACATATATAAATATGTTATATAAAATAAAAATTAAAAATGACATTAAGCAATCGTTAGAAGCGAACTGCTTAAAGATATCAAGACAAGGCTGAAACGATCGGACACGAATGACCCAAGTGTGTCGTTTGTGGGTCAAGTTTTAAATGTATTACAATCTATCGCGACTGTACAAAACCAGTAGAGTATTCGCAAATTGGACGAACAGCCGTCGCGGTGGCCGCGCCCGGTTAACCGGTTGGTCCTTTTGACTTCGGTCCCACGTGCGCGCAAACGTTGATCAACGGCGCGCAGGAGCCTACTTGCCTACATTCATAGAACGTCAAACATGCCACTCGAACACCGGGAATGCACACATTAACGCGCACAGGTATCGTCTCTTCGGCTTTTCTCTTTCGTGCGCGCGCGCGAAAGCAGTCGCGTCATCTTCAATTACATGCGAATGACTTTAATCTTCTTTCTCATAGATAAATCCTTAATTTAAGATTCAATGATCGGGATCGAGATATACCGAAAATTAGAAGAGATAGATAGGACAAGATTATCTAGAGACATTCTCGCAGTGCGTCTCTGAGCTAAGATCCAAGAGAGACAATTAGATAGATTAGAATCTCGCAACATAAATTTGCTCACCCACCGTTTACGACCGATTGCCTTCTCTATTGCCTTCTCTATTCTCTTTAATTGACTCTCTACAATAAAGGTCTCGACAAGCGTGATTACGTGTATTGATCATGTCTTTTTTCCGTTTACACACTTCCTCGTCTTCCGTGATTAGGTACTCGGTTAAAGAAAAGAAAGTTGTATCAGGAATCTGACTTCCGTCCCTATGTGTATGCAGAGTAGCGGTAAGTGCGACAAGCCAGGTGACATACTCTAGCCGCGTCTCTTTTCACTACCGCTGTTGAAGATACGCGCGACAAAATTATATCTCGGTAGCCCGTTATTTCATGTAGTTTCGAGCTGAAAGCCATCAAATATCTGTGTTGGACAATTTATTTAACAGCTCGCGCGGAAACAGCAGCGCAATGAGCGTCCCAATGAGATTTCTACGCGTGTTTCTGCGGATTTTACGAATTTGACTCACGCCGATAGACAGGGACTGCGGTTTCGACGAGGTAACGGAGCAAAAACCGGGACATTCGGGAGGAATTTGGGACAGATGGCCTAGTGGTTGCGAAGCGAACACGTCGTCTGATAATTGGCGATCAAATACAAGCAAAACGCGACAACCGTCTTACAGACGCATCACTCGCATAGCGGAAATGTGAACAGCGGTTAACAGTAACCTTGGCGTCTTTTTTGCGATCGCTGTAAAGCTTGTTTCGATTACAAGCTTTGGACAGTAAAATTCAATTCACCAAGATATTGATCCTGGCATATCAATTTAATTATCGGGATATTTAAATATCTTATGAATAATTAAATATCTTATTTAATTATTTTTTGCTGGCTGCAAAATATCCCGCATTACGAAACATTTGATTGAGAAAGCAATTGATATAATGTATATGAGAAAGCAATTGATATAATGTATATGACAAAATCGATGCTTTCTCTCTCTTGAAGATCCCTCCTTATGCAATTAAACTTAAATTACAGACTGCGGTTGTATCGAGCAATCGAAGATTATTCTGACGAGAAGGAGATCACTCAAAATCATTTATTCATTATAAGAGACGACCTCTCACTTAGAGAACTACATTCGGCTATACAATTGGAATTACAGGTAAATTATGTTAAATTAACATACATTTTAAATTGTTGTTTGATTGCCAATGTTATTTTTTGCGCGAATCATCTCAGAAATCGAACTCTTTTTTTTCAATCTTTCGACACGCAAAATTTTATTTAATGCACAACATTAGTACAGTTAAATTGCATAGTTTCACAAAAGAAGAAATTCAAGAAGAATAATTATTCCGTGTAATTTTTCTACTTAATATAATTTTAGCTTTTCTAATATAATTTATAATATAGCTACGATAAATTTGTAAAATCTGTTTTAATGTAATTTACCATGTTATAATTACAGTACACATGCAGAAAAATTTTATTCCGTTAAAAATAAAGTACATTGTTAGAATTTTTATATTATTAGAATTTTTATTTGTTCTGCAGGATTAAATTTTTGCGATAAAATATTCTATTGTATATAATAAATAACTATTGTATATAATAAATAACTTATTGTATTATAGAAAAAGTTACAATTAATTAGGTACTTCACAATCGCTTATATTCATCAATTTTATATGAGATTATTTAATAATTGTATTCATCAATTTTATATGAGATTATTTAATAATTTAAAAAACCCTTACATAAATTTTTGCAGAAATCTGAATTTCTCAATTTTAATATCCATTACATTGAGATTGTTATTTTGAATTTAATTTGGCATCAGATTTCTTGTTACCTATCTTCACAACAAATTTCTTTCGAGGAGAATTTTATATAGTCAATTTTGAACGAAATAAAAACTTCTTCCATACATCGCACGCGCCACATATTAAATTTACCTACCTTAACATATAATAAAATATATTAAAATTTTATTAACTTTGCAATTTTCAAAGTTTGTATAACATTAAAGTAAATGCACCAGAAAATGAATAATTTCTTTCCCGGATTTAAAAAATGTTTTCATCAAGTTATATTATATTCTGTATATTATAATGCATATTAAAATATTTAATTTAGTTTCCCGAATTTAAAAAAATGTTTTTATTAAGTTATGTTATATTCCGTATACTATAATGCATATTAAAATATTTAATTTAATTCAATGATACATGGTATTTTATCTTTTCAGTGATACGATATACTGTTCCACCGTGGACGCCAACGCGGTATGCAGTTACGCATTTGCATCCTAGCCTGTCTCCTATTGAAGGGGGTAAGCGAAAATTTTTTATTTCCCTTGCGAAAGCTTTTTCCGAGAAAATACACGTTAAACGGAGAGAGTTAAGACGCCGATCTCGCATCTTACATCGATCATCATAAATGCGTTCCAACATTGTACGCAACATCGTTATTAATCGAACGCATTCCGCATGGAAGAAAGACGAGATTCGCACAGACACATTGCTATTGATTCGGTTTCATTTGGAGCGACATCTGAGGACGCAAGGCATCACGGGGGATAGGTGTGCGTCTTTCCCTCTTTCTCTCTTCCTCTCTCTTTCTCTCTCTGTCGCCGTCTCTGCGCGTAGGTAATTACTACATAATAACCCAGATATATCGCGACGGATACACGAGCACATGGCCGGGCAATGCCGTTACCCAGTGCTCTGACCCAGAGCTAAGGGCAGAACTCGCCCGGTTCGACTCGGTTGTCCCGATGTCTCAAAATGGTGCGCGGAGCGGCGCTCTGATCCGCTGCTGGTGTCTACCGCGAGGAGACCCGAGTAACGTTTTATCGAGTCCGCTCTCTTACAAGGTTACGCGCAAAAATCTCGCGCGGAACGACCGGTTTCTTTGCACGCGCGCGCGGTCGGTGTACCCTTTTCATTCCTGCATTCCTGTGGCCCGACACAATTTTCGATGCACATGTGCGCTCATCGGCGCGCGTCTTCTTTATTTCCCGGTCTCAACCTCTCGGTCGACGATTATCGTTAGCCTTATAAGAGAGCGATGGCGAGATAGAACGGGATGTGAATGAAACGCGCGTCGTCGTTACCGCGTGCGCGCCTTCTGTCTTCTGTATTCCCCGTCTGTCCGCCGCCGATATCTCTGTAAATTATGCGGGCTAACGGTTTTATCGAAATCTAGTTATCTGTTTCTAAATGGGCTTTGAGAAATTATTGCGAATACCCGAGAAATCGTATTTCTTTGACAACTATATAAGAAAAATTTTGCGGAAACGTTATAATTATTCATATATTAATGTTTCTATTTGTCGTTGCTTATATTTTCGATGTATAAAATAAAAGAGAATATCGTCGAACTGTTTGCAATCAGACGCGAGGTGTTTCGAAAAGTGTTCACCGAAACAAAATCAAAATTACCGGAATGCATCTGACGTAACATAACGTGGTAGCGTGGTTCGCCATTCATCGTGGACCGCCATCAGCTGTGCGCTTCTCCTTCGAGATCCGCCGCAAGTGACTCAGTAGGCCTCGGTCTGTCGCGAATTATGGGGACGCGCGCATTGAAAATCCACGAGACGGGATAAGTGGACGGGGGAGGGGGGGACCAGGGGGATGAGAAGGAGAACCGCGCCGAACGTGCGCGCTCCGCGCGGAACTGGCCGATTGACCCGCGGCTAAAGACACGGGTGGTCCGTTATGCCCTAAGGTCACACGCGTGACGCAATCGGCCACTATAAAACGTACAAGTTCTATACGCAATCGACTCGTTGCTCCTATTCCGTCGCGGGCCTCCCTTCCTCCCTCGACCTCTCTCACTCCGTTCCCTCGTCGTCGCCCTCGAATGTCACGTTCCTTCGAACACACTAACGACGAACAAGTTTGGCACTTTTTCCTCCCCTTCTTCTCGCGCCGTGTCGCCTTCGGCTATCGCGCCACCGGAAATAACTCTTTCGACGATCGCTCCATTTGTCCGATCCGATAATCGAACCCGCGCCGCATTTCTCGGCGCGCGCGTCGCGATTCCGTCGAGCTTGACACACTTAGGCCTTCCATTGAGCGCGTGAGAAGCGGATACCGTTGTATGGTCGTTTTTTTTCTTCGTCCTCTTCTTTTCGGTGGATGTATATATATACAATATATATATATATGTGTGTGTGTGTGTATGTGTGTGTGTGTGTGTGTGTAAAAATTAGCGTATATCTAAAGCAACATCCGTAAATATAGACACACGCGAGATTAACGCTAAAAATAAGATTCGTGAATGGGATCCCGGATATGGTAATGTAGCCTCATTGAATCAGTCGTAAACACAGACACACGACATAAATAATTAATGATACGAAAAGAAGCGGTATCATAGATACGTGACTAGTTTCATAGAAATCTGTATAAATTCGCGGTACCATGATCATATTTTAATTGATCCGCTTCTTCGATCGTTTTTTCAAACTTGCGGTACCTTTCCGATCGAATTTATATATATTTGACGCACAATATATGACTGCTCGTGTTCCTTTTGCAGCTGGCTCAAGCCGAGGAAGTAGAAGTCGTGGAGGCGATTCCGGGAGAGGATAATCGAAACGATAATTCAGCGTTGAATCGCCAAGACAACGAACTAAGTAATTCCGATCAATTGGCATTGGATTCCATAGCGGAGAAAGATGCAGGAGGAAATCACTATAAGTCGGGCGCCCTCCGAGGCCATCCCCTGCTACCACCGGGCCGAGGTGCGCTAAGTCTGCCACGTCCGCATCATAATGTTGCCTATCACGGTCCACCGCCACCGTTGCCGCCTTCTAAAGCGCAACCGGAAGCGATGGATAAGATCTATACGACCGGTAGCGGAATCAGTACCGCGGTCGGCGTCGAACCCTGGCCAGTGGCGACACCCGATATGCCGAAAATCGTATCGCTGGATGTGAAATGCGAGAAGAATCTGATGAAGGTTTACCTGGGCTTCGACAAACCGTTTTACGGCATTGTCTTCAGCAAGGGCCACTATAGCAACGTAAATTGCGTTCATCTGCCGGCGGGACTGGGTCGCACGTCCGTCAACTTCGAGATCAGCATACACGCGTGCGGGACAGCCGGTAACACGGAGAACGGACTGTACGGCTACGGCGCCGAGTCTGGTTCCGGGACATACTTCGAGAACATCATAGTAGTGCAGTATGATCCCCAAGTGCAGGAGGTCTGGGATCAGGCGCGCAAGCTGCGCTGCACCTGGCACGATTTGTACGAGAAGTCGGTCACTTTCCGTCCCTTCCCCGTCGACATGCTAGACGTGGTACGCGCAGACTTTGCCGGTGACAACGTGGGATGCTGGATGCAGATACAGGTGGGAAAAGGACCGTGGGCCTCCGAGGTCTCGGGACTCGTCAAGATCGGTCAGACGATGACGATGGTGCTTGCGATCAAGGACGACGATTCCAAGTTTGACATGCTCGTGAGAAACTGCATGGCGCACGATGGCAAACGCGCGCCGATACAGCTGGTGGATCAGCGCGGCTGCATAACGCGGCCTAAGCTGATGTCCCGATTCACCAAGATCAAGAACTTCGGCGCTTCGGCGTCGGTGCTGTCGTACGCCCATTTCCAGGCGTTTAAATTCCCAGATTCCATGGAGGTTCACTTCCAATGCACCATACAGATCTGCCGCTACCAGTGTCCGGAACAGTGCTCGGAATCGTCGCCCTTCCTGGACAGTCAGGGTCTCCTGGAGAATCATCATCATCATCACGCGATAAACGGGCATCCGGATGTTGGATATGGTTTACCGCCTCCGATCCCGCTGCCATTGGAGGCCTATTTACAAGCGGCGGCCGGACAGCCTCGGGACGAGAGAAGAAGGAAGTCCCGCGAGATCTCGCATAACCCGCAGAAGGCCGTCGGTGTGAATCGAATCATCCGGGTGGTCTCGACCGGTGATCTGACCTTCTCCATCGACGAGGGCAACAACAGCGGCGAACAGCTGTTGAACGGCGGGCCGACGATGGTATTTCCGCAACGCGTTCACGAGAATGCAGCCGGCTCGACCATGATCTGCATGACCACTCCCGGATTCGCGATTACTCTCATCGTACTCCTCGCTATTTTACTTTCTTCGTGCGTGCTCTCGGCCTACCTCTTCATGCGTCTCAGGCCCTTCTCGGCGAGGGCTAAGAAATCTAACACCGCCGAGCAAAACAGCGGCGCGACGAAGAAATCTTTGAGAACGTGCTTCTACTCATAGATATATACGAAATTGCCGCGTGTCCACCCTGAGTCATTTTATCGCGATCCCGATATCCGCGCCGGAAGAGGGGCCGTCAAATTGCACGGCCCTCTTCTCGGAAGAACCGGTTTACGCGATATCGTTGAAAGTCAGTACGTTGGAGGTCAGTACGTCCGTAGAACGAATGCGGTCGCGCGAAGGAAAAAGGAAATTGGTCCCGACCGCCACGTCGCACCGGGTTAATAAATTAGCGGTAAATGGGTAGAACGTTCGTACTTTTTCTTTTTTCAAATACTTTTGGCCATTAACTGACAGTATTCTTCTGTATGTACACGTGTATGCGGAATTTCTTAATAAAACGGGTCGTAGCGAAGCATCTTCTGCAAGGAAAGCTTTGCATGAACTGGTCTTCGAAATCACGAATCTTCAGGTTTCGTAGAGGCTATCGAGTGTCGCAAGCACGATTCTACGTGAAATTTCCTTTTCGGGACGGGATATCATCAACGATATTGTAATACTATAACGTATTATGCAGTACTCGTGCAATTCGGTATCGCGACCTCCACGTGGAGTCGTGCTTCGTCATAATGAAACTTAAGCTCAGGCCTACATACATAGGCGAATATAGGCGATATACGCCAAAAATTTAGTCAAAGATAATCAAATCTATTTCTTCGTTTATTATCTATGTATGTATTTGTATTTAGTCTCTTCTTTCGTTTCTCGGTATTTGGGACTCTATCATTTAACAAATCGTTGCTCAACAATGTGACTGGGTAACAGAAAGGCTGAAATTTCGCGAAAATGGCCTACAACACAGCATTTAAGTAATATTAATAATCTTAATAATATATCATATATATGATTATTTATATTTATTACCTATTTAAATTTTTTTCTTATAAATTTATTTTTTACACAGAATTCGATAAATTTCATATATATGAGGCAAACAAATGAAATAAAGTTGTAAGATACAAAAGAATTATATCTCATTCCTTTGCAATCAATAAATTAAATAATTAAACAATAAACGCGTTCGTATATAATATGCCGCATCAATGAGAAATTTTCAATTATATAAAAGTATTTAATTATTTAAGTGTTAATCTAATAGCTCGTCCTAAGCTCGTCTTAAAATGACAAGTTGTGCCAAAATGTTGCATTAATATAACATATAAATCGATAAAATAAAAATAATAAATTACGCAATTTCAGTTATAAGATAAAATATTTTGTATTGTTGTGCCGTATATTGTGAATATGAAGCCAGTGCTCTCGAAAAAAATATAGTTAATAAAATTATCGTGACATTCAATTTTCACTTATACCTTTTATTACATATTATTGCGATTGAATGGAGCACTACTTATTTATTACATCAATGCAGTACTAAGAAAATTCGCGTTAAAAACGATTAAGTGAAGAAAGCTATTAACTCGATAAGTTATATACGCAATTTTGCAGTCATTAGTTTATATTTGCAGCGTGATTTATCTAGTGTATAAGATAAACCTACATATATTAATATGTAAGGTATCTCTCAGAGAATTGTGTATTTCCGCCGGTCACGTAATTTCTCTCTTTTTTTTAATCTCATATACATTTATTATTTTATTAACCAATGAAGACAGTTGATGTATTTTTGTATACGAAATAAATGATAATTGGAATTCAATCGTATATTTAAAGTTTTGTAAATATTTATTTATTGCTATTATTATTTATTTATATATATTAAATAAAAACATAAACTTTTTTAACTAAATAATCATATTGTCGCCTTTTACTTTCGCCCGAACGATTTGCCACTCGCTATTAGGCAGTGCCAGTGGTCAAACCTAGTTCCCTAATGCTGATCATGTCGCGCTTAAATTAAATTTGCTCAATCTAAGCGTATGAAAATTTTTACATGTATACATGCATGAATTACTTAGAATCTAGTCTTAAATTAATTTTTATATACTTGGCAGCTTGCAAGTTAGTTTGGACGAGTAAAATAAATGTAACTTTAAATTCTCCATCCGTTGTTAAAATCTGCTTAGATCGGCCTATTCTCGCATAAGAACAGAAATAGGCCATACAAAAAAAATGTCCACACCATAAATATCTTTAAAAAAATATCTTTGTAAGACATTTCGGTATGAACATTAGCAATGCATTTATTTACGTATACTCAGGTATTAAAAACTCGGTCGTAACGAATCGTGTGTTCACGATGACAATTATATAATGTGCTACGATATGCGACAAGTCTATTTATACATGTGATTTAAAGAAAATAAAAATAGCAAATCGTAAAAATTTTTCGTTTCAGATCTTGCGCAAAAGCCCATAAAATCGTGGAAACTTTAGAAGATGAAGGATGTATTGGGAAATTACAAGTATTTATTTTCTTCCTCTGACACACTTTCCCCAAATTGTTAACGCATATTTTATACACATTTGCCACATCCGAGATAAATATTACTTTTAGCCTCCTTAGAGCAAATCGTTAACGCGATTTCTATCTCTAGGTAAGAATGTCGTAGCACCGGACGACTTAGTATCCTATAATTCATAAACAATATATATGTAATAGTACTTGTGTTAATAGTATCTAAAGAAAAACTTTTATAGATCATAGGCGATGCTTCGTGATCCATTGTATTCGCCGACAATAGAATCCCGAATGCATTCGCATTGCATCTCCGGAAGACAATTTGACGCGCCAATCATAGCTGCGTATCGTTTCCGTCGTATAATAAAACATTTCATTCTTATAAAAAAATGTATTGTATACTAATACAATAATTGTGATTAATTCCAATAATTATGATTACTTTCAATTTTCTTAGGTTATTCTCTCTACACATACACATACACTACATACCTACGATTTTTATTATTTTTTAAGGCACCGGAAAAAATCTCCGTGAATACGTAACCCGTCTTATATCGATGACAAATCACTCGCTATAATTTTCTGCTTTAATGCAATTTTTTGAGATTTTTATTTTTATTTATACTTAGTTTGTTTTTATGTATAATTTCTTAATGTATATATTATATAACTTGTAATACATATATCTTTCAGAGAGCAGAGTACTTTTTGTTTTCTTCGATGATATTCTTCTAAACTAACTGATAGTTAATAGATTTATGTAAAAAGAGATTTGTATATATATATAAAGATAAAATAAAATATAATACGAAATTAATTAATGTTCGAGTAACATGACAATACTTATTAGTATTTAATTAATGATTGAAAATTCCAAAATATCATCAAGAAACAAAGAAAATCAAAATCGATATCCACGAAAGCTAACACTAAAGCTAATAGATTTGCTAATATCAGGCTATATACGTATTTAGAAACGGGGTCCTCGGCGACTGCGATTCGCGAGAGCTCGGTATCGTCGCGCGATTCGCAGGAAGACAATCGAACAATTAATGTCGATAGTTTTCTTCCTCCCCACCTCTGCATGCCGTGCTCGATTCTATTCTCGAGTAGAGTATGATCGAGCAGCTTCCCTTACGCATTTACGATACTTTGTACAGCGTATTATTGCACATTGTCTCTCCTTGAACGCACCTTTAAAGCTGACCGTCAGCCTCGCTCGACCGATTGATCCGCAGTTACCTGCGAAGCTACCGCGTTCGTCTGCTTCAGCTCCTCAGGATTGTGCGGAGCAGCGGGTCGCGCCGTGCAACGTACGCGTAGCAGACCGTACGACAGCCAGCCGTTGTTATTACTGGTGTGCACATCGCTCTGATTGCTCTCCCTGTTGCTAGCGGTGACTTCTCGCTGTGCCTGCAGCCGATGGAGCATCGCGCCAGCGACGAGGGCGGAAACGACCGCCGAGAGCGCGACGATGATGAAGAGCGCGCTGAAACCTGGCATCGGCAAGCAGATCCCGTAGACGACCTCCTCGCGTATCCTACCTTGGAAGACCGTCACCGCCTCGGCGTGCGCATCCGGACTGAAGGCGAGATCCGCCTCGGAGATGACCTCGTAGATACCGCTGACGCCGACGTCGGCGCTACGCGCCTTCCGGTCTGTCACCGTCACCGAGCGTTTCCGGCGAGCGGTTACGACACTCCCGGTGAGCGGCGTCGCCGGCATCGCGTCGCCATCCTCCTCGAGATTCCGCGGTCCGTGCGGGAATTGATCTTGCTCGCTCTGGTCATATCTGGTCACCGGCGGCGGTGGTTCCTGAAAAGGGAGCGACGAGCTGTTTGCGAGTGTGTTTTTTTTATTAAAGAGGGGATGCGACGTGTCCTGTCTAATATTTACCACAAGTGGCTTCGACAAATCGACCTCGTCTAGAGGGACCTCGCTATCGTGCTGCGTTTCGGCGGTCGACGGTAACTGATTGCTTGTCTGCGCCTGGGCTTTCGGAATAGACTTCTCAACGTCCAGGAAATGGCCGCCGATCGACGCCACCTCGTCGCCATTCTGTATAACGTCATCGTATAGAGAACTGTCACCCTGCTCCTCGTCCGCGCCGTCTTCGCTGTCCTTGTCCGCGCTACTATTATCGTCGCTCGAGGCAATAGAGGTCGCCGTGCTGTCTATATACTGCGGTCGTATCTGATCCTTCCTCTCTTGTATATAATGAGCTACGGAGTCGCTTAGTTGACAGTGATCCAGGCAACCGTGTCGACATATCTCCACCTTTGCATAAAAATATTTTCCAATTTGTTGGAAGCAATATTTCTTGGCGGAAGAATTTTTAATAAGACATCTACATACTTTGCATTTGATGTGAACGCTTAACGCGTCCGGGAATTTAAACGCATGGAAGAAGGCATAAGTGATGACGGTCGCGCGGTCGTCCGAGCCGCGCGCCTTCAAGAACCGGCTGATCATCTTCGGTCTCAGCACGCAGCCGAACTCGTCGCTGAGCTGTATCGTGTGACCGCCGCCATCCGAAGCCACGCACGACTTGACCCGCATGTCGAACTCACCTGCGCCCGGTTAATAACAGAGAATCACGTTAGCGTTTGTCCGCGCGTAGCCTGAGCAAGCTATGAAAGCTCTATCTTGTTGTAGAGCTCGTTACCTCGATAATCATTTATGGCGATGACCAGAGTGAGAGTAGAGCCAAGGGGCACAATTCCGGACACGGGCGGCGCCCACGGACCCTTTCCGTGCTGAATTTCCATCCAGCAGTCCACGTTATCGCCTGCGAACGGGATAATGAGAAAAGATACGTTAATCGTGATGGAAATTTAAGATTAGGGCACAATTAAATGTCATTTGATATATAAAGATGGAGTGATTTATATTAATGATATGCATTATAGTTAATGTGACATGATTGCAGCTCTCAGACCAACAAAATAATTTTTCTTAGATATAAGAAAGTATAATCATTGCCGTAATTTTTTTACTGTTACGATTTTTAGTTCAATGAAATCATATATTGAAAAATTTTAAATTAAAATTGAAGAAATGATTTTTTAACGGATCTTATCATACTTGTGTCGAATAAATTTTATTTTTAAAATAAAATAGAATATATTGTTAGAACTTTCAATTCTCAAAAAAGGAATTTGTCACAAAGATAAAAATTAACAAGATTTATGCAACCAAATATCGAATTTCTATTCAAAGCAAAATTATAAATTACATTAAAGGTTACTGAATATTTTTAAATTATTTATTTATTTAAATTTAAGTGTTTTCCACTAAATCCGACATTGACACAAATTTAAAATAGCTAAATTAATACGATAGATTTTATATAGCGGTTCTTTTAATTAGTAGAATAACCAATTGCAATTCTGCTTGATAATAACAGATTCATTATTTTAATGACGAAAAATTTTGTTATATTACTTAACATCCACGCAAATCACGAGTACGTGTGTATTATCGTCTTGCGCATAAATATCGTGTATTATCGCGCGTGATGTGCTCGCTTTATACCGGCCACGATTTATGTATGTAAGGTAAACTGAAATTAACCGATATGTGTGACTCTGCGGTTTTCACCTGCGGTCAACCGCGAACGGGTGCACGAGTTGCAGTGTGTGTCTCGTGATCTCATTCGCTCCGCTGTTTCCTCCTCACGCTTAAAGGCAAAGTGTTCGTACGTGCTGCTTTAATAATGCAGGATGGCTGGGTATCATGAAACACATTACGGTATGAATTTAACCGCGATATTAGAAAGACTCGAGGAGGCTTTAGAGAGAGCGATTCTCTCCGTTGTTTAAGATTGTTTACAGCAACAGATGGCAATCGCGAGATGCCTCTCGCGCACGCGGATGTCGCGCGACGAGCCTCGATAGGATCGCCTCGTAAGAGCTCGTGAAATGTATGCCGATGATTCATCTCCATTAAGAAGTAACATCTGATGGCAGTATAATATCGTAAAGGTGTCCGTACCTCTAAAGTCCAGCTGTATGACGTCAAGATCCGCGATAACCATCGGCGGTTTCGACGCGGTCTTCTCGTAATCGTTGAACCATTCGCACCGCAATCGTTTAGCCTCGTCCCAAACCTCGAGTAAGTCCTTATCGTACTGGACCACCACGGTATTCTCGTAAAACTGTCCGTGCATATCCGGTTTCGTACCGCATCTGGAGAGTGAAATAAGAACATGAAGAAGTAGAGATTCTCCGCAATGACTAATAAATATAAGCGTGGCTCATCGAAATGTGGTAAGACGCAAGAAGGCGAAACAATCTCGCGTCTGATTATTATATCGTCGCAAATATTAATAATTGGCAATGAGATTTCCTCGGAGATAGAGCATTATATTCCTTGACTAATCGCGCTATCTACGGAATCGGAAACTTACCTCGCATAAGCTATCCGGAAGGAGAAGAACGTCTGGCCGGTAGACGGTGGGACGTAGATGCATCGTGGATCCGCGTGCTGACCCTTGGACGAAACGATACCCTCGAAGGGCTGCGAGAACGAGAGGTGCACGTCCATGTGATCTTTTCCGCACATCACCTCCAAGGACTGGATGGCCGGCATCCCTTCCGGTCTCTCCAGCGGCCAAATGTCGCTGTTGCTACTGACGCTCCTCAGGCCAATCACCTGCGCGTTCAAAGAATATTATACGTTTGTCCTTTGAACTTCCTTCCTCTTTTACTCCTCTCTCGTGCTTTATTCCCTGCTACTCCTTTCCCTACTCATTGTCCGACACGCACGACTCGTGACGCTCGCGGCTTCAAAGTTACGTACGACGAGAATATCGGTTGTCGATCCTACTCTCCTCGCGGCGAAAGAAAATTGCTCTCCGGTGTACAGGAGGGTCATCGGGTCGAAACGTACGCCAAGATTGCTATATCTGGCGAAAACATTCGGCCGAGACGTAAGTCACGATCGTTGCAGATAATAATGCGCATAAATTTACATAAATGTATTTTCAATCATCATAACTTAATAAACATTCTCAAAGTTTCTCTCTCTCCCTTTCTCTGATTCGTTTAATATCGTAATATCCATGATTAAAGGAAATATAGATAAATAAAATGGTCAATAAATATTGTTAATACACAATATCGTTGCGCGGAATTAGTCGACGGGGAGGTAAGAGACGAGGTTCGATTCAATTGAAACGTCCGTTCCCCTCTCCTAATATGTTCACGTCGGAAATCATTAACCATAAATCAAGTTCATTACCGTACTCGCGGATCGAGTCCCTCTTTTTTGCCCGCGACGCGCTTAGAAAGGTCTACCGCGTGAGGATGGGGTCGTAATGAAAACTTAAGTACCCGTGTGTTTTCGCTCCGCCCGTCCATTAGACCCAAGATAATCCATACGATTTAACCGTAAATACCTCTCGCGCTCAATCGGAAACTGACAATCTCGCTCCCTCGCTTCGCCGCCGATGCCAAGGTAATCGCGGCGCGAGTCGCACGACAAGAGTGCGCATCGCGGCGTGTCCATCACGAATTAATCAACAACACGTATACGTATATATGTGTGTACAGTCCTTATCTTGCGTCACTGCGCTCCTTCCTGCTTCAAACACAGGTATTTTGCAAGCATTATTATATCCTTCTCCTTAACATACATATGTATATATATATATATATATATATATATATATATATATATATATATGCAAGCAAGTAATATTATATATGTATATATGGCAATGTTTATTAGCGAGATTACAAAAGTATTAATGGCGATGATGTTGTTTTGCACGCCCTGTTTGACTGGTTCTCACGGCAGTAACGTATATCTTATAAATCGAGTCGGGGCGCGGCGATAATTAAATTTATTATCTCGCCGTATTTATTATCTTAATAATATGATACTGTTATTGATGATATTTATTTTCTTGTAATAACACTGCATTGATCGATAGTGCAATATACATACCGGCACGCTATGGGAAAGTTTGTTCCCGATGAGACCGTCCTCAATTCTAAAATAAAATTATAAATACAATAGCGGATAAAACTGATAAATAAAAAAAAAAAACAAAAAGAGACAAAGATATATTTCCGGGATAAATGAATACATCCTCTTTTATGCATAATGTTTTTTTTAGTTTATAACAAAAAAGAGCGCGGTAAAACGCTGAATGAAAATGAACGCATTTATAAATCCATTAATCGCACGCGTTTGTGATCTCGTTGCGAGGAATTATTACCGTGGCAGAATATATGTGTGTGTTCTGAATTTTGTACTGTATGTACTTTATCGAGATTCATTTAATAGCATTATCATCGTATAATGAACGTTTAAATACCTCGATACATCTCTGGTCTATTAAATCCGATCTAGATTCTACCATTCAATATTTTTTGCTCTCGTTTGTGTTATGATTGTATTGAATATTTTACGCAACCTCTCTCTTTGCGGATAAACACGTTTAATTACGTTTATTAACACGTATAAATATGCTAAAGAAGCAAGTAATATTAATTATCTTTGATTAACTCGTATATTTCGAAAAGTATTGAATAAATAATAAAATTAATATGTCGAAATTAAAATTGAAAGAATTTTCGCATTTTTGCAAAAATTTATACACTTAAATTTGCTTTTACATAGATTACTGAACTAAATAGAATTAATATAACATGACGCAGATATGATACAATAGTCATAGAGGTAAGTAACAGTTATAGAGGTAAATATAACAGTCATAGAGATAAATAACTAATTTGCAATTCCTTCCTGTACCTAACAGTAGATTCAACATTTCTGATATAAAAGTTTCTATTAATTTTAATCTAATAAGAATACGAATTTCTTTTGAGAATTGAATTCCAAAAATATATTTAATTTCAAATGGAAATAAAATTTGTAACAGATTACACACTCTATAACCATATAGATCGACAAATTACATCAAAGTAGCCTAAGTTACAACTTCAATTTCAAATTTCTCAAAATTATAACGCTATCAAAATTTCTGAAGGCAAAATTATATCGCGAACATAAAAACCTACATAATTTAATACTTATTCTTTTTCTTAAAATATTTTTATTAAATATTTTCTGTTAAATATTTAATCGTACACGAAGAAGAAGATTCAAGCACATAACTCATTCTCAAATTGGGAGACCGTAAACCACCACACACTGTACAACAGACGTAATGATCGAGATGCTATCGATAGTCCGCGGAAACACGTCAGACACACCTGACGCGTCTGGCGACACGTTTCTCAAAATCAAGAGATGCTGTACATACGGCAATGTATTGGTCCCCGATCACAGAAAATACTAGACGCAAGAGTAAGCGAGCGTTGCATCGTCGAAGCGAGCAAGGTGTTCCCTATGTATTCCACGCTCGCGCCGTAACGGGAGAAGCGTCTTTACCGCTGCATTAACGGTCGCCGTTTTTCGCGCAAGTGAAAACATGTTTCTCTCTATGCTCCTACAATCGCACTGTTAAATGACAGCGTTTCATTAGAAATGATTACGCACCTGGCGGACGCCAGGACGCGCGTACCCCTTTTTGCCGCGCGCGTCGCGCCGCTTATCGATATACGTGCGATCGTTGACTCGGAGCTATTACCCTTCCCCTATCGCGGGAGTGCTCGATGGAATGGTCTCTCTCTCTATCGTCGATCGGATTCATCGCTGTTGAAAGAAAAAAAAAGGAAGAAAAAGCGAACGCTTTGTCGACTCATCGCTGAAATATTCTCCTTCCTGCGGCAAAAAAATGACAAGTAATATTCGCACACGTCTCGAGGCCGTGGTTTTACGACATGTCGGGACTCTTGGTTACGACCTTTCGCGCATACATCGGTATTCCAAGTTATTCGAGACGTGAGGCACATCGGTAGGCGAGTTTCCCATCGCGGCATCGTATTCGCGTTCGAATACTAATGTCCGTCTGCGGGTCGATTGTACTCGTGACAGCGGAAATAGCCACCTCGCCGGCGGCCCGCGTGTCGATCGGCAGGATCGAGGTCGACACACTAATACAGAGGAGGCCTATGACCGATTTTACTACTGACCTTCCTTAAACCTTCGGAAACTTCTGTCGCGATTACATAACCATCGACGGAATTCGCATCAAACTATCGGATTAGGTCGATATTTTTCAAATTTTTTAAGCATATTGATTGACTGTATGATAATTTTTTGAGTCTTTAGAAATCTTCTGTTCTGCAGCCAACCAAAAAATTTATTTGTTACACGACAAGTGTAATATCAACCTTATCCTCCGAACGAGGATCTATGGTCAGAGGTCTCGGTCAGCGCAAGATGCGTATTCCCAAACTCCTGCCGGATCGCCGCTCGATTTTACCACTATTTCTTGAATTGCAGACTGCGACAGCTAATGCAATATTACTAGTCTCGTCTGTCCCGGTCTACATTGCAAGAAATTATAGCGGTCTTGCGTATAATAATCGTCGAATGGGCAAGACGTGCGTCTACTTGGCGAGCAAGGTCGCGGAGGAGGATTTCTTTCTCTCTCTTTCTCTTTGGCACGGTACTGTCTCGACGTGTAGTTTTGCGCGCGCGGTTCTGAATAACCCGTGAGAAGGAGAAACGAGAGGGGAACCGGGTGTAGAGGGACAACGGGAAAGGGAACCTCGAGACGCGATAACGGTATCTAGAGTAGGCACGAATATCCGCCTGCAAGCTGTCGCGGTGGCTCCCGCCACGTCATCGCATTGTCATCCTAAACGGAGACCGGCGAATTCCCGCGGATTATCCAGGCCCAGCGCTGGTCCCTTTATTTCTCGCGAAAAAAAAAGAGCCAGTTATCGCATACGCGACTATTACGCGACGCGAAAGACCGGTACATATCGCTGCGGGGCCGTTATTCATTAATTATAGGAGTGCGTAGATCACGCCATTGGCCAAACACGCTCGGAATTATGGGCCATTATCAGAATTGGACGCGAAGTGGGGTCGATCTACGTGCATCGTGCTCTAGGGCCTAATTGACCGACAAAAGAAAACCGCTAGAAGACGCGAGCGGGACGTAACGCAAGTCACGAGTCTCTCGTGTGAGTTCTTGTACCGCAGCCGCCGCTAGTCAATACCGCTGGTTCCCGTGCTCCCGTCTCCGCAAGCTCGCTCGTTATTAAGACCAGCGAATCTGATGTCTCGTATTCTCGACGTCGATAGCTCCGCGCTGATGAACCTTTCTAATTGAGGACGAACAAGGCGATATCTCAGACGAAGCGTCGCTGTAATTATTTAGTATTATCCCCGGCTCTTGAACAATGGGAATTACGCGGAATTGGTATCGCAGACAGACATCTCACTCAAAGTGTGTTAAACGTTACATTAATCTCTGATGCGAAAATTAATCTCTCTCTCTCTCCCTGAGAATTAATCTCTTCGAGAATTTAGGAACAACGTTAGACGATAAATTATCTCGTAATTTCTAAGAGGGTAGGGAAGGGAGAAAAGGGACAGACGGGGGAGAATGTCGTCAGCTTGGCACTAATTCAAAATCCATTGAAATATCGTCTCTCATGGCGTGTAATACGGACTGGTTCCACAAGCAAGAGTCGCTAACGAGTCGAATATTGTGTCGGCGATATGCAATTCGCATCGATATCCAATTTTGTAAATTGCAACTCACCATATAGATCAGCGTACGTAGCAACTTCCACACCCCTGGCATCCTGGAGGTCCCAGCCTCTCGCGACGTAACACCGTCCTGCCCTGAAGAAGAAAAAGAGAGGCAAACGCGTTAGAGTCTCGCATGAAAATTTCACGCTACAGACCGGCGGCGAAGCCGGATCTATTTTAATTTATCCGACCACCATGGTCTAGCGAGCAAATTAACCGGCCGCCGTTCGCGCAAGTCGCGCTTCGGATCCCAAGGAGGTCTCGGGCGCAAAATTGATCCGCCCGGCGGAGAATCCTAGTTACGGAGTTTCGAGTATGCGCGTTCGTGAAATTGGGATTGTGTAAAGAGGCGATGAAAAATTGGAGCGAACAATCCACGTATATCTATTCGAGAAAGAATGCGTTTACAAATTTTATTAATAATTAAATACGTCTTTACATCGAAATACTCTCTGTTGGTTCCCTTCTCTCTCTTCCTCTTGAGCGTCGAACTTGCCTTAAACGCGATATCTTCGGTTATCGCTCTTTTATCGCACTTTAATTAATTATGTAAGATTACCGCGACGACGCGTTATCGCGTGAAACGCGACATAAAAATAAATATTGATAGTCATAACGGTACAGCTTCGAAAGATAGCTTAATCCTATGCGAATGAAGTGTTCAACCAGGAGATGACAGATGCAGGGAATAATAGGATAACGTGATTCTTGCGCACTCATTTGTACGTAAAATTACGCCGATATGGTAATTATCGTCACGGATGAAGTATGACGATATCACGTGAAAGTAAAAAATCGAAACGATACTTTATTATCACGCGTGTTTGTTCTCATTAACGTTTACAACTTGTAATCTCAGATGCGGCTGTAACAACCGTGGCGACGCTATTACGCCAGCATGAGTTAACGCCGGCATAATTTCTGCAATTTCTCACGCATACATTTGCAATTCAGAAATCTATGCAGACAAAGTTTCAGTTTATTATTTCTTTCTTATACTAAAATAATTCTAGGAACTTCGAAACTTTATTTATAATTTTATATACACGTAACGTAGACAAATTTTTATTCTTCTATCTCTCTTTCTTTTTATATATTAATATTTATTTTATTTTATATTATGTATTTCGATCTTTTCACTTATTATATTTAATGTGAATTATTAATAATAATTATGTATCTTTTTGTACGTTTTTAGCCTTCTGTAATTTGTTTTGATTGATATCTTGTAAATCTCTTCTCAATCTCATTTTATTTTTATATATTGACATTTATTTAATTTATATATATTATATACATACATAAAATAAATTAGTTAATTTATTGTGGGTACATATATATGTATACAATAAATTAAATAAATATATAAGAAGAAAGAGAGACAGAGAGGAGAATAAAAAATCGCTATGTCCGCGAACACTTGAATACGTTTAATGAGATAAGTAAATCGTTTGTGATTAAATCTTCTTATTGCAGATTTTATGGCTTCCACGATTATCGAAATAATGTTGTCACCGAGGGATACCAGTCATTATAACGGTGCGTCAGCATAAAGCCGCGTCGCACATCTATATAATTGACCCGCAGGTGACATGAGGTATGCGACGACGCGAGATCGTGAATGCGTCTCGCTATCGAGAATATCGCCGCGTAAAATGAACATCAGGATAACCATGGTTATGAATGAAAGATAAACGTCGCTTGCGCGGTGACAGTAACATACCAATTCCTTGTTTTACACGTTATATTCGCGCGTTTATACACAGTCGTTAATTAATTGCCGCGCAGACACAGTCTTAATTCATTATAAAATACTACGTCCCGTGATCACATGGCTCTCCTCATTAGCGTCCAACAGGAATGTTGTGCCAGAAATTTGTCGTAGGAAGATTTTAAGATATTGGCTCTTTCTAAGAGAATTTCACTGGCTGTTTCGCGATATTCTTTTACGCTGTCGCATATATAAGATTGATATTCTTGTTTTCGTACGCTTACTTTTTTCCCTCTCGTGTTATAAGAATGTAGAAAAAAAAACAAGCGGGTATAAGGTCGCGTCTTCATTTTCCGGCCTACTTAATAACCATTACTCATCATCTTCTAAGTGACCGGGAAGTCGCTAATGAATCTGTAAGAGTGATGTTGCCGGTTATGTCGAGCTTCTTAGCTCCCTCGACTGGCTCTAATAATACGCGCGCGTGTACACTTACGACCAGTCTAACCAGTATTTTCATTTGCAATAATGTCGCGGTAAACGATCCATATCGTTCGATCGAAATAAAACAAAGCTAAAAATGGTCATAGATTGATCGATTAATAGTAAAGCATGGCGCTCGTTTGCGGTGTTATTTATCCCTATTCTGCAGAAAAGAAAAGACGAGTATGATACAGCCTATTATATACTCGTAAAGAAACTTGTTAACAATGTCATATAATACATGTATTTATCAATTAACGCTTAAATAGGTTGCGATTTGAATTTTACGATTCTCTTGCCCTGTCTTTATCTCCATTCACTGTTAGTTATTATTATACTATTCCACTACATGATTTTTGCAATTCGTTAAGACCATTTCTTGGAACTGTTATGCTAATAGCGGAATATTTTAATCGCATTAAAGATTTATCTGGATACCCGAGTCTGAGGCGAGAGCGATACATGCGTCGAGACAAGACGGGGAACAGACCCAATACTGATTTCAAGGCTGTTCGCGGCCCATTAACTCCGCCGGAACGTTTTTGCCGAATTATAAACGCATCGCTGCGCCGATGCTTCCGTCGGTCCCCATGTTGACAGCTATCGTCCCAGATTGCGATAAATAATAACCGATTATTAGGCGATTCCGATGCTTCCGTAACTATTCGAGCAATGAACAGTGCGTTGACTTTCTGACAAACGTGACAAACGAATCGGATAGATTAGTGGATCTATAACTCTGTCGAATGAAAATAATCTTACAATATTAAAATGCTTCCGCGTGGTTTTAAAGTGATAATTTCGTATGATCCGAAATTCTCGATGACATTTTTTTTTATTATAAAAGAAGCAGTACATTTAGATACACTTCCTTTTACATTTCTCTTTCTTAATAAAATCAAAAGACTGAAAATTAATAAATATTCTAATAAACTGATAAACTAATAAATATTCTAATAAATTAATATTCTTCTCAAATCGAATAGTAATACGGTGATATTTCATATGCGTTAAATCTATTTGTATATAGAAAGAGATTGTGGCTATGTCAAAAGTGAAAAAAGAGTACGTATAAGCTTGTTCTCCAAAAATTTCCCAGTTTGAAATTGAACTTCATTTTCAGCTTAAAATAAAGTTTATGATGCGTAGATTACGAATGCAAAGTTTCAAATGGACCGAGTTATCGTTTCATTTCCATTCTTATAAAAATTTTAATTTTTAGCCCTATAAAAAAATACTTATTTTACCGGTCATTTTTTCTGGTACGATAACTCTGGTCCATCTAGAAATTTGCATATTCGTAACCTACCTACGCGTCATAAACTTTATTTTAAGCCAAAAATAAAATCCAAACTCGAGTTGGGAAAATTTTAGACAACATTTATTTGCACTTTTTAATATATTTCAGGATTCATGAAAAATTCATTTAACATTGCACAAAGTAATTCTAGTTTTTTAAAATATAAAATCAATAATTAATTCGTGTAAGTTAAAGATTTGCTTCATAGAATTAAAATATTTATTTTCATGAATTTTTGTATCGTACACTATAAAAAAATTAATTCAATATAAGATAATTTACGATAATTTACGATCTTGAGATTAAATTATATTATATTCTAGAGATTTAATTCTAGATATTAAAAATTATATTCTTACAGATTTAAATTACATTTTCTTCAACTTACACAAATTAATAATTAATCTTATATTTTAATCTTATATTTTAAAAGGTTAAAATTGCTTTGAAAATTGATTTCAAATTCGTGAATCTCGAAATGTATTAGATATATTAATTTTTAATATAGATTTATTAACCGTTTAGTCCTTCTTTAAGTAAAATTCTACCTGAACCTATCCTAAGAGAAATCCCGTTGGCGCTTGAAGGAGGACGTCCGTCGAGTCCCCAAGCCTTATAATTCGGAATAAGCGTGCACTGTCACGGTGTCAATTGTAATCCCGGTGCTGGTCGTGGGAGACGAAGAAAGAAGCCAGTCGTTAAGTCCGCCCGGTAGGACACACGTATTACGATTTTAATTAAAATCTAGTTAACTAGCATGTTGCTCGTGCTTAAGTGGATCGCGGATAATGTTTAAGCGCCGGTTTAACGCTCGAAAATATCCGTGCGTGACGCCGTTTGCGGTTACCCGTTGCCATTGTATTGCGAGCATGTAATTATCCGTGGTTGACCGACGTCGGCAAAGGTTAACGCCTACGCCTATTCCAATCTTGATTTATAATGACGGATATATCGGACAATTAGCGCTGATTGTTTAATGATTCGCGGCCTTCAGCGAAGCGCTATGATTCCGCGATTGTTGTACCGGAACAATTCTCGCTGAGGCATGCACCGTGAATAACCGGATATACAGAATGTACGAGAAGTATCTTGCATTAGTAGAGAAGCATACACAATAAATGGACATTCTTGTTTTAAAATATATCTTTAGTTTTAACATGGAAATCTTGAAATGAGATTATATTGCGTTAATTAAAGAAAAATATAATTGCTTGAATAATTGCTTGCTTGAATGAAGCTATTTTATATAGTTCAATCAAGAAAAATATATTCTTATGATTTAAGATTTAATTTTCTTGAATGGAAAGGAAACAATGTTAGGTAGAAAATAACATTTTTAAAAGATTATAATTTTCTTAAAGTAGAATTAAATAATTATATATTTTTAAGATGACAATTATTGAAATAAGATTATAATATTGTTGAAATTTAAAATTAAATTATTAAATTCTTCTAAGAACATTATAGATTATTGCGTATATATAAAACAATGAACGCGTTAATTTAAGTATATAAGTATGTAAGTTTTGACACTTTTTTGTGTATTTTGCATTAATATTAGCATACCAAATTAAGAAGGCATCAAGATTATTCTTATCC